TGGTCTTCATCACCAGTAAGATTTCTGTCAGTTTGAAATCTGTCTACCTCGGTGGTAAGAATTTGCAAGATGAAGTGGTTACAGTCATCAACGAACTGCCTAATATTTCTTAAATTTAATGCAGTGATACTTTAACTTCTTCATGCAATGTGATTTTCCTAAGCTATACACATACAAACTAATTTTTCTTTCTTTTGCCCCCTCTCCCTATGTTGGTTAATCAAGGTAGAACATCTAATAAGCATGTAACTGGGTTGCAAAATCATTACACTCTCCACTCTCCCCAAAAGCAACTCAAATTCAGATCCAGTATGTAGCAAGAAAAAAGTTATAAAGTGAGCACAAGGGAAATGAATGTGAACGTGAGCTGGAAAAAAGAATTCAAAATGAAATAAAGGGCAATTGTTGATAGTGTGTGTGACTAAGGGTAGAATCTTATCTTAATTATAGACCCGTGATCCAGAATTACTGCATTGTTTGCTGATAATTAAATCAGTGAAGTGATTAAAGATGTGAGCTGATATCACTGAGATCAAAATCTGACTGGTCAAGAAAGAGGTTGTTTAAAACACAGTGTTGTCAAGAGGGAGAATCCAATTTCAGTGCTATACTTGTGTGATCAGTATCATTTGGGCAGTTGTAACTTGACTGCATGGCTATTGAAATACTCTAGATTTTCTAAAAGTTATCTTATCCTAAAATCTGTTTGCTCTTATATTTCTACTTCTTACATATTACTGCAGCTTAAAATACAAAGGGAACAGAGTAATTTTCCTGGGAAAAGCCTACCTTTTGAGGGGCTGAAAAAAAAGCCCTTCTCTATATTTATGCCTAGGTGAATTTCTCTCCAAATTTGGGTTTTTCTGGAAAATCTCTTCTCCTAGTGGACAAAATTTCTGTTGCAGTGTGAAAGTTTTGGGAAGATAATTATGGACAATTGAAAGCTGTGAGTACAGATGGGAATGCTTACATGACCTTAATTCCAGTTGTTGCTATTACATGGCTGTAATGAAACTACTGCCATGGCATTCCTTTTAAATTGGTTACACTAGAGATGAGTATGATCCTTTAAATCCTGATGTTATAGCAGGTATTAGCTCTCTTAATATTAGCTCTCTTAATTTCTTCCATCCCAGTTATTTCTCTGGCACCTGTTGCCTTTAAGAACTGTTCAGCTGAGCTCATTTAAGTGCAAAGTCAGTGCTTGCTTCTTAGCTTTAGCAGCTGGCTAATTTAAACTCTGTGAAGAGTTTATGATGATGTTTCTAGGTGCATGGGATCACACTGTTCTTGCCTGTCATGCTGGGTATGACACACACTGTCTTTGTATATGTGGTTTCTGAGAGGAAAGTTTCAGATCTTCTGGTTTGCCAGAGGCCTGCGGATTAGTACACTCACTCTCTTTCAGGTCTGTTTTCTTCACCTCAGGCAAGCAATGTGGCTGTAGGGTTGCCACTGCTGTGAGTAATAGGTATCTCTGTTTCTAAAGGGATTGTAATGTCTACATCTTGGTTGAGGACAGTGCCAGGTTCACCTTCTCCTGCAATCCCTTTTCATCTTTTTCCTGCACTCTCTTCCTCTCAACTCTGGTTGGGCTCTTCACTAACCACTCAGCTGAAACCTGTGTAGAAGATATGTCAGGCTTCCAAGGAAGCTGCTGCTTCTTGATGGTCAGATGGCTGCTTGGACTCTCAGGGGGCTGGGCTGCACACTGGATGCAAATTGGCCAGTGAGTTAGATGCTAGGTACAGAATTAATACAACTGATAAGTTTAATTTGCACTGTATCATTACTATCAAATACTGAAGAGAGTCACCGAACTTGGCAGCACATTCTAGTTTGAAAAACTGTTAAATCACTGATAATAATTTTTACATCCTAAAGAGCTAGCAAGACAGAGGGTAAAAATGTAGTCTGAAGGTAGGTATAGAAGGACTAAACTGGCAGCATGCAGAAGAATGGTAACACAGAGCAGCAAGAAGATTCACTCCCAAACATCCCAGTAGCACAGTTCAGTCGGTTCAGCAAATATATCAGAAGAAAGTTCTGTCAAACTGATTTTAAGTTAACATTTTTGGGGTCCTTTTGTCTTGTGTGAGGCAACAGGGCATTGTGTGGTGGAAGAAAGCAAGGCTGCCGCACCAATCTTGCTGGGTCAATTCTAGACCCAGCTACACATTTGGACAATCACAGCCCAAGTCAGCCTTATCTCATAGTGAACAATCTGATTGCTGTCACACATGACCTACTTCCAGAGCTTGCTTTTCTTTCGGGTCCCAGGGAGGCAGGGTGTATCTGCTGACTCTGACATCACAGAAAACTCTCTGGGTTCAGAGGGTTGGCCCTGCTGACATGGTGTGACATGGGAAGAAGAGGATGATGAGATCCAGAGTTACTCAAGGTAGAATAGAAGAACAAGGCTTGTTCATCAAGGTGTAAAACAACTTCTGGCTGTACAGAACAAAGAAGAGACTCCTCTGTGGCTGGATTTGTGGAAGAGTGGGAATGTTTTGCCCTTTTCTTCTGTTTTTGTTACTAGCTACTGTAGTAGCATGGAAAGGTCAAGGTTCAAGAGTGAAGTCCAGTTTGAAAAAATTTGACTGCGTAGAGAAAAGTTTTGATTAAAAAAAAAAAAAGAGGATTTGAAATTGAATTAGCAAAATACTAGGTTACATTACATTAAACTAATCATCAAAGATCTTGTTTGAACAAATGCTAAAATAAAATCTGTCACAAAAATGCTGTTCACTTGAAAGAAGCAGTACTTTGCACTTCAAGAATGATTATAGACTTTGTCTACAACAGTGGCTGTCACCATTCACCAGCTGCTAGACAAGGGCCAGGAAAACAGGCAAGATGCACTTAATCAGAGGTGAAATTAAGGGATCTGAACACAACAGCATCTCCTTTGAATGGCTGCAATCAAAACAAAATGCTTAAAATGACTGTAGATGCTTCACCCATTCAGGCCCGGGTCCTACCTAGTTACTGAATGAAGTTCTAGTTGCTTTTGCTTCCAAAGTTATTACTCAGACTGAAAAGAAAGCTGTAAGCACGCTGCAGAAAAAATGTTTATAGTTGGATATGGGCGTGAAAGGTTTTACTGGGAGATGTATGGTAGAAATATGAGCTTGGCAATTTTCTTTGAGTTATTATTGGCACATATCTTTCTAATTTTTTTCCTCTTATATAAGTTCTACATGAATATAAAGATAACTGCTAATGATTCAGGTTTCCAAAATCACTGTTGAAGGACAGAGTATGTCTGGGATAGATTCATATTTGTCAGAAATCAGTTCATCAGCAGAGTGAGAGTTAGGGGCCACAGCACAGAGATTTGACAAGCATGCCTGCCTGTCTTGGTAAAATATAGCAGCTTACAAAAATGAAAAAAATACCAGATTAGGTTTGAAGATGTTAAAGACTCTGTGAGGATCACTAGAAAAGAAAAAAATATAAAAAAAAATGGTGCTTTTATTCTATTGGTGATGTAGTACTAAGGCAAATGTGAATATGGGGGAAATTAATGACAGATTTCTTCTAACATAATAATCAGGGAAGCATTTAAATTTGTGATATGAAATATAAGTAAAAATAATATTTTGTCTGAGGGTAAATACTTCCAATAACCAAAGGCCATGGCTGGGGGAAGCTGGCTTTAGAATTGAAGGAAACAAAATACTTTATTCTTTATTTTTAAATATATGTCTCATGGAGGGCAGTGATAGTAGTGAGTAATCAGCACATTGGCAGTATAAATTCCATTTTAATATACAGTAGCTTGTTGCAGTTGATATCTGTCCACTGCATTTTTTTCTATGTAACAGTCCTTCCAAATGCTGAAGTAATTTTAGATAACTGTCAGTAACAGCAAGATTTCAATTCAGTGTATGACTATGAAGTACTTTTATTTTTTTCTGTCTGCTGTATCCTTTTCAACTTAGTATCACTCAAAAATAGGCAGTTTTAATATTGAAATTATTCTGTATGTATCAATGTCTGGCTTCATCTTAGAACAACCAGGGTTGGGAAAAGGGGTTTATGTTCTCTGGAAGGAATCATCCCCAGATTTCTGATTTATTTGCTTTTTTCAGTATCAAGACTTCATCAGAACTTTGAGAACTCTGAAGACTTGGTTCTGAATCAAACTGCCTGAATGGACTCAATTCTACAAAAAATTAAACTTGCATGATTTTGTTAAGCATTCTTAAGTTGTTTTTTTCTGTAACGCATTTGACACTTGTAGGGTGTATACATTTGATTTGCTGGGTCTTCCTGGTACAAGGAACTGCATAACTCTGTTGTGACTTCGTTGTTTCTCAATACTTCAGTGATACTGAAGTATTCCTGGCAGAATTTCATGCTCTGTTATATCACACTGCATTGTCTCACACCAATCGTGCAATCTTGAGACAACATTCAACCTTAAACAGGATGTGGTTAAGCTGGTACCAGCAAAGATGTCATTTGGGGATTCATTCCTTATGCTCAGAAGTTATAAAAACAAGTTCTAAACTTCCTCTTTCTGATGGTAAATCACAACAGTGATTGGAGGTGTGTAGAATTTGATATCACTGGTATTCTTGGTCCTGTAGAAATCTATAGTAGAACTAAACATTCTATCAAAAAAGATGTCTACAAGAGAGGTTTGATGCAGTGCGCAGCACAGCATGCTGTATCCTTTCTGTAAGCAGCATTTTGGATGCTTCATTTGGAAGGATTGCTGTAGTGCGTTTCCAGAATGCTTATAAATATCCCATTGTGCCTAGGAGTAAATGGAAGAGTAATCTAGTGGCATAATGATGTAGTGTGCCTTAGGTTAAATGGGGAACAGCTGAGGGAAGTCTGGCATTGTATTAAGAGGTTGATCTAGATTGTGTTTCTGTGGCTCTGCAATTTGTGAATTTGTAACTGAATGTTTTTTTCTGAATGCTCCTTCCAGCAAAACGTTACCTGTTTGTTTTTTTGTTATTAATTTATATATATTTTTTTTTCAACAGATGGACAAGACATTTCACAATTCCATTTTAAGAAAAAAGTACATCCGCTCACGCTTAGTCAGAGTGAGGTATGTAAGATTCTAAAAAACACATACAGATGAGATGTAACAAAATGCTCACCAGGCGCAGCTAGAGAGCTGTTGATATGATTCAGTGTGGGGAGTCTTATGTATGTCCAGAGCACAATCTCTAACTGAGCATAATCTTAATATTTGGATCTTGGTGCAGAAGATATATTTCAGTCTGTCCAAACTCTGTATTAGTTTTGCTTGAATCTTCAATAAGCATTAGCTAATAAAACAGATATAACTTGAGCTATCTTGAGCTATATAACTTGAGGTTTTTTTTTTTTTTAAAGCATTTTCAAAACTTTCCTTCACAATAATGCAGATGTCATATTACTTTTACAATTGTTACTCTGCTAATATTGTCAAGTAAAACATCAATATTGCTGTGCTGGTTAGGAAGGACCCTCTTGTCTACTATTGGATCTCTTAGAGCGAGCATAAGCAGGTGCCTAGGGAGCAGCACCAGCACAGGTTAACTACTGCAGAGGACGATTGCTCCTCCATATGATATCTATTTCCAGCTATTTACTACTTGGGATTTCCTGAAGTGGTTGTGGTCTATCTGCTTGACAACCCTCAGTAGAGGTCTTTTCTGAGGACTTGTCCAATCCCAAACTCCTTGCGCCTCCATCCTTTAATAGGAAGTTTCTTGTGAAAGCACCACCTCCTTTGGATCATTTGATGGCCTGTAATTCTCATGCTGAAGGAAGTGGTGAAAGTCAATTTCCATCCCTCCTCTCTGAGCACCTACTGGTATCAGACACTTCCCTTTTTGCTTCTGAATTCCATGAGTTCTGCTCTTTTTTGAAAACTCCAGTATGCTCAGCAGTTCCTTGCAGGAGCTGTTTCTCCTTGCCTTGCTCTGAATCTCTGCTCTGCCACTTTTTGCGATGAAGAGATTAGGGATTATGGTGGTGAAATGATGTTCTTGTTTTGCTTTATTCTCTTTTCCTTTGCTACTAATACCTAGCGTTTGATTGCTCCTTGTAGTTCTTTTGTCTGTGAAATCCTAGCTTCCACTTTATCTTAGCTTAATTCCCAGCTAAGCATATCACACGAGTCATTATTTGAATACTTCAGTGTAGCTTTGGGAATGTTTTCAGATACTGGCTGCAGTGTTGTAAATGTAGACAAGATGGTTTAAGGATCTGGGAGGCCAATATGCAAGGAGAAGTAATACCTTTCGCTACTCTTTGTTCCCAAGGACAGGCTGAGGTGCTTGCTGTGAAGTTTGTGATGCTGGGTGCATGACCAGTGCGCACCAAAGATTATTTGCTTCTTCAAATAATATCACTTGGCCTAATAAAACTATTATTTCTTTCTGCAAACTTCACATCTCTCTAAGAGATGACTGCAAGCTTTCCTAATCAGAGTCATTCTTGTGAACTTGCTTGGAAAGAATGATTTTTGGTTCAGAAGAAGTAGTGCATTAGTAAGACTATCCACCATTTACCAGTGAAGACAGAATATGTTTTGATAGGTGTCTTTGGCTCTGGATCTTTGCTATATAGAGAATGATTCAAGGCAGATTGTACTTACCTGGAGGTTTCAAGAGGTGTGGTGTACTTGCAAGAGTTGATACAGTAATTCCAGTGTGGCAGAGCACAGGAAGAGGAGTGGGGGGGAGAGGTTAAGGAACACCTTAGAAATGCAAAGCAACACCCACATTTGGATCAGATAATATCTGGAAAATAAACAAAGTAGCAGTCATGCTGAAATTGGCACTAAGGGAAAAAAACGCCTGTTAGGAAGTTCACGTATAGCTAGCTAGTAGGTCTCAGTTACAAGATCCTTGAGGCAAGGTGTGTGCTGTCTGCTCAGTTATGAAGCACTCAGTGTACCATGGTGGGCTAATAATACCTGGCCTTTTCATTACCCTTCATTGGCAATTGCAGAACTATCTGTTTTGTTTTGGTGCATGTTCTTTTCTACTATCATAAGCTGATTACATTATTTGTGCATAAGCTACTCACTTTCTGCTAATTTTATTTTTCCTTTATATAATTACAACTGCTCCAAGCAGTGAGATATAACTGGAGGACCTTCTCTTTCACTTCACTGTCTTCACCCAGCAATGTCCATGCAGCTACTCTGACTTTGAGTGAGGCTGCAGTGGTGAAAATTAGGTTGACTACTCTGTCTTCTTTTCTTAGCTACCTTTTTAATGGCAGTTGGAGATTTTTTTCTGTGTACATACAGGGCACTGGAAAGGTCTCTCTAGATAATGATAATTGTCTGTCTGATGTTTCAGAAGTACTGTGTATCCAGCTTTTCATTGCAAGCAAATTCCATTCCCTCCTGTTCTTGCATCGCAAATGTGTGCTCAGTGACTGCTCTCTCGACCCCAAGACTGTAACACTGGTCTGGCCATTTATTCACAGAAAACATCATGCCTTGTATTAGTCTAAGATACATTGGACAATTCAGCACTTCTTAGATTTCTTTTAATAGTCAGCTCTCTAAATTGTACAAAACATTCAAGCATGTATTTAATCCTCTGTTACATTGCTGTTGCTAAGATGAAAACTAACAAATGTAAAATGAGCTGAAGGTAACCAGACTGTGTTTTGTTGGTTTGTAGCCCGGATGCTGATGGTGTGGTGACAGAAGCTTTGCTCACATTCTGGTTCTCTGCCACGGATTGCAAAGAAGCATTGCGCAAAAGAGTTGAAAGGATCTTGTGGAGGGGCCTGAAAAAATATACTGGGCCCCTGCGAATAGATGTCAGATCTTCTACCATCTCAAGTAAGGATATTACTTCTCTCTTAAATCTAGTTATTGTTCTCTTCTGATTGATTTAACTTGATTTTGCCTTCTGATGATGTGTACCCATCAGGGTAAAGAGTGAAAGCCTCACCACAGTGTTTTGGTACACAGCGGTGCAAACAAACATGCTCCTTAGGTCTTTACAGCCCCAGGGAGCCTGAAAGTGCAAAAACTATGCCTGGATGTCAGTCCTTGTGAGGAAACAGCACACGCTTTGGAAAAATTCTTTTTTACTGTGGGGATCAAAATTCCTTTCAGATTCCTAGGTTAAAGGAAAAGACAGGAAGAGTGTTCCTATCAGTGTGACCTCTCAGGTGAGGATCTGGCCCTTTTTTTACTTATGAAATTGGCATCTGACTGATGTGGAGAGTAACAGCACTGTTAATGATTGATTTAGTGATTTACTGAACAGATAGCGACAGGTGAGTTTTCTCCTTCATGCTTCTACAATTCTGATCTGTTAGGGAGTTTTTCTGTAGGCTTAGACTCTTGTCTCTGCGCAAGGCTAAGCTTTGTTTATTAGTTAGCATTTTTTCTGTGAGTCAGACTTTTCAAGAATGAGTTGCTGGTCAAAAGGAAGGGGCAGATACTTGCTTCACTCGTTTTTGCAGTTCTTCTGCTTACTCCTAACATAACAGTGACAGTACAGTATATGGATACGTATACTTCCTGATTGCTTGTTCATGCTTGAGTACTTAAGCCAGCAATGGTGCAAGGAGGCCAGACAGCTTTGTTGAATGAACAGGAATCTTGGGCTAAATCCCTTGCTGGATTGATCCAGGCTTCCTCCCACTCAAAAATGATTGAGAGCTACCATTTGTTCTGTCTCTTGGTGCTTGAGGTGGGAAGATGCATTGCAACAATGTAGGGAAATTCAAATATGAGTGTCATATGCCCACTGTTTCTTGATGGGCCAATCAGTCCTCATCACTGGGATGGCTCACGATGGTAAACGTCATCCCTGTGGACAAAGAAGCACCACTTATCTTATTCCTTTCAGGTAGAAACAGTATGTAGCCATAAACCAAAGAGACTGAAAGAGTGCTGTTGTTGTTTTTTTTGTTTGTTTGTTTGTTTGTTTTTTTAAAGGTGGTTGTATCATAAAGGTGGTTACTAAATCTTAAAACTCTAGTTCAGTTTGGCTTGCTTAAGGGATAAAATTGGAAAGAGTGCAAAGGTGATTGTTAGAAAATAAATGTGATCTTCTCATCAAGTTACTAGCTATTTATATTTAATCCGGTAAATGAGAGAAGTGGTTCAAAACTCTGTTTTGTTGACCTTGAACTGCACCAGCGCTACTACAGTAATACATAAGTGGCTAGTTAAAAGAAATTAGCTGGTACAATTTAATCATCGGTGTTTTCATTAAATACTTGGTTTCAGATAAAGATGGCATCTCAATGTTGCTTTGATAAAATTGTATGATAAACCTCCTGTTGCTTTAATTGGCTGTCCCATCTTATCCATAAACTGACTACATAGGTCTGTTACTCAGGACAGGAGTAGCATTGTGCAACTGTTACACATGATACAAAGGTACATAAACAATACCCTGCCATTTCTAGAAGACAAGAATAAACTTTGGATCTTTCTTTGCTTAAGCGTATTTCGACTATATTATGAGTCTTAAGCAAGCTATATTTGGCAGTGCCGTTTAAGAAAATGAGGTTGACTCAAGTGGAGAATACAGGAGCTCTCCTGTACTTTCTGAGGAAATGAATGTCTCAGATACGAACTTCATCCTCCTTTCCCACTCCTGGACGAAGTGACGCTTTACAACAGATCCCAGAAGTCCAGAGAGGTTTTGCATTTTCAATTTCTCTCTGTCCAACTCTAGTATTTAAATCAAGGACGGTTGAGAAGCCCTATAAGGGTCCATGCTCTGTATTACTTTTCTAACTTTTGTTTCATTGTAGCTTTGATGGTTTTGCCAGCTGGAATCCGGAATCCTTGCTTATCTTGAGGCAGTTCTAGAACTTTTCCATAACAGTTTCTAAAAAAAATCATTAGACCTTTCAGTGTAATCATCTTATGAAAATATTCTAATTTGGGGGTCATGATATAGCATAGCTTAGGTAAGCATAGCTAACTAGTTGAAGAAATCCAGGTCAGGCACTTATTTAAATGGCATGCTAGGAGGGTCTGATAAGCAGAATGAGTAAGTCTTCCTCCCAGCATCTGATCTAATCTTGTTATTCAACAGTGTCTCAACTTGCACTTCACTCAAAAGTATTTGCTTTTTGGGGATCAGATCCAGCAAACTGCTTGCAGATTGGGTGCAGGTTTCAAATCTTCAGCTGCAGTCTGGGGCAAAAGCACAGAATTAGTCTGCCAGCCAAGGATCTTGCTTTCCCTCTTTATTTCAGTGGATGCGGAATAAATAGCTTTGGGGAGATAAAATCTAAACTGATGATGTTTAGAGGTTTTTTGTTGGTTTTGTTTTGTTTTTGAAAAACACAGAAGATGGATAGCATTGAAAATACAGCAAGTATGTAAAACAAACAAAAAAAAGGCAAAATAATATCATTTCTATTTTGTATCATCAGTAAACAGTTAATGGTCTTTATGTAGGGCTGGAAAAAAAAAAGTTCTTGATGTCTTCACATGTGTTATTACTGGAGTCTTTGTTCTTTTTTCTTGTCCAATTTACAGTTCCTAGACTCCTAGGCAATTATGGTGGTATTTCCAGATATCAGCTATAGGTCTAAGAGGAAATGGGAGGTGATAGAGATTTATGCACTTGCATCCAATGGAGTTGATCTGTCTAAATATTTTTCAGTGAAGAATCAAAGTAAGTCCTAACCTCTCTGAAAGTCCTAACTTCTCTAGAAAGACAGCAGAATGAGATGTCAGATCATGACTGATATAGGAAAAACCCAAATTAGGACTTGCTCTTCCACTGGCACTGAAAAAAGGTGTTACAGTTTGGTGCCAGAACTATATAGAGGACAAATAGATAAGGCTGTTCTGTTTTTTTTTCCCCAGGATTTCCTGGTTAGAAGTAGAGTCACCTCACAGCCTGCATCCCTGTTAGGCAAAGTATAGAGCAGCTTGCCAGCCTATTTCCCTTTGCCAGGTAGGTTGGAAGTCTCTCAAAAAGTGTTTTTGGGAATATACTCTTGACGTCAGAAAGAAACTGGTTGCAAGATCACTGGCACTGTTCAAAGTGAGTAGGAAGTATTCCCATCTATCACTCAGCCAAGGGTTTTGACCATGAACAATGAGTCATTAATTGGTTTTGATCAACAAGTCAACTGTTATTATTTCTATTTATCTGGCATCAGGTATTTACTAAAGCTCCTTGCAGAGTACAGAGCCTAGGAAATAGATTCTTTTTTCTTTATCAAGTCTTATTTGGGAGACATGCAGATAAGTGTCTGACCTGAATTACTGAATAATGTTTAATCAAGTTGTAGCTCAAAGAATATATCTGGCAATCTTTGCTTTTCTTGTACTTGATATCTGTACAACCCACAACAGCATCCTGGGGTAGTAGAACAGGATGTGCATCAACACATTGACTAATACAACAGAGATCCAACATTCCCCCCACTTTGATGATGTTACCTTGGCACAAGGTGGTATATTTCAGTGTTTGCAGCAGTTTACAGAGCCTGACTGAAATGGGAGACACTGAAATGTATTTTAAAATGAGTATTTTTGCAGAAACTGAGCCATGCATTAAAAAGACTTAGGGAATAAAACAGTTCTCAACTTCATGAATGGCAGGTTCTCCTGTATGCCTAAGGGAAGGAGACAGAACTTGAGATAGAGCAGGTAAGTCAGCAGCAGCTGTTAGCCCTTGCTGGATAGTGGCAGTGTAGCTCACAGTCTTGCTCCAGTAATGTGACTTTGCATTCTCTGTTCGTGCCAGGCTTACACCTCACCCTTCACAGTGACAGATAGGACTACAAAGCCATTGCTGACACCAGAATTTGAATTTAAAGTAGAATTTTAAACACTCTGATACTCCTTTCTTTTAACTGGAACTGAAGTTCCTATGGCTTCATGGCTCAATGTAGCTAACTGAAAAACATACAAAAAAATGTATTTTCCTTGGTAGCGATGATGTTGTTACTTTAGTTTGGATGGGATGAAAGGAAAGTGAATATATGCTGTACTGGAGATGCCATAGGGCATGATTGTAAATGAGGATTCCAGCATATGTTATTGGCTAATGAATGCTCTAGTCCAAAAGCACATATGTATTGTCATGCATGTGGCTTCAGTGAATGTCTGACAACACATGGCACGTTATTTTCACACGGGGATGTTTATGAACTAAAGAATCATTCATCCTTTGTAAGGAGAAGGTTATTACCAATTTTGGACCTATAAATGTCAGTGAAAGACGGGCTATTCTCTTCATCAGAAAATGGAGAATAATTAAGATGGAGTTCAAGGCAGCGATGAGGGGAAGTCACAGATATTAGGACAGGCCTTGTGGACAGGAGCAGGGAGGGAAGGGTGACAGGGACAATTAGAGGTACAAAGCTTTTGTCTTGTCCCTACCAGGTTAACTCTCCCCTGCTGAAGGAATGAGAATTGCATCACTTGTCTCTAAATTATGCTTGCTACTTCCACAAAGGGTGCTTAACGCTAAGGAAATTACTCCCTAGTGTCTCAATAGGAATTATAGCAATGCTAGTAGGAGTATGTTTTAGGTTGTCTGCAGTAGGTATCCACAGAAGAGCAAGTTATTACTCATGAGCCCAGAGCGCTCGTGTTTTGATACATGTCAGGAAACTGCTGCCTTTCATTTATGGTTTTTGGAACATGGTTGAATCTGCCAGTCTGAAGGAGTGATCTAATTCCTATCTTATTCCAGTACTGGGACCTTCATGGTCTTTGAAATAATTGAATAGCATTATGGTAGAGATATTAGAATCATAGAATCACCAAGGTTGGAAAAGACCTCTGAGATCATCCAGTCCAACCATTCACCTATCACCAATATTTCCCCACTAAATCATGACTCTTAGTACAATATCTGAACATTTCTTGAACGCCTCCATTGACTCCCCCACCTGCCTGGACAGCCCATTTCCTGCGCCTGACTGCTCTTTCAGAGAAGAAATTTTTCCTAACATCCAGTGTGAATTTTCCCCTGTGCAACTTCTGAAACTAGTGGTTACATTATGGCGCATAGAAAACTGCAGTTGGAAACCTTTAAATTAATTCTTGTGGAAATTAGCATTTGTGAAAATTAAGTAATTGTCCTGGTATTGGATTCTTGAAATAGCTTTCTTATCTCTTTAATTTCGCAGGCCTCTCAGACCATTTCCACACTGAAAACACATGATGTCCTCTAGTAATGCATTTGCTTTTCTTGTTTAAACCTCTTCAGTGTAATGTCTCCTCCATTTGGTTCACTCAGTGTTCTGGTTGTTATTTCCCCTTTGATGTAAATGCTGGTCTACATGACTAAAATTAAGTGAGGCAGTGGACACAACGTGTACTTTTCTAATGCTATAATGCTAATGTTACTTAAGACATAACAAAGAAAGCACATCTTATTTTCTGAAGGAATCTCTGAATCTCTTTGAGAGGAGTGGTCACATTCACTCTGCAGTTAAGTATGAACCTGTGAACATTTAGATGGTTTTGAAATAGGTCCACAGGCTTTGGACACTGAACTCCTTCAGAAATCCTTGCCTTAAGTGGCTGTTGTTTATAGGCAATTACCAAAATCAAGCTGCTTTCCAACTTCTGCTTACTCCCCTTTCTCTTCCATGCTTGCTCAAATGTGTATTCAGGAGAAAAATAGGATATTAACTGATAATAATCTTAAATAACTGTACCAGATCACTTTTCTTATTCGTATGAAACTGAGACCAATAACTTCCGTGTGTCCAAAGATTGAGTTAACTATATACACAAAATGACTATATTAACTGATCATCCAGTTGGAGAACAGGGCCCTCTTTTGAAAGATGGTTTCTCTAAGCCGTATTTCAGTAGGTTGCTGTGATTTTAATTTAAACATGAGTTTTCTCTTATAAGTTGAGCAAGCTTTAATTTAATAGTGAGTTCCACTTGGCAAGTAAGTAATGCATATTCAAGTTGAACTTGTTCTTGTTTACAGTGGAAACCTGAACACTGTTTTCCTAAATGCAGTACAAATAACTATTTTTTCAGCTGTATGTGGTTGGGATGAGATATGAGGTTTTAATTGTTACTAATTGGTGCTTTTTCTTGGTAGTACAAACAACTAGGGACAACTAGTAAATGAGCAGGGCAGAGAAAATCATCTCGTGCCTCGCAAGGCATGGCTTGCAACATGCTGGCTGGCACAGACTGAACTGGTGTGCTATTGGCTAGGTTTGACAAAAACGTCAAGTAACAAATGAAGGCAAGCCCCCCATGAGGTGAGACAGCAAGCAGCCTGTTTTTTTTCAGAAGTGTCATGCAACTCAAAGTGTTTCTGCTTTTGATGGTAACTGCTGTGGGTTCAGCTTATCTGAAAGTTACGACAAAGGTGCTACATATGCTCTGAGCTTGGAATCGTGGTTTTAAGCCTGGAGTCTTTGAGTCTTTAGTTTAATCTCTGTGATGCGTTCCCAGATTTTGTTGTTACCTGCTTTTGCCTCTTAAGGACTCCCTTTATTTTGTGGAGGTTTTTTGGTTTGTTTTTGTTTGTTTTGTTTTTATTTTCTGTGGTGTTTTCTTTGGTACCCCTGTTCCAGCCCCCGGTGTGAAATAGGCAGTCAGGATGCTGTATCTGACAGATCTCTAAAGCAAAGCATTGACCCTACGCTGATGAACACAACATTAAATTTATGGGCAGATGTCAGTGCACTTTAGTGTTGGGTGGAAAAGAGAATACATGAAGTGTGTAGTCTTGGTAAAATATGCTAAAATTCAGAGCTGTACAGGCATTCTGTTTTAAGATTCACACTATGTAGAAATGTATTTGTAGAAACAACATCTGGGATAGTCTGTCTAGAAGCAATGGATAGGTCTCAGAGCAGAATTTTGCCCACGTGAGGTTTGTAAGTTTTTTCAGGTGCCTCATAAAAAAAAGCAAATAGAGATGTAGATGGATGCCTTGCCAAACAGCTGTGTGACTCATAGCAAAACTCGGTGTAGTGAGAACATGCCAACTGAATTGCTTTTGGCACTGTGCTTGAACAAGCTCATTGCTTCTTTTGTCTTCTTGATTAGCTTTGCAACATAATATAAGTATTAATAATTGACTTCAGGCTTGATAATCAGGCATTATGAGTTAAATGTCTCTCCACCCAGAGAGGAGTTAGAAAAAATAATAATAATTTTTAAAAGTCAATATTGCACTTGAAGGCAAAAGATGTGCTTTCACTGTTTATTGCACTTGGTTTATTTCCATTTTCCAGCGTTACAATATTAGAATGACCCAAATGCTGAATAGTACTGAAAATAGTATGAATTTCCAGGAAAATACTGGATGCTTATCAGAGTTGAAAGAAATTAATAGGGCCAGATTTTTTTGAAGAACTTCTTGCCAGTATCACCACATAGATTAATCAGCCAGATCTTCAGTGTGGCTCTCCACCCATTTCTTCCTCACTTTTTAGCTTATTAAAATTTGCAACACTGCTAGAGCTCTCTGCTGGTATAACTTTTACTATCAGGTTCTATTATCAGATTTAAGATTTAAGGAATCTTGGCAACAAACAACAATATTATCCAAGGAAATTAATGGACTATAGTGAGCATTTCCAAAGCCCAGAAGTACCTGTACTTGAGTGTTGTCTCCTTTCTCTGTCACAGCACTTGTAAGCACTTGTACTGACAGGAGACCTCACAAGTTTTTGCTTGCTTGCTGGTAAACCTTATCTGGCTTTATTACATGAATGGTGAATAAAACTGTGTCACTATACAAACTTTCAATTACAACTCAACTCCCATTTCTATAAAATAAAGCAGTGGTTGCATGCATATATGTTTGCCCTGCCACTGGCTTTGTTCTGTAATGTTCCCTGTAGTCAAGCTGTATGCTCACTTGCAGTCCTTTGGTTTCCTTTTTGAATCTGCTTAATGTTATGTAAAGATTGAGTAGTGGATTGCAAACATGCATACCAGAAAGACTGTCAAATGCACAAGCAAAATGTGGTAAGAGCGCCATAGCCAACAGGCAGAGCCCTTTGCATTCAAAAGAAATTCTTTGTCCTGGTTGGCATGGTTTAGGATCAAAGCTAGAATATAATTCTATGTAGCTGCAAACAGAAAATAAAAAAGAAGGAAGTGGATAAGGTCAGAGATCTGCTGAGACTATCTGCAGACTGTGAAGTTGTGGATACTGTACAAGAGCCTCTAGACAATTTAACAATAGTTTTAAAAGTGTGATTATCCTCAAAATTGCCAGCACCTGGAATGGTAGCTCTCATGAAAAAGAGAGCACTGTGTAAGCAGGTGGGCAGACTGATACCTTGAGCCAGTGCTCATTAGTGACAGACAAGGGGTATTGTATTGTCACATACTCAGAGCAGCCCTTTGGCCTGGACCTCCGAGGACATTGACTGCCTGGAGTACAGCAAACTGCACTGCAGAGCAGGGGTGTGACAACCAGTGCAAGGACATAACCATATATGAGCTTTGCTGGCTTCTATTGCAGCCTACCTCTGCCTCTTGGGCCATGCAGCACTCAAGTAGCCACAGGAACTGGATGACCATGGAAATGATAAGCCTTGTCTATGCTTTCCTGGCTCTACTCTGACTTTTTTTTTTTTTTTTCAGCTGTGGAGAGGAGAAGAGCAGAAGCAATCTTCAATGACAGTAAGTGAGGGCTTTCTAAGCTTGAGAAACTTCTGATTATTGTAATTATCGTTAAGACTTTCCAAGCACTTTTCCTCTCTCTTCAAAGCCTTTTCTCTTCCCTCTTGTCAAATGAATGTGTCCTTGTGCTTTACACATATGAGAAAATCCTGCTTAGATAAGAAGTCTTAGTCATAGAGAAGCCTTTTGTTAGTGCCTTCTGGGATACTTAGGAAAGCTCTAACTACTGACAAAAACAATCAGTATAAATGGGGTGAGACTTCTTTCTAGGAAAAGTCCCCACCCACCCCTGAGTTCCATCAGTTTTTCTGTAACGAGATGATCCTCCTGTTAATATAACAGCAGTTTAGAGAGAGCCTTTAGAAATCCCCAGGTTTGTGCAGAGAGAAGACATGCAGGTCCTGCTGCATCACTCTACGGATGACAGATGGCCATAGCACAATCCTGTCTTCAGCAGCATCAGTGTGGTAGGTGGAAGGTGCAACTTAAATGTAAAACCTGGTATCTAGGAAATGGATGACTTAGCAAAGAAGGGCTGAGCACTATGGTGTTCAGGACACTTGCTTATTTTGTGTCATTGGACATGCAGACAATAAGCCATATTTTTATGTGAAGGCTAAAAAATTTGGATAATTCTAGGCTTACAAAATTTAGGTAACTCCTAAGTGTAGGCAGTAAAAAAACAAGTGAACAATGAGGACTTCCAATAAAGAAAAACTTAATTGCTTGGTCTAACTGGCTACTTTAACATCAAGCACAGCAGCTATCTGAAAGTTTAAGGAGAATGTGATGAAGGTAAGAGAGTCCTTATCAGGGATTTGAGCAGGTTACATTTAAAAGCAATCTCTATTAAAAATGGATTAAAATGTGTACTTAGTCACATCTAATCATGTGTGCATAGGGCTGACATCCAGTCCTCTCTTCGTCTTGGAGAGACTGCAGACTGTGTTTCATATATGCTTGTCTTTGATGCTGTAGCATAACAATTCATCTCCTATTGTTTTTCCATATATGCACTAAGTGATGAGGTTTACACCTGATGCTTCAAGGAGAGCAACCAGGCAGAGGCTTATAATACATCCTGTGAATGTAAGGTGGCACAAAATCTAGTAGGAATGGGCACTTGCAGAGGAGTTTGAAATAGTCGCTTTCAGTGTGCTCTTAGAAACTGGAAGATTGGAATTTTTTTTGTGTGTATTGGAAGTAAGGGAGGACAATGGGAAAATGTACAAAAGTTTTGTCAGTTATTATGAAAATATTATGACTTTGGAATGGCTGTGTGATCAGTCTTCTAAAGATACATTTGTAGGGGTCAAGTTGAGGTAGTCTGTTTTAAAGATGTTTAAGCTTTCAGGGACGAAGTTTATTTAGTGATTGAAAAGTTGTAAAAAACCCATCTTCAAATGGGTTCCAAGTAATGGAAGATGAAATTTCTTTTTGGGTTCATTTTAAGTTCTGGTGTTCCTGGGTTTCTGAGGGAACTGTGAGTTTTCCCTTGTGTTTTGAACACAACAGGTAGTTGATAGCAATGTGCAGATCTAGGTCCAGTAATTGAAGGTTACCAATAGTTTTCAGGAGGAAAGCATGCTAGAATAGACAATCTCATCAGCTATGGTATACTCTCCAATTTTCCTTTCACATGGGAAGTTTTGTACAAATAGCTGTATCTTTACATGCCACTGATTTCCTTCATTGCAGTTTTAAATTTCATCACAGTGCAGACACTACACTGACCCTGTGAGTTTCTGGATATTGTGTGATATTTTCCAAATTTATGAACAGCTTTCAATCTGCTGATTGTTGCTGCTGCTTTTACTATGAGGTACTGTTAACATCACCTTGTGCAGATCCTAGCAGGAAGGGGCAGAGGTTACACTCTGCGTGGCTCCAGTGTTTGCCTTCTGAGGACTTCAAGGGTCTGGGTCTGGCAGCTCTTCAGTGAGGTATTGCGGATTTCCACGTTGTCCCTCCTCTGGGTCACTGTCTGAGGGAGACAGACAGTGCAATAGTTCTTTTGATATTGTCACTATGCAAATAATTCTTAGCTCTGTCTCTTTTTCAAACAATCGGGATAGTTCTATATCTCTACTTTCCTAATCTCTAGCTGAAATCAGGGCCTGGATGAAAGCTAGTGAGTCTTGGTCCAGGTAAGATGAATTTGATGCTGAAACAGTTCCCTCATCTGAGGAAGTTTCTAAAGCTACTGGGGAGCTTCAGCTGTTCCTGAATGTCTGTTTTGTGGCTGAAACCGTAGATATTTTCATTTCTCTTCAAGTTTGGAGGATAATACTTCATGGATGTGCACCATGCTGAAGGTATCCATGTTTATTTTTTGATCTCTGGCTTGGATTGGCATGTTGCTCTTTGCCTGAAGCAACTCTCAAGGTTTGTTTGCAAATTGCCACTTGTGCAGTGTGTACGATTGCCTGGTTCCAACCAGCAACTTATGTTCTCTGCATGCGTGCTTAGTAAAAACCCATGGCTTGGACCACTGCCATCATTCATGTTTTATCCTTGTGACAAATCACCTGAAATGTTTGAGTTGGCGATCCCAGACTTGGGAATTGTCCTGTTTGTATGGTGAAGGGTTTTGATTTTGGATTTGGGCTGTTGGTGCACCTCAGCCTGAATCATTGACCATCGTGGTTTACCATGATAGTCAGTTGTTCATTCAGGCTTCTAACAGAATGGGTTGTGCATGAGGATCTCTGTTCTGGGGACTGGTGGAAGGTATGTTTTCATATGGATGGTATACTGTTGGAGAACCTAGTGGTGTGTGATTTTTTGATGTCTATTTTCCACAGTACCTACAGCCATTGGGAGGCATGTTTACTGAACAGACGAGTAACTAATACATATTTTTTTCTTTTCTGACAGTCTGTGGGTTACGACAGAATAGATCAGTCAAGTCAATAGCAAAAGCAACATCCTTGCGAATAGTTGGAGGTCTGTCTTCTGCAGAGACTGGAGACTGGCCGTGGCAAGCTAGTTTGCAGTACAATAATGTCCATCGCTGTGGTGCAACGCTCATCAGCAATACGTGGCTCGTATCTGCTGCTCACTGCTTCAGAGAGTAAGTTCCCAGCTTAGAGAGAATCTGCAGTAAAATGTGCCCTGTTTGGATCAAGCTGTGGGGCTTTCCAGATTTACAACACACCCCTAAGTCTTTCCAGGAGAACAATTTTCTGCCTTGGAGGAAAAAAAAAATCAGGTTTGGGGCGAGCCCATCGGTTGTTTCTAAAGGTGCTCTTTCACAGTGCAATTAGGTTGCTGCTGCTGCAGGCTGCTACCAGAAGTTCTAAGCCCAGATTTCTACCTTTTCATTCAACCATGCACACTCAGAACTTTTTGTTTCAAGTGCAGCCATTGTGAAGCTCCAGGACATGTAAGATGAAACAGCTGTTTGAGTGAATTATTAACATCCAGAAAGAGTAAGGACGATTTTTCTAGCAGAAGAGCTTTTTGGGCTGATTACATACACCCTGTGGCTAAACAGTGGCTAGATCAGGAATGACAAGTTGAAGGGAGTAGGAAACCATGGTTGAGAAGGGAGTGCAAGATTGCCCTCTTCTAGCAGCAGCCCACAATTACATGGGGCACAGTGTTATGGGAAGTGATGGATGCCTTAAGAATCGAGTAGGGAACTGGCTTGAAGTGGTTGTAAGATAAAGATTCTTGAGAAGTTTAAACACCTGAGTACTTGTATTTACAGTCAAATATTTATAGCGCTCTTACCTTTTTCAGAATGAGTCACCCTCACAAGTGGACTGCTACTTTTGGAGCTCTTTTGAAGCCACCAACCTTGAAACGATCAATCAAGACTATAATTATTCACGAAATGTACCGCTACCCAGAACATGATTATGACATTGCACTTGTGAAGCTCTCTAAACAAGTTGAGTTTACGAGTAACATACACCGTGTTTGTCTGCCTGAGCCATCTCAGACTTTTCCATATAATATTTATGCTGTCATCACAGGCTGGGGAGCACTTACCAATGACGGTGAGTCCCAAGTCTGCCAGGCAACCCATGTATTGCATGAACCATAGTGCTTATTTACTACTGAGTAGGTATCACTTGTAGCGGTTATGTTATATGGCAGCAAGCCTAATTTTTTGTCTATAAGCAATAGATCTGTTCAACAGTGAGCAGCAGTTTCTTGCTCTAAAATTAGATTTGACAAAGAGAGAGGTACTATCCACTTAAGCAGAAAATAGCATAAATGTCCTCTTTTTTCCAGCCTTTCCATCTTATATTGTAGATACGTGAGACAGGTGGTCATGCCACACATGTGTTAATGGAGGACCTAAGAAAATATTCTCTTAGGTCGAGCCAGAAGCCTACAGAGAGCTGTGCAGGCTTTCAAGAAAATTTCCACACTGAGCTACATATGATCACTTGTCTAGACTCACACATATCAGGCCAAGCTGTGAGTACATTTAGCAATAGAACCAAGATGCCTTGATGCCATACCATGTGCCCAAATGGATAGGTAATTTGTGTTCTATTAGATGGAACTTTGTACAATACAGTGTTACACTTGGGGCACTGTGTATCATGCAATCATTAGTTCTGTCTTAACATTACAGTTTCTAAATGAAACTATGAGTATGTACATTTCCTTAAGGGCCCAGCCTATAGAGAGAGTAAGAAGTAACACCAAATTAATCTGGTGCTTCATAAGAGAGCATTAAATGCAGTTCTGTTAATGCCTGTACTACTCTTTCCCTCAGGTCCCACTCCTAATGCTCTTCAGGAAGCAACAGTGAAACTTATCGACTCAAACACTTGCAACAAAAAAGAAGTGTATGATGGGGACATAACACCCAGAATGTTGTGTGCTGGGTACTTGGAAGGAGGAGTAGATGCTTGTCAGGTAACAAGCTAACTGAAAATTAGAAAGGAAAACTCTTTTAATGCTGATTCCAGTATTTAGCTGACCAAATATTCACTAACAGTATATTAGTCCTTTAAATAGGCTCTGTTCAAACAGGAATTAAGATATGAAGTAGCATTTCTTAAAATTATTTAGCAGATAAAATCCATACTGAAGAAGCTATATATAATAAAATATAATACTCAGAACTTAAACCTTTCATGGCATGAGATGAAATTTTCAATTTGTAACTCAAAATAGCTGCTATAAGCCCAATTGCTTCTCATAATATCTTCTATGAAATCTAACTGTTTTTCAAAAATGTATCCTGTATATTGATGCTTTATTCCTCCTTTGCTGTTGCCATTCTACACCAGACCCTTATTTGCTGGACAGCAATCACTAGCAGGTGCTTATATTTTTGCAGGTGTTCGAACAAAAATATTACCACCTGCAAAAATATTTTCATAGGGATAACTTTTTAAAAGGCAGCCACTATTAATGTTACTTATAAAAAATATATATACTTGTAAGTACTGGTTCAAAACAGACCCCTTCCAGAATCCCAGTCCTATGGATTTAAACAGAACTGCTTGCAGGTAAGTACTGGAGACCTAATTCCTCTGTTCCTGTCCCACTCTGCATTGAAGAGACCTGAACAGAAGGGTGCAGCTGCTGTGTATTTCAGTAATGCGTTTTGCTGGATGATGGTGTATTTGTTCTGTTGTGTGACAATTGCCTTTAAGCCTGCAAGATTTCCACTGAACTATTATTACCACGTCATGCTATTAACAGTATCTGAATTCAGCCTTTGAGAGTGACTAATGTCTTAAGGAGATGTTATCTAATTAGAAGACCAATTTTCTGATGAAATCCTTTCTGAAATGTTATTGCTGCAAGTGTCTAAAAGAGTTTGCTGAAAGGATAGTGGTTGCTGTAAAAACAAATAAGAAAACGACTTTGTATGAGGAGAAGACAAAGCAGTATGAGGAATGCTTCACAAAATGAGAAGGGTCACAAAATGAGAAGGGGATTTTTTGTTTGCTTGATTTTTAATGGAAGGATACTGTACAATCACAGGCGGGTCAAGAGACTTCATGGCAAACAGGAAATAGCCACTGACTGCAGACTTAAATTTCATACACAGTCTGGATTCCGCACAAATGGCAGCTCTTAAAATACTGCTTGCTTTTCTGTCTTATTGGATGCACCAGACCTTCTTGTCTATGATAAGACTTATATTTTCCCTTCTGAACAATTAAATCTTTTTTTTTCCCCCTCCTCTTTCTCCAGGGAGACTCTGGGGGACCACTGGTTACTCCAGATTCTAGACTGATGTGGTACCTCGTGGGAATAGTGAGCTGGGGAGATGAATGTGCCAAGCCAAACAAACCTGGAGTTTACACACGAGTGACTTATTTCCGTGACTGGATTACCTCAAAAACTGGCATCTAATTCTAAAATCAAAAATGGATATAATTACATAGGTTACATGTAGCTCATAATGTCTGTACTCGTGAAAGGTTATTTTTTTTTTTTAATATATGTATTCCTATTAGTTTTGGTCAAAGCAAGTTTTGCCTGCAGCAAGCACTATCTTTGCTGTCAGAGATCCTAAGCTCTTGTGAATTTATACTAAACATATGAGATTGCCTTCCTCATCTTCAAGCTTTGAAGTGTTCTCATTTTTATCAGAAATTATAAACAGGTGTTATTAAACTAACATTTAAAAGCTAGCAATTTACCTCCTTAATAAACACAAACATTTTTTTCAGGAAATAAGAAATTTTTTTCAGCTATGGCTGAGGTCTGAAGATGTCCACACTCTAAGCATAGAGGAAGCTGAACCTTCTTCCTCCAGTGAAGCAAATATTGTCACAGTGTGTTTCTAGGAAAGTAAACCCTTGATTATTATTCTTGTTAGAGATCATCATCTGCACAGACTGCATCTGAGACCCTGGATACTCACCCTGCTCAGTGGTCTTCATAGCTAACAGTGGATCCGCCAGGACTGAGGGTAGGTCCAAACTAAGGAAGAGGAGGATTTCTGTGCTTGCAGTTAGTTCAATGGGACAAGACAAGAAGTTTGATGTTCTTGTTATATAAAGCACGCTTTTAAACAGATTTTTTTGGTAGATTTTATGAAGTTCAAGTTACTCAAAAATGCTACTGTAGAAGTGCTTTGTTGCGATGCTGTGCTGCTACTTCTGGAGCAATGCCCTTCTCTACAGACTGTTCAACTCACATCATGCTAATGATGCAGAAACACTAGCTCTACCAAACTTTATTTGTAATGTGTGACCCCACAAACAAGCTCACTGGAATGCAACCCAGCATTTAAATTTATGCTAAAGGAAAAATAAGTACTTGCCACAAATAATCTGGGAACTACCTTTTTACTTCAAGTCAAGAAACAGTGTGCCTTCCAAGGGCATGCCAGCCAGCAGAAGTCATCTCACTGCAAAGAAAATAAATAGTGATAAACCATCTTGTTTCATTGATGATTGTGCCATGGATAAATATGATCTTGTCTTTCGAGTCTGAAGAGCAATTTCATATTGAAGAACAGTCCAAATGGAAACTTCAGAGTAAACGCTATCTTCATATGCAGATTTTCCTACCTCTGTGCATGACATCTACTAGATTTTTGGTGGAAGGGAGTCCAGTGACATGACTATTGCTGTTCCCTACAGCCCAGGCCTTCAATATATGGAACCAAAATGTCAATCCAGTACTGTCTCCTTCTGCTGTCTTTGAATGACCACAGGACTGCTTTTAGGCTGTGAATACAGGACTCACGGGAGTCTGTACGAGACGTGAAAGATGCTGCAAACCCCACAGCTAAATTTAAAACAACTGAAAATCTCTCCAGAGCATCTCACCTCCTCTTCTGCTCAGGATTGGGTCTCTCCTCAGCCTTTCTACTGTGCAAGCTCTGTAATAATCAGAATCCATGGGAACAGGATGCTTATCATTTCCTGAAAAGTCAAACCCTGAATGAAAATGTACACATGGATGGAAAATCCTATGTTGAAGCCTTAAAGGGGTGGGAGAGAGATCGTCTTATTTTTCAGCTCCTTCCAGTCTTTTTTCCATATCTTTTGAATTTTAGCTTAAAAAAAAAAAAAAAAAAACAACAAAACAAGCAACCATCAAAAATGAAGATGCCTTGTCTCAGAAAGAATTGAAGATTTTAGTTCAGCTTTGCTTTTGAAATAATAGTATCTTTCTTCTGATTTTCCATGTTCATTTAAAAATGAAAAGGATCTTGGGACAGTTAGGAGGATAGTTGGATGCAGCAAATCTGTTTCCTTAATTTATTGATGAACTTTGTAATTTATGCACTTTTGAGTTGCTGCTATTTTTAAACTAAGAATTTACTCTGGGCTAAATGCAAACTGTAGAGTTTGGGATTAGGTCACTTGGGAACACTACAAGAATGTAGTGTTCGGGTCCCACTTCTGTAGGAGAATGGGGAAAAGAAATTACACCTAGTTTTTTGTGCCTCTTATTGTTTTAAAGCTGAATGCCCTTCCTTATAATCAGCAGATGAATTGCAATTGAAAGTAAACTGTAGTTCACTTTCAGAGGGACGTAAGGCTTTGTTTTTCACTTAAATCTTTTTGTCTACCAAATGGAGGGGCAGCAATAAGGGATCAAGGCCCAGGTTATCTATAATCCATATAAACTGGTTCCTACCTCACACTGAAAGTAACATGTATGTAATAATACCTTTAAAATGAGAAAGGCAGCCTTTATTTCAGATTTTATTGTGAGAGGCCAAACAGCCGAGAGGCGTGTGGGAGAATGTCTACCTTACTCAGGGAGTCCTGAGCCAGCCAGATGCACTTTTCTTCACAAACTTTTAACAAACTGTCTGGCCTGGGTTTGTCTTATACTCCATGTCAGTGTTTTATTTATGAAGACTCTGTTTTCTGCAGTAGAATTAAAAAAAGAGAGAGACTATTGTGTGATTAAGGAAAAAAATTTTTAAAAACCTTTTATTATTGTTAAGATTTAGTAAGGATTTGAATGATATAAAAGTAATATATTTCATAATATTAAATGTATTTAGAAACAATTGCTCTTTTTTTGTCCTTTTTTCTTTAATAGTAACTCTGTTGAAATGTGTGATTGATTCAGAATAGACTAGTCTTTAGTTTGTTATAAGACTTCTGAAACTTCAGTTCTTTCTGTTCATTCCTGATCCCAGGAATTTTGGTTCTAACAGTGGCTGGAGCTTTACAGACATTTCTGCAGCAACAGAAGTGAGACATTAATTTTCAAAACACTAAAATACTCCAATGGGAATTTCAATACAGATAGTGCTGTGTAAATTTGAGAGTAAATCTGAACTTTCATCCAGGAAACAACCACCATGCTTCTTGCCTTGCGAAATCCTATCCTTGTAACGTGACGTTCTTGGCTCTTGGCAGTAGGGACTTCTATGCAGCTGACATACCAATTCTCCTGAGATTAGCCAGGCAGATTTACAGCTTCCAGAAGCATGTTCCAAACTTCTGGTTATCCAAATCAAGTTGGTTGAGGCTTGCCCAATGCTAACATGCAACCTGAAGCACAAATAGGAAGGAAATAAGAGCCTGATTGCACAAGGCCTAATCGCCTGAGGAGGTCTGGTTGAGTGACATCAAGCAGTCATTGGGATATCTTATGTAAGTAAAGCTTGTAGAAACTCCAATTCCACGTCTAGTGTTCCTGTTAACAAATTAGAAGAACTGAGAGCCAAAAGGTATTATGTACCCCAATTAATACTTATCTGGCAACTTGCAGCTTGTGTTAGAGTTACATGTGCATGGAAAAGCTGGCTTTTGCTTTTGGAAATGCTTTCAAGTGTGTTAGCTTGGAATCACCTTGGGTAATTGGTACCTTTTGTTTATCTGCATCAGGATTTTAAGAACACTGTTAATGTGGTTTCTAGGAAGGTGTCACAGTGTGAGTGAGAAGACTCTTCAGCCCATCACATTGTGAAAGTGGGGGCCTTTTAAATGTGCCAGCAAAGCACTTCCACATTGCATGTCCTGTCAAAAAGAGTAGATAAAAGCCTTACCAGACAGCACCTCATTGCTTTAAGAGCCCATTGCCAGCTATAGCCTATGGCAAGGAGTTTGGAAATCTACTAAAGTAATGCTGCTGATGTGGATTTATGGATATTTATGCACAGGCCTGTGTGCTAAAGAGAATTGTGTAACGCATTTCTAGTGAGAAAATGATACAGAGATTTGTGGCTAATTTATTAATTGAATTGAATTGAACTTGCTCCAAAATCTCCCCTAGGGAGTTCTTATCAAGAATTAGAAATTGCACCTGAAATTCAGAAAATTAAGACTTAAAAAGTGTTAGTGGCTGGGATTTTCATAGCAGATGGAAGGAAGCTTTACAGCTATCTGCTGTAGTTCCTTTTGCAAACATTGGTTTAAAGAAGTATTCAATACCTGTACACAGAATGAATCTACAGTAATGCACTGGCCCAAGCACAGAAAGTTTTTTCCAATAGAAAGGTGCCAATGATTGGCCTTAGAATGCCAGAAAGCTGAAAGCCTTGTGTTGGTACCTTTTGCCAATCTCAAAAACTATAGCTTACTTTAATCTGGTACAACTACAGAGGATTATTTTGTTTTCCGATTAATTATTTTTATTTTTTATAACTAAGGGCTTAGATTTATATGTGTTTATAAAAGATGAGGTTGTGCGTGAAAAGAAAGAAGTGGCTCCAGATGTTTCAACTTTTGCAATGTTGGAAAATAAGCACTAAACCTTTATGCTTTTTATTTGTACCATCAAAAAAAGAGAGCTCCTGAGTATACTTGCTGTCTGGGAAACAGTTTCTTTGGCTTCTATGGTAAACAGAACCTGTTGGTTTTATTTGGCAGTTGGGTTTAGAATGCCTGTATTTATGGTTTCATTGACAGTGAGTCTTTGCTTTATTCCTGCTGAACTGATGGACAAGAATTAACTGGTTGCTATCTCTCCATTTAGGCAAAGGGCTTTTCAGTGTTCAATGTTACTACACAAAATCTGGTTTGTGTGGAATGACTGCATATTGAGGTGATATGCATCTCAAGAGTGCAATAACCAGGACAGAAACAGGGTATGTAGCAGATTTTTTTTTTAAATTTTTCATAACACATTTGATTGATACATTCTTAAAAATAGTCTTAAAAAGTGTTAGTTTAACATTAAATATATATGGAGACAGAGAAACATGCTCATTTTTAAGGAAAGAAACCGCAAATTAAAGGTAAAAATCACTGAGAAAAAATAACGAAGTGGCAAAACTAAAGCTGATATTTTTTTTTTGGCATCTTCAAACTTTTCTTCACTCTTTTTTCACTCGGTAGAGCTGGAACTCCATGTAATTCCTTTCATGAGGTATGTGCGTGGCTCTTTAAGTCATTGAAATAATGTAACTGATTTTATGTTTATTTGTATACTTTGATTTCGGGTCTTTTGCAAAAAAGAAAAAAAAAAAAAAAGATGAAAAGCAAATACCAGCCTTAAATATCAGTTGCCTTACTAGTATGAATTGCATTCTTCCTGCATTGCTTTCTTGATTATTCCTGGCTTGCAGTCCACCATTTTAGACTTCTAGTGGCCTCTAGTGGTCCTAGGAAGTTTGTCTATATCTTCTCTCTGTTGTAAGAAACCCACATTTAGTGGGCAAGTACTTTCAGTGTGATCCTGTCACAGCAAGGCCTGTGTTTGAATGATGAGTGTTGTCCAGCCACTCTTAGTCTTATTTAATAATTCAGCACAAAAGCTGCTCCCATAATTGGGGAAGACTTGGAAGGATCAAGTCAGTCATATGCCGGTCAGTCATGTAGCAGTTACATGAGATAGAAATTCTAATATAATTGAAAATAATGCAGCAGATGTGAATGCACAAAGAGCGTCAAAACTTGGGATTTGAAGGAAGGGGAACTTGAAGGTAGATATCACCAGCCTGGTAGGAGGGCTCTTAGCACTGAGGTCTTAACCAGAACTGGGAAATGGGAAGAGGAGAGGTAGTGGAAAAAGTGATGTGAATGGAAGGTGATGTGGAATTAGTGGTACCAAAGCTCTGTGGAGACTGCAATAGTTACCACAGCTTGCTTTAGTTATCTGCACTGGCTGAATACCACTATTGTCTCCCTGTACTCAGCCCTGGTGAGGCTGCACCTTGAGTACTGTGTTCTGTTTTGGGCCCCTCGCTACAAAAAAGACACTGAGGCCCTGGACTGTGTCCAGAGAAGGGCAGTAGAACTGTGAGGGGTTTGGAGCACAAGTCTTACGGGGAGTGGTTGGGGGAGCTGGGGTTGTTCAGTCTGGAGAATATGAGGCTCAGGGAAGACCTAATGGTTCTATACAACTGCCTGAAAGGAAGTTGTAGCAAGATGAGGTCAGCCTCTTCTCCCAAGTAACAGCGACAGGATGAGAGGGAATGGCCTGGGGGAAGTTCAGGCTGAGTATTAGGAAATATTTATTCTCAGAAAGAGCGGCAAGGCAGTGGCACAGGATGCCCAGGGGGGTGGTGAGGTGTTTGAGCAGTGGGTAGATGTGGCACAGAGGGACATGGTCAGTGGGCATGGTGAGGATGAATTGATGGTTGAACTGATGATCTTAGAGGCCTTTTCCAACTTTAATGACCGTGATTCTATGAAAAACAAAAACCAAAAAACCAACCCACAGAGGTTTCCATGAACTGTTTGGGCTTGCACTGTTGTTTGTATGTTGTGTGCATTTGTACCTTTAGATGCCGGGCAGCATACAGTAGGGATGCCGAATTTCTCTACCAACCCCCCTCTTCAATAAATTTGGTCTACATTTGAGATAAGGCCACGTCTTGCTGGCTTTGGTCCTACACTGCATGGAGACAGCCTCTGGAGAGCAGTGCTCAGAAATAACCTGTCACTTAAATTGGTAACTCTTGAACATAATGTTTGTTTTTTAATTTCTATTTATTAGCAGCACGGTGCTTGCAGAATTTAAAAAAAAAAAAAAAAAGCAATAAAAAAAAGCTTTCAGTTGCAAATCACCCCGTGAGAGCAGAAGCCGGAGGACAACACAGCAACCCCGTGTCGCGGCCGCCATGTCGCGGCGGGGCGGAGCAGGAGGCGGGCCGACCGGCGCGGCCATAGCCCGGCCCCTCATGCCGGCGCAGGCGGAGCGGCCCCGGCTTCCTGCCTTTCCTCCTCGGCGCGCCGGCAGCACGCAGGCCTGCTCGCAGTGCCAGGCCGCCGCGGTGAGGGCGGGCTGTGGGTCGGGGTGTGTGGGGCCCTGGGGCGGGAAGGCGGGCGGGCGGCCTGAGCCGAGGGAATGTCCCGGCGCCCCGGGGGTTTCGGCAGCGACCCCTCGAGGAGAGGGGCGGCCGCGGGGATGCCCGCAGACCGGAGGGCCGCGGGTGGGACGGGTTTGTTTTAATGCCTTTTGGCTTTGCGTCGATACCCTTAAGCGGCGGTGTTGCCCCGCGGGGTTGGTAATAGCGGGTGTGAGCGTCCTTTCTCTCCGCTGATCAAACAGGGAGTCTGCCTCCACCGGGATCTGCCTCCGGAAGCCCTGGGTAGGTGGGATGCGGCCAGGCCTCCCTGCTGTCCCGGCCTGCTGAGCGGCGAGTAGTTAGCTGAGCTGTGATAACTTCGAGGTAAGGAGCACCGTGAAACCAAACCAAAAGCCACGACTCGTGAGCTTTTGCCTTTCTTCAGAGCATCTCAATCCTCCTTTCCCAGACGTAGCTTCTTAGTTTGTCCCTGGACTGTGTTCTGCAAGCAGCTGAGGGTGAGAAGAAATGGAAGCATATGTATATAGTGTTGAGTGCTTGGTAAGGACCCGTAAGCAGGACCTTCTTTGAGAGAGGTTCAAATGGGCTGAGATAAAACGAGGAATACGGCTTGGATGCTGAAATACGTGAGCAGAGTTTTGTCCTAGAGCTGCTTGACCAAAGTACTACTAAGTTCTTTTTTGGAATAACTAAGTCTGTTTTGCCAAACGCAGTTGGCATGCAGGTAGCAGCTCTGTGCTGTAACAAAGAATGCAGGAATAGAACTGATGGTAGGTAAATATGTATTGGAAATGCTTTTCTCAGATGTATTTTTGTAATTCAGATGGCAAACCTTGTGTGTTCATCACACATCATTATTTACAAGTGGCTGCTGGGGAGGCAGGCGCAAGCATGCTGCTGCAGCAGAAGCAGCTGGAAGGCTGTGAGGGAGGAAGATGGGTGTTTTACTTTGGGGTGGGTCAGCTTCCCCACCTTCGTACCAAAACCATTTTGTTTTGGGCAGTCCCAAAGTGAAAGTGCTGTGGAGGAGCTGAGCAGCTCAGAGGTGGTTGCATTGGGCCATTTTGAGATGGGGTTGGTGTAACCTGAGGAGACTTTCAGTCTGGATTTCCAGACAGAGAGGAAAAGTTAAGGCTTTTAGCTGAGCAGAGACTCAAGTACTGGACTCTCAGATGTGGTCTGATACTTTCTGTATTGAGAGCTGCTTTCTAAGATAATCTATTAAGATTGGTATTGCTTATATTCAGTGCTTGCTGTGGAAGTGGGTAATGATGGAAAGTGCTACATGCTGATTACCTTCTGTGTTGGCTAATGTGTTAGATCTAGTATCCCCACTGTGGAGCAACTTAACTGGTCAGATTTATGGCCTACTCTCCAACATACCTCTGTCTCCTCTCTTAGGAGAAGAAATTGTAAGCTATGTCTAAAAATCTATTGTTTTCTGGGGCTGTTTGTGGGGATCTTATATATGTTCTTTTTTAACTGTGATAGATGCTGATGCTCTGGGTCAAATTTGGAAGTTGTTTTGCTTTTCCTGTATTTGGTGGCAGATCCTGCCAGATCTAGAGGGGATAAATTCTAGCCTGCATCACAAAAGAATCATAGAATGGCTTGGGTTGGAAGGGACCTCAGAGAACCCACGGGCAGAGTTGCCAGCCACTAAATGAGAAACTAGATCTGATTGCACAGGGCACTGTCCAACCTCATCATAAAAAAAAAAAAAAAGAATGCTTCATGAATTTGCATGTCAACCTGTCCAGTGGCAGAGCTTCTTCATTTTCCCGGTGCCTACTGATTACTTTAAAATGAGAAGGTCTTAATAGCATGTATACTCTGTTCTTATAACTCTTTTGAACTGTTTAATTTGATTTCTTAGTTAAATGCTTTCACATCTTAATGTGACTTTTTTGCTCAGTTTTCCAACAGAATAACTGGAAATGGCAGGAAAGATGGCAAGTTGAAATCTATTTTAACTATATTCTTTATTTTGTAACCAGTTTAGTGCAAATCAATCGCACTGCGTCATGGCAGCAGACTCTATGGAAATCGACGATGCTTTGTATAGGTGAGAGTATCTGATTTGTAAGTGTTGTTCTTGATGTTTCAGCAACTCTTAGCTCTACAGATTAATGTGAAAGACAGGGCTTGAAAGCAGTACCTACTGCCTGTTAGTCAAGGTATGCCTACTTGTGCTGCTCCCTCCTTTGGTTTGAAGGTGGAAGGAAAAAACATCCAGCTTATCAAAATGAATCCACTTCCTGCTAAGCTTCTTAACCAGTTCTTAAAACAAACTATAGTTTGAAAATATAACCCATTTTCCTGTGAAACTGTTCATTTTTCCAGTATCGTAACATCTGTTTTCTGTCCAGATGTCAGGTGGTTGAATTTTGCCTGGATTTTAGGTTTGGCTTTGTTTTCTTTGTTTCTGTTTCTGTTCGTTTTAATTTTTTAATTTGTTAGCTGCGAGTAACTTGAGATCATTTGGCATGACAAAAGTTTACAGTATTTGGAACAAACAGTATCTCTAGAAGAACATGGTGAAATGAGAAGCTGCTTAAAAAAAAAAAAGCAACAAAAAACCCAATCAAGTAAACAAAACCACAAGAATCTTATCTTTTGCGTGCTGAATAAATGAAACACCAACCAAGCTGCTTGCCTTTGACACAAGTTTCACAAAAATCATTTTTCATCAGGAGATGGTGCTTAAAATAGTTTTAATTTAGTTGTGCAGTTGGAAGCAACCAGTGTTTCAGAGTTCTGAGTTTGATCACAAAAGCTGCTGCGCTCCCTGATGTGAAGATTTCTGATAGTGAAGGAATTCTTTAGTTTGCTTGTATCTTTAAGAATTAGTTCTGAAATGATTTTATACTGTCCTTACAGTTTATACTGTCTTTACAAAAAAAATTGCACTGATTTAAAACAAGAAATATTTTTTTCTCTAAAACATGGAATTGAAAAGCACTCTACTAAATGCGTTTTGCTATTTGTATTGTGGGCTCAAATACTGCGTTTGATAAGCATTTATTTCCTAAGCCATTGTACAGTTCAGGCTATGCATGTTGCATTCTTAGTTCTTGTTGATTGGAAAACTGGTAAATATAGCTGTGCACCTGTCACTGCTGATGCATGTTCATCTGCAGAAGGTAGAACTGTGGATTGAAAGCTGATTGGGACACTAGGAGGAAAAGAATAGCTATAGAAACTGAAAGCATTTTAGCTTGCTCTTGATTTTTGTTTGTGTCTTGCTTTAATTTGAATTTATCTTTGATGTAGTCGGCAGAGGTATGTTCTTGGAGACACAGCAATGCAGAAGATGGCTCAGTCTCATGTGTTCCTGAGTGGTGTAGGTGGTCTTGGTGTGGAGATCGGTAAGTTTGGGTATCATTTGTGTAAGCAGACACAAGCATACGTAAACATACTGTCCCAGCTTGCTTCTAAAGCTTATTTTAGATGTAATAAGAATGTCTGAGCTATCTGAGTGAATATATGTTCAACAAGTGTAAGTAGCATAGATGATGGAGAGCTTGAGGGCTTCTACCTGAAAAGCTTCCCAGTAGAACAAAGTTCTAAATTTTACTTGAAAATGTGCTTGTAGTGCAGGTAGCTTTACCCAAAATCTCATGTCTGGGTGAAAATTGAGAGTGTGTAATCTGGATTATTTCTTCAAGTTTCATTGTCAGTAAACCTAATATAGGAACAACTATAGACTGAATTATTGCTTTACAGAAAATGGGGACGTAAGGGGAAGGGGAACAGATAGAATTTGGTTAAAATTGTATAATTGCCGCAGTGCAAGAGGGCCCGTAACCATTCATTTACTCTTTAAAAAACAGCCATGCCAAGTCTTGTCCATACCTAGATTATTACCCTTTCAGTTGCCTTTAGTGGAACTCTGCACCAAATGCCAGAATGTGTATGTGAGGTTTTGCTGTTTATTATCATTAGCATCTCTGTAATCACATTTGTGGGATGAACAGCTGATGAATGACAAATTTAGAAGAGTCTTTTTAACTTTGCTCTTGTTCTGATTTCAGTGGTGGTATAGAGTGCTTAAACTAAACATGAAAGAAAACAAACCCTTAATCTGTGAAGTTCTTAGGAATGACATACTGTTACTGTCCACCCACGTAACTTTTCACTTAGAGCTTTGTGAGAGATCTGTAACAGCCTCTTTTTTATTTTTTTTACTTTTTTAGCCAAAAATATAATTCTGGCTGGTGTAAAGGTATGTAAAATAGTTCTGTTCTTCAGTGAGCGGGAGGTAACGGGGCAGCACCATGAAGCTAGCTAATCCTAAGTTTCTGAAACTGCCTTTCTGTGGGAAAACTGCAAAACATGAGGATCTGGCTACAAAAACTTCAGAATGTCATAGTAGTATGGTGTGAGTCTTGCATTACTGCGAAATCTGAGTTTTCATGCCTTCTTAGATCCTCAGTAGAAGCATTCTGAAATAGTTCACATGAAATATTTCAGACAACTGCTGATCAGGTATTGAATGGCTTTTTTTAAAGCCATCTCTCATAAATGGCAAGTGGGATAAATGCAAAAGCCAAACTCTTCAAAATGTTACCCTATTCTGTCACTTGTCAGAATCCATTTATATAGAATCTAAAACGATTGCATGTTTTGATCTGACAACTGCTTTTGTGTTGCTGAGATTAATGTTATTAGAAAAGCCTTTTAACATTGTTTTTTTCAGTCACTAAAAAACTGTAATAAGTTTGGGAGCTTGTTCAATTATAGATTGCAGTTTTGCATTTTAATTGCAGTATGGCAGAAATCATCCTCAGTATTTAAATGTTCTCACCTCTGCAAGCTGGGAGGAAAATGTGTAATGAAATTTGTCTTCTGGATCCATTCCTCTCTCTCAAACAGGAAGAGCTCTCTTGGCAAAGAGACTGGAGGAACTCATTCCTCTATACATTATAACCAGACCTTCTGTGATGCTAGTCTTTACAGCAATTTACACGGGGCTTAATCCATTCTTCTGTGTGCTAACGCAATAGATGTGTTGTTTTTTTTTAATTCTTTCTTAGGCTCTTACGGTTCATGACACCAAGCAATGCACAAAGTGGGATTTAGGGACCAACTTCTTTATCCACGAAGATGACATAATCAGTCAAAGGAACAGGTTGGTCAAGTCTCTGGGGTGAATATAAATTGCATATCTCACTTCTTAAATTTAGTAGTGAGGGCCAGAGTGTATTTCTTCCTTAGATTTTCTCATCCATCTTTGCAAGACTAGAAGATGGCCGTGACTTCAGAACATCAGCACGTACTACTGTCTGTTGGATACAGCTTTTTTCCTCAGACCTACTAGGAATTTAAATGTAAAGAAATAAGATTGTCACTAGGAACTCTTGTAGGGCATGTGTAGTATGAAGTCCAGTTTAGAATGCAGAAAAAAACCTGTTTTTGTTCTTTTAGGGCTGAGGCCACTCTTCATCACATTGCAGAACTTAATCCATATGTGCATGTAGCAGCATCGACTGTGCCACTAGATGAAAGCACAGATCTGTCTTTCCTAAAGCAATATCAGGTATGTCACTCTTCAACAGAGCAAACAACTTGATCTTTTTTATGTAAGTAAGTGAAATTGAAACAAATTTTCAAGTACATTCTGAGATGATTGAAGGAAAGATGTGTTTGGACTAATTAAATGATCCTGCTTGTTTTTTCAAGACTGAAACTGTTTCTGTTCCTAGCAGTTCACATCAATTATGGAATTTCTGCGACAATAAGTAGTTACTTGAGACTTGAGATAGAATGTTTTTCTTATTTACAAGATAAAACTGTGACTTTTTTTTCAGTTATATTGCAGTATGTTCTGCCTGTATTTTGTACATTGTATTTTGTGCAGCAGAAATTCTTTCTGTTCAATTAGGTTATTTATGTATGTATGTACCTAATTAGCAGAATGTGAGCTACTCTGTAGTGGAATGAGGATTTTTTCAGTTGTTCAGCCAACTGTCTCCTGCCTGTGTGCTTGACTCAGAATGAGTTGGGATCTCATACTTTTTGGCTGTTGATTATACCCAAGCTAAGCAAATTTCTGAGTGTCTCAGCTATGCAAAGGAGTATAGGACTGAATGGGACACAGGGCATACACTTTGTAACCTAAGATTTTCCCAAACTTCAGAAGTGTTTGTCAAAATGGTCTGCAATTTAAAGAACACTGTTAGATGAATCTTATGCAGGCTTCATGGTATGCACTGGTTAGTGTTAGTATATATCAGTGCTATTATTTGCTAATTCTAATCTTAAAAATCAGGAGCTACATTTTTTTCAGAAATGATGTATAATTTTCTAGACTGCTGTAATTAAGTTTTGTTTCACAGCTGCAGTAAAAAAGTGAAAATTTGCTGTTCCTGGCCCTGTTCACCTTATTTCTCCAACTAGTGGAGTGGTAACTCACCTGTTCTAATGAGAAAACTTGATGTGAGACCTCTCTCTCTGCTAAGCAAGAGGAGGAAGAAAGGAGTCTTAGAGGTTCAGAATTCCTGAGTAACATACTGTTACTGTAACTTTTTCCACCCTTAAAGCATCGATTGTTTTTGGTGTTTTAGCTTTATTTGTATTCTTGCTCACAGTGTGTCATATTGACTGAAGTAAGCCTATCACTGCAGAAGAAGATTAATGACTTCTGTCATGCTCAGCAGCCACCCATTAAGGTAATAGAAAAATTAAACAGGTGATTAATCCATACAGTGATCATTCTGCAACATGCTCTTTCCAGAAATGGAGAAAGCATGTTGTGAGGTATATAGTTTTCTGCAGATACTGTGTTGATGGAGCAGTGTGATTTGGGGGAGTTTGCTGCTACTGTTCTGTGCATATGTTTGATTTTATTTGGGTAACCATAGGCTTGTTCCTTAGAAATTAAAAAAGAAAAGAAAAGAAAAAAAAACTTGTAGTAAAGAAATAGTTGTCACCATTAGCTCATAATTCTTGTTGAGAGAGAACAGGGTGAGACTAAATGTGACTGTAGTAAAAATGGCAGTACTTCACTTCTTATCGCTGTGACTCCTGTTTTCTGTGCAGAGGTTCTGAAATGCTAATGAGTATTCCAAGTCTGTCTCTAATGCTGTGATGTGTAGTCAATGACCTGGGTGTTTGTGACAGATTTTCACCAGATTTTCTGCTAGCTTAGGACAAGGCTGGTTGTGAGAATTCATTCCTTTGGCATAAGCTGTTTCTGAGATGCTCACAATATTTGCTTTGTTTTGTAGTTCATCAGTGCAGATGTATATGGCATATGTTCACGTTTGTTTTGTGACTTTGGTGATGAATTTGAAGTGTTGGATACAACAGGAGAGGAGCCAAAGGAGATCTTCATTTCAAATATTACGCAAGTAAGGGATAGATGTAATTGTGCTACCATAACCTTGCTTTATTATAAGTCATTACTGGCTTCCTGGCCAACAGTGTATTCCAATGTGAATATTTTCATTTATTTTTCTTACAATTCCTAATCTGTTATTTGAGCTTAGTTGCACCCTATTTCCACACTCTGGAGTGGAAAAATTGTCATAGATGACCCCCTTGGTACAGCAGAACTGAGGAGCTGGAAGTATTAGTAACTGCATTTTCACTTGTCAAAAAAACTTCTTGATAATGTGTGGCATCTGTAAATGAAACTCTTTTCTCCTTGCTAACTTTGTTGCATTTGCTTTCAGTCAAATCCTGGTATTGTCACTTGCCTTGAAAATCATCCACACAGGCTTGAAACAGGACAGTTCTTAACCTTTCGGGAAGTTAATGGAATGTCGTGTTTAAATGGCTCCACACACCAGATAACAGGTAGAGTGTTGCTGACTGGTTGCAGTGTACATCTTGGGCTTTTTGTGAGCTCATTATGCTGTTATAGCCAGAAGAGTGCTGGACTGTGCAGACTCTACAGTAAGCTCACAAGAAAAATTATCTTCTGATATGGAGGTCCTGTGTTGTCTTAAGTTCTTTTCTATTTAGAAAAGCTTTTCTAAACTTATCTTGCTGTTTAAGGAGCAGTAGAAACTCCCAGCTAGTGGAAGGTAGCTGACAGCTTCTTAGGTTACTGTCACCAGTTTGATGACACTACTGTTCTTTGTTTTGGGAATCGTGTAAAGCCTGTGCTTCTGTCACTGTTTGGACTACATTAATGCTGCTGTGTATGTCACTGTTAGCCTTGTAGTTCCTTGTGTTACAATTTAAGGGTGGAGGGATACATTGTTATCACTCTGTTTCTGAGCATGCCTTTGAATCAATTCTCATGAATTGCATGTACCCTGCTTTTGTTTCTGTCGTGGAGGTCTCTAGGCTTGCTACTGAGTTCTCTTTGGATGCTGGGGAGCCATCTAATTGAGGGGAGTGGGGAGAAGAAGGGAGAACAGACATAGGAGTCTTTCAGTTGTTTTTAATTACTTTGTGGTCTGAAATAAAAGCTGTCTCTTTGAGAGGTGGTTGAGTCTGTTTTCTCTGGACTTATTTGTTTAGCCAATTCTGGTGCTATATTCAGTTCTTTCCTGTTAATTATGACCCAGTTTTTGATTTCAGTCTTCATGTCCCATGAATTACCAAAATGTTTTGGTCAGCTTCCTTTATCTGAATAATGCTCCAGGTGGTCGGAGGGAAAAGATTTAATTTGCTTTACTTGGCAGCTGGAGCTTGTTTCTTTATTATTTGTTGTTCTAGTCTTCTCTAAAATCTTACTCTGAGTAGTATAGTGGATAGTTATAGTTGTACTGAGTAGTATACTGCTGCTGTGCACAGTCCAAATAGAAGTGAGAGTGATTTCTTTTTTGTTACAGAGCTGTGGCCATCAGAATTCTCATTAAAACTACTCTAAAAGGCTTATTTCATAATAGATCATGTGAGACTAATACTTTGGCAGAGAGGGACAATCCCGTTAGTTAAGGAGCCTGTGTAGAATTGTAGCATGTGTTGTCTGTCATTGCCACAGTGTTCTTTCCTCTTTTCAGTGGTGTCACCATACTCCTTCAGCATTGGAAATACGTCAGACATGGAGCCTTACCTGCATGGTGGCATAGCTGTCCAAGTGAAGACACCCAAGATGTTTTACTTTGTAAGTGTGTTTGTCAAAGCCGGTTTCTTTAGTGTTAACAGTGGAAGCATTGGAAGCAGAGTTTAGGAGGTGATTTGGTTACACGTGATTCGTGTTTACATTTAACTTGGGAAGGATGGTGACAATAAATCACAGAGAGTAAGAAATACTTTAAACTCAAAGTTAACTAGTATAGGAGAAAAATACATGGGCAGACCATTTTTATATGGTAGGGAGCCCATAAAAGCCTACAGATATATGGTTTCTTGGCAGCCTTCTGAGAAAAAGCGATGAGTTTGTGTGAAAAGGATTGGAAGCTGTGTGGTGCTGTGTGCCATTTTGGGCCCACAGAAAGTTGAAGCTGGTTGCACTTAAATGTCCTGCAAGGGAGCTGGAAGTGAGGACCAGCTGCAGCTGATATGAAAATGACCGGCTTAGGGGCTGTATCCTGTCTCTGCAAAGCAGTGGCTTTCTGGTTTTGGTGAATTGCAAAGATATATGTGCACACAACCAGTTTCTTGTAAAATATCCAGTAGGTGACCTCAGAGCAATTGGAGAAATGGATCTTGCCACTGTGATGTGAAACATCCATTATACTTTTGACTGACAAAACTTTAAGTTTTATTTTATGCATCTTTTCTAGTTGTAGTTATGAAGGGAGTATTATAAATGCTAGCAAGAAAAGATAATCACTTCTTACTCTCTTCGGGGAGTGTATTGGTTTTCTCAGGAAGCAGTAACTGTTGTGTTAAGTGACTGTGTTACTTTAATTATGTTTTTCCAGGAACAGTTGGAGAAGCAGCTAACAAATCCAACGTGCCTAGTTGCAGATTTTATCAAGCCTGAGGTAATTAATGTGTGGGGATTTGAGTGTCAGTGTTGTAACCTTGAAACTACATAGAATATAATCTGCAGCTCCATATCTGTAGCAGTAAACATTTCTAACTTCTACAGTTGTTAAATGTGAGTTTAGAGGATGAAATGGGAGTAGGACATCAGATTGTGTGCTGACACAACATGCATTGTGAGTTAGGTTTCTGGAGAAACTTATCCATTAATTGCACAAATTATATTGTAAATTCATAGCTCAACCATCTCTCTGTAAATCTGCTGTGTAAAATATCAGTTTTCGATAACTCTTTAATGGATGACAGTATAAATGCTTAAAAGAAACAGTGTTTTTTCTTTAATTAGCTTTGTTTGATTAAAAAAAAAAAATACTGTGGGTTCAAAGCCAGGGCAGTATAGAAAAAAAATAACTGCAGTTAAGTGTGAGAACAATTTCTTTTTCCTCTGTAAAAAGATTCAGTGGTATTTAAAATCCAAGAGGAAGCTACCTGTGTCTACCTCCAACACAATTTAATTGAAATATTATTAATATTAAAAAAGTCAGCCATGTACTCATTAAGATGAGTAACTAAAAAAAATGTTGATCTAGTGATTTGTTTGTTTGATAATGTAAGATCTAACTTGTCTGCTCAGATTTTCTGATGTTGGCCACTAATGCTGGGTTTTGGTACTGCGACTTGGCATAATGCAGTGCATTCTAGTGTCTAATTAAAAGAAAATGGCTGTTTTTGATGATTTCAGCACTAAATTCTTTTTGGGGACTCTAGTTGGACTTGGGTGAAGTGGGTGTTGAACATATACGAGGGGTATCGCAGTACTCCTGAGTAGTATTTCATAAACAGAAACCCATTTTGTAAATCCAATAGCAGAAGATGTTTCATATTGGCTTCTTAATGCTACTGTAGCATTTTTGGAGCTGAGCAGTTCATATTAACTGTTGGTTTTGTCTCCTTCAGTTTGAGCATGTAATACATCAACAGCTGTTGTTGTCTTAACAGGCACCTTTGCAAATCCATGTTGCCATGCTTGCACTGAACCACTTTGAGGAGAACTTTGGTCGCATGCCAAACATTGGGTAATACAGCAGTGTTGTGTTTGCTAAGCCTTGAAACAGGGAGATCTCTACTGTGGCTTGATGTGCAGTGGGGTTCCTTGTCTATCTGGTACTTAGATGACATAGAAATTAAAAGCTGAAATCTAGGTGAAAAATGTTACCTAATACCCACCTAGTTTTGTAACTGGGCTTTCCCAGTGTAGCAGTGGCAAGTTCTGGGCCTAGGTTTACAGAAAGTGCAAACACTTCCTTCTGAAGGCAGTTCTTCTCTATTACAGTTTCTTCACATTGAGAGGTTAAACAGGAGAGGTTGTTCAACGATTCCTGAATTTTCTGTCAGGTTTCATGGCTTTAAAAAAGCAAAAAAGATCAAAAAATGCAAAACATAGGAAGGCTCTGTTTTTTTCTTTACTAGAAATTTGCTTCAGTTATGTGGATACTTCTGAATCCAATGAAGTGAAACTGCTTACAAAGTGTAAATCACCTGACTTGCACGTGAGCTTCTCCACTGAGACTCTTATTGTTGAGCTATCCTCGACATTTAGAGAGCTTCTTTAATGCTCGATATTGAAGCCAAAGCAAATTTCCAAAATCTTCCTCCTGTATCCAGTGATTCTTTCTCAGTTGATTATATTTTTAGAGGGAGTCAAGAATGCTTAAGTGACCATCATTGTTTTCACCCTCGTGTCTAGATGCCATCAAGATGCTGAGGAAATGCTGAAAATAGCCATGTCAATAAGTGAAACCCTGGAAAACAAAGTGAGTAGCAAATGAGTAATTTCTAATATACTCAGTTGTCTGAAGGTCATGCTTTAGTTCTTGGCCCTTGTTCTGATCTCTGTATGCATCTTTAGATGAATTTGGTGATTTTCTGAAGGCCGTGCAAGAAGTTATTGTGGTATATCAGCACTAGTCCAACCACGTGGTTGTCTAAAATGAAAGATGAATTCATGTGGCTGTGTGTATTTAGTTTTTAGATAGCTGCTTGTTAGAAGATCAGGATATGTAGTGGGTCTGCCTTTGCTGGAAACCATAGTCAGAGTGAGGTAATTTCTTTGTTTTGCTATAGATTAATAGTTTTGACACTGAAGTGGTGACTTGATCAGTTGAAGGGATATGTGTACATTATTGTTTTGTTCTATTTTTAAGCCTCAAGTAAATGGAGATTTAGTGAAATGGCTGTCCAGAACTGCTCAGGGATTTCTGGCTCCTCTGGCGGCAGCAGTGGGTGGTGTTGCTAGCCAGGAGGTTCTGAAAGCAGTAACAGGAAAATTTTCTCCATTGCAGCAATGGGTAAGGCCTTTTTCCTTCGGTACCTTTATTTTACAGTGATGTGACAAACATGGGGTTGTGTTGCGAGTGTTGAACAACTTCTTTAATGGGGGAAAAAGACTTGAGGCTGAACTTAGGATAAATATGGTGGTTTTGTGCATACTATAGAAGAACAGGCAGTTTTAACTAAAACTTTTTTATTTAGGATTCAGACATCATACTCAGTGTGACATTGCCAAATGCGATCTTAAGCTACTGTGTATGAGAGCAGTGCTTTCAGGACTCATAAGGCAAATGGCAGAATAAAGTTAAAAGCATCACGGTCCCATTCAGAGGATCACACAATCCTATGATTACAGAGATCATAGTCCAAGTGAAAAGGCTGTGGTTCAGATTTCAGTGACTTCCAGGCATTCCTGTCTGCAAAAGTTGTGTGGTGAACTATAATAAACTATAACAAAATTTCTAGACTCAACTGTACACTGAAATGCTTACTTCTTAACAAACTAAAGTTTTTCATGGTTCATAATTTATTTTTTGTTTTTACAGTTGTATATAGATATGTTAGACATTGTTACTCCTCTAGAAAAGATGGGCTCTGAAGAATTTCTTCCACGGTAAATATAAATACAGTCTGCTTTTTTTATGTACTGTTCTCAAGTAAACACAGATGTCTTTTAAAGTTAGTTTAGTGCTACTTTATGGAGGGAGAGAAGTTTGGGCTTAAAAGTGTGTCTCTCCTATTTGAGAATGGGAGGAATAAGGATTGTAGGGGACTTCGTCTCTTTATTTGCATCAAAGCAGAATTTCATAATGATGATACTCCATAGAAAAAAATAACTTGCTACTTTTCTGTTTTTGTTTCCTGCCTCTCTTTAGGGGAGATAGGTATGATGCCTTGAGAGCTTGTATTGGAGAATCTCTATGCCAGAAGCTGCATGATTTGAATGTTTTCTTGGTAAGAACAGCTGACACTTTTAAGGCTCTTGCTAATACTCCACTAACACAACTGACATCACCTGTCTTGAAGACAGGAGGTCAGACTTGATTATGTATGTTAAAACAGAGTAAGTGGTCTAAAATTGTCATAAACATTCATGCAACAGACAAGTCCTAAGCTGCATGGCTTATATGTTCAATGTAATGCTTGACTTCTAGAGCTAGCCTCATAGCTGAGAATCCACTTGAGTCTTGAAAATCTGTAAGTACAAAGGTTGTCCATCGTCTCTGGACAAGCAGTTCAATGCCTATTTAGTCTTACAAAGGAAAGCATTTCTTTATGCCAGGTTAGAACTTCGTCTGTCTCAATTTTTGTCCATTATCTATCATTCTACTGCTGTACACCTCTAAAAAGAAACTGGCTTTGCCTTGGCAGGAACCTTTGCCTAGAAATCAGCTACTAATATGTCCTTCTCAAACTTTCTCTGATGAACCTATAGATCTTTATCCTCTTTTTGTAGGGCAGGTGTTCCAGACCCCTAATTAGACATACCTAATCTTTTTTTTTCTTTTTGTGTTGAAGGGCACAGAACTGAATCGTCTATTCTAGATATAGTCTAGTGGCTGCTGAGGAGGGGAGACTAATCACTTCCTCAGTCTAGTGGCTGTACTCTTTTTTTAATATTATTCGGTATGAAGTTTGACTTAATTACTGAGGCTATGCTATTGTCTCGTGTTTACTGTTCATCAAGAGCCCATCTCAACAGCAATACTACCTCCACAGTCCGTGCTGTGCTTACACGTGCTCCAGCTGAGGAGTCTGTGCTTATCTGTGTTGAATTTCATAGAGTTCAAGTCATTCATAATAACCTCCAGAAGATTCCTGAATTGTCTGTGTTACTTTTATTTACCAATCTCACTTACAAAGACTTCTCTGAAAATTTCACTCTCTTCAGGTTGGCTGTGGAGCAATAGGCTGTGAAATGCTAAAAAACTTCGCACTTCTTGGTGTTGGTACTGGGCAAGATAAAGGATTGGTAAGTCACACGCATCTGTTAATTTCACATTGCTTATGTATAAGTAATATAACAAGGAAGAATTAAATACTTTGGCTACTTAAAAAGTGTTAAGTCAAAGCCTTGTTTCAGGTCAATCTCTGGCATGGAGACAAATGGCTTCAGTGTGGAGTGAAATTAGACAATTAGAGGCAGAACACACTTGGAGTGGCTTTGCTGTATTTTGTTTTTAAAAGAAAATGTATGAGAATGGACATTATGAGTATGGACAGAGCTATGGGCCATAGGAGAAGTGTTTTGTTTTTACTTATTTTTTACAGTTTGCTTCAAGAGTATCTCTTAGTGCTACACTTAAATAAACTTCAGCTATTGCTTTTGCCCCTTCTGACTTAGGTTACAATTACAGATCCTGACTTGATAGAGAAATCCAACCTGAACAGACAGTTTCTTTTTCGACCTCATCACATACAGGTAGGCTTTTTTGTTCGATAAACTTCTTGGACTGTTGTTTTGTTTCACTGTTCTGTGTCACCACTGGGAGCTCAACCTCTGAATGTGTGGATCTGTGTCTAGAGAACAGCTGTAATGGAGTCCAGTATATTTTTAAATGATAGCTATGCTATGTTGGCATTATCACTGGTATCAGTTGAGTAAACCTAACTCATCTGACCTTCATTTGTATTGGTGTCTTTGACTGATGAAATCTCTCAAATGTTCAGAGAGAGAACCAGATTACAAATGCTGTGGTGCATCAGAAAGTACCATGAATTAATATGCCAGAAATGCCTATTATACCATTGAAATTCAGGGAGAATAAATGAAATAGACAGCAGTGGTAAAAGTTTTCTTGAGGTACTACTACTAAAATAATCTAATTTGACTTAAGTGTTAGCTAGATGCTATGGTTTGTCTTAATTTAGTCTTTATTAAGCAAGTAAATAGCCTGCAAAAAAAATACGTATGTTCAGTATCAGGCACAAATGTTTTTTACGCCTTAGAAGCAGAGAGAGTATCCCTTTACTTGCAAACATGACACAAAATTAAAAAAGATGGTCAAACCTTGACAGCAGTGGGGAAAAAGGATTCCTCTGCCCAAAACCTAGTGGATGGATTTTTTGCCTCCTGTCTGTTAGGCAAATCTGGGAATGAATTATGTTTTGGATGGTTGGCTAAAAGGAAAGTGAACTCTGCAAGCTTTCAGAAGCCACGCTGTCCTGATTTCTGGTGGTGGTCTTTAGTGGTGATCTGTAGATAATTGAATACAGTATTTTGAAGTCATAGACCTGTCAGGTAGGTTGAGAACTCTATTCCAGTTTGGCTTTTGAAACTGGTTTTGTGTGGGACACCTGACTGTAGTGAGATTGTTCATATATATTTGATATCTGTGCTGCATAGTCAAAGTAGCAGTAACGATTTACCCATTGAAAGTCATGAATTGCACCTTTCTTGCAACGCTTTGAGAGTAAGAAAGACAGTATGCAGCATCTGTTTCAGTTACTGGATACATTTATGCTGTACCATTTATGCACTACTTTAAATTAAAAAAAAAAGCCTAAGAGAAATACTTGCAAAGGAGATACATAAGTAAATAGTTTCTTTTATTGTATATTTTGCATACTAGCATTTTTATTCAAGTGAATTGTCTGATTAGCAAGTGAAAGCGATGTTTTTGTGACCAGGTGTTCTTTATCGGAATATTAATAATATATATGCATGTATGTGTATATATTTCAGAAACCTAAAAGCTATACTGCAGCAGAAGCAACTCTGAACATCAATCCTTGCTTAAAAATTGACTCATACATTAATAAAGTTTGTCCAGCCACTGAAAACACTTACAGTGATGAATTCTACACCAGGCAAGATGTGATTGTGACTGCTTTGGACAATGTGGAAGCGAGGAGATACATTGATAGGTAGGTGAACCTCTGTTTTTATATTTTTAATCTCTCTGGATTGCAACTACTTAAAAGATTTGATAGCATTTCACTCAGATTTATTCTGCTGCTTTGACAAGATTGCTGGCTGGGAGGAGGAAGGGATTTGTATTCAGGATGTAAACAACAGGCTCTGAGCAACCTGATCTAGCTGTAGGTGTCCCTGTTCATTGCAAGTGTAGCTGTCTTCAGATTGAATTACTTATGCATGGGAATATGTACTTAAATTTCAATGTAAAAATCCCTACTTATAAAACAAATTGTAGATTGGCTCTGGTTTATGGTGACCTGATGTAACTTGGAGTAGCTCTTCTTATTTAACCTGTTCTTTTCTTGAGTTTAAGCTTTCTGTTGATCTGAAAGGTGCTAGTCACTGTTTGGGTTGTGCTCTGGTAATGTCTGCAAAGCAGGTGTGGAGATAACTCTGTATCCTGATTGTCTGTTTCTTTTCATATCAGTCGTTGTGTGGCAAACCTGCGTCCTCTGATAGACTCTGGAACCATGGGAACAAAAGGACACACAGAAGTTGTTGTGCCTCATCTGACAGAGTCATATAATAGCCACGTAAGTTGTTTATGACATCAACTTCTGCTGTAGTCCAGTGGTACAGTATGATTCTTTAATTGTTTATGTATCTGTCTGAAATAAGTGGCTTATTTGACTTGTTCAGATTCAGTCCTATTAGGAAGTAATTATTTCCTTGGATTCTGAAGAAAAGCTCCATGAGAAATTAAATTTGAGCAAACTGGAGGTACTATGCCCTCTACCTGCCTGGTGATTGATTACATCTAGGCCAATAATTAAAAGCTCTGTGAATGATGAAAGAAACCTTATCCCCTATTTTGAACAGGTATTTGTGTTGGGGGGGAGAAGTTCTGTAATATAACTCAGTCTTGAAGCAATGCCTTGGACAAATTTGAGTTCATTCCAATAAGGTCTGAATACCACATAAGGCCAAAGAAGGACTTCCTTTTTGCATGACTTAAGTGCTTGATTAAGTGCTTGACAAGAAATTGACTGTACTTTTTCCCCCAAAGCTCCCTTCAGAGTAAGAATGCAAGCTGTTTTTTTGCTTGTGGTTTTCTTTCTTTGAGCTATTTTCTGACTGTTTGTTTTGTTCTTGGTGATACTATCTCCAAAGGTAGGCAGGAGAAACACAAGTCTCAGTAGTAGACATTAGTCTGCATGTTTGTACAAAGATGCATATCAGTTCTTTGTAAATGGAGAGGGAGGAAGTTACCCTCCAACCCTTGCGGTTTTCCACAACTTAAGTTCCTATGAAAGTGCTACATTTGCCATGTAGCACTGATGTTGATAATCCTTACAGCTTTACTGTAGGTGATGGGGAAAAAAAAATGTTTCAGGCTTTGCGAGACAGGGTGGTTTTTACCTTGCAAGTGTATGTGAACGTGAGCTGCACACCTTGCATAAATTGGCTGGTAATTACTGTTTCTGTATTAGGATTGAGTTTTACTTCCTGTGTTGTTCAGATGCTTCTTCAAAAAACAAAATGTGTTTTATCCTTCTTTGTTCGGGCATAAATAAGCTACCATGTATTTTATAATAGTGGTTGGAAACTTGCGTTGTCTTCAAGTTCTTGGTCCTATCATTGGTAATAAATTTTATTAAGCCTTCCCTCACAAACAATTTCCCTTAAATATAGCGGGATCCACCTGAAGAGGAAATACCTTTTTGCACCTTGAAGTCTTTCCCAGCTGCCATTGAACATACAATACAGTGGGCAAGAGATAAGGTAAGGAAATAAGTTCCCAGGCTTTTGAAGTGATTGTGTATTTGAGAAGGTGAGGTATTTGAGGTACTTAGTGTTAAATGCTGTATTGTTCTTTTTTATTTTCTAGTTTGAAAGTTTATTTTCTCACAAGCCTTCATTGTTTAACAAGTTTTGGCAGACCTATCCATCTGCAGAAGAAGTTTTACAGGTAGGAGAATGTTGCCTGAATAAAATCCGGAGTTTGAACTAATGCTTTTAACATTTTGTTTCCATTTGTGTTAAGTACAATTTTTTTTCTGACTTTGTTCAGATTTTCTGAAGACTTATTTGGCCAAGGCGTTTGTTGATGTTTCATAGGATTTTTCTGTTGTCACTAAGAGCTAGAGTCTCGAGTGTGGCCTGTTTCTCTAGCTTGGGGATTCTGTACATAATACAGAAATTAAAAACTGAGGGGTTGTTAGCAAGAACAGTGAGTATCTTACAGGTGTGCAGTCAGCTGGGGAAAAATGAAGGGAAGATGTACTTTTGAATGAACTTGAACTACCTAATAAATCACACTTAAACACTTATCTGTTTTTGTCTGTAATGGCTAATGGTCATTTGGACAAGGTGGAAGCAGAACAAGTAGACAGCAGCTCTGTGGAAAAACCAGAGGGAAGGGATCACATGAAGGTTAATGTTCACAAAGCGACCTTCCTTTCCTTTTATACCCGCGACTCAATAAGACTGTACTTGCTGTTTGACTTTTGTGACTAATCTTTTAAAATATTTATTTCCTTCTGTATCTAGAGAATAAAATCAGGGGAGAGTTTAGAAGGCTGTTTTCATGTTATTAAAACACTCAGTAGAAGACCCCGAAATTGGACTCAGTGTGTGGAACTAGCAAGAGTAAAGTTTGAGAAGTATTTTAGCCACAAGGTAGGTAACTAGGGTGTGGAAATGGGGCACCTGTGGACTGACAGGACGTGGTATCTTTAAATAAATAATTCAAATCTTTGCATGTGTTTCCTTCTCTTCTTCATTAATAACAAGCTTTGCTTGAAATCTAAAACTGCTGCATCCCTACCTCTTTTTACTGTAGAGTTTTTTGGGGGGGGATTTTTTTTTTCTTAGACTTTTCTATTAACTATTTCCTAATCCTATTTAGGATTCTCCATGCAGTTGGCATTTTTCCCAACTGACTAGGTATCTTTTATTAAAGTACAATACCTTTTGTTATCTCCCACTAAACTTTGTGTTACTCAACTCTTTGTATTTGTATACTTGATTTTTCTTAAAGCTATCAAAGAAAGGTTGGCTGAAATATGAGCCAGTTTTTCTTCAAGTGTGATCCACAATTTTGCTTCAAGTGTGTTTGGGGGAGGATGGGGGGAATTCTGTAGTAAAGAAGTGTATATTAATAAACGTACAACATCTGTGTCGTGATGACAGTTGTTAGATTTTGAAAATGTTGCTTTCCCAGTTATGAATTTGTATGCCAGAATCCTATAGGTGTGATAAGGTTGGGGAAACACTTTTCTTAGTGTATTTAGTATTTTGCTTGGACCTGGGATTGGTGAGGTGGTAGGTGGGATTTTCCATTGGGTGACATTGTCATCTTCATCCTGTGAATGATTAAGTCATTCTGTCTACATGTACTTGTGTCTCTAAGCTCTCTTGAGAGAGCACTTACCTGTCTCGATACAGGTATCTTAGATTTTCTTAACTCTTTAAATGACTTGTGGTATATATTGGAGAGCCTCAAAAGATGTGTAAAGGTTTCACATTATTACTAAAAAGGAGATTTTGATTTTGTGATGTTGCATCAGCCTGACAAACTGCTAAAGCCACTCTGTCTTTCCTTCTAGGCTCTTCAGCTTCTTCATTCATTTCCCCTTGATACACGATTAAAAGATGGAAGTAAGTACACACACCTCCGTGTGCCTCCTGTGAATTCATGGCACATGTCATGTGTTGCTGTTCTAGGATTTCATCTTAAGTCTGTCTTCTAACCAGGTTTGTTCTGGCAGTCACCAAAGAGGCCGCCTTTTCCAGTGAAGTTTGATTTTAATGATCCTTTGTAAGTATTGCTCTGCATTTTAAAATACCCTGTGAAGCTCACCCCATAGTAGAGCAGTGGCATTATGGCACTGCAAGTTGGACTGATATTTGTTGGGTACTGGTGCAGAGTTTTATATAGTGGCAGACTGAGTGAACCATCTTAACCAGTGCAGGTAATTTAACTCTGACGTGAGATCAGAGGGTGCTATGAGAAGTTCTGACAATGTCTATCTAGCATGAAAAGGCTTAGAACAACACATTTTGTTTACTGTGTGACTAAAGAAATACTCTTCATTCTCTGTGTGGGTGAAAATTAAGATCATTCCTAAGTATTTCTGAGGTGAAGATTTTTATTCATGCATTAGTGTTGTGTAAGATTTTGTAGTTGCTCTCTTGACTATAGGGGTTAAAAAAATACAGTTAATCCTAGCGTTAAATAACTTCACACTCATAAAATGTCACTTAATTTTGGGGAAGACTTCTGAGGACCTCAAGATCTTTATTTTAGACAATGTGTTCTGAAGGTTAGAAATTCTTTATGTATATTTGCAAGATCTCCGTGAATATAGTTGCAAATGTGCACATGGGTAATTAAAACTTAAAAAAAAAAAAAAATAATAATTATCTTCTGCTTTAGGCACTATGATTTCATTGTGAGCGCAGCAAAACTCTTCGCTACAGTGTACTGTGTTCCTTTCACAGAACAGGTAATCAATACTGCAGTAGTGTTCTTATTTCATAACCTGAGTATATAAACATAGAGTTCTGATCCAGCATCCAGTTACCTGTCCTTTCCAGGAACTAATTAAAGTGATTCTTAATCTGTCCTTCAGCATGGGTTATTCAGCAGCTGTTTATATGTATATTTGTCTTGATTTGAATTACAAACCAGAAAAATGCATGTGTAGTTTAGTTATTTTCAGTAAGCACTGAAGTCGTAAATCCTTATTTTGATGGACCATTTCCTATGTAATATAATAAGTGCATTGAAAAATTTTTTTCAGGCATTTTTTAAGTATATTAGGAATCTTGCTGAGGAGTTATTATTTTAGTTATTATTTTTACTACTTACAGCCTCTTTGTTGCTTGCTTATCCTTTGTTTTCCATGTTAGTCTTTGTCTTTCTAACTGGATCTTCTTGCAAGTCATGTGTTTACATTTTGCTTCTTATGCCCTTAACTACTTCAAGTATTGTGCACGAGTAATGCTCCCTTATGTGCAATTAGGAGACCCTGGACAGAGCTATGCCATGCAGGTGCTGTGCAGTAAGGCTGATGCCAGGCCAGTCAGACTTGCTGTGCATTGCAGAGCAAAATTCCCAGGAAAATTATCCTGCCATCTGTGCTGCAAACAGCAAAAATCAAATTATAACAAGTGTTTATGCTGTCTTGGAGCGTCCCAATTGTTTTCAGTACTGTGTGAACACAGTATATATGTGACATTTTAGCGTCATATAAAATTTATTGTGTTTTTTTAACACTTAAACTTAATTTTTTAATACCTATTTTTACACGCATCTCTATCAGTGCAGCTAACGTGCTGTATTTCATATATATCTTACATTTCGTACAAATAAATTTTGCCTCTTCATATTGATATGGCCATAGGAGTAATCTTATTTCCCAGAGGTATAAATTCAGCTCAGTTTGCTAAGTGCTAGGCACTTCATTCCTCTGCAGGTCTTGTGCATTGTAAACCTCATCTGAAGTTTCAGCAATGATGTTTCAGTGAAACACCACTATCTGCTTCTGGGATTTTTTTCGTATTTGCTATTCTTTTAAATGATCCTGCATACAAAGTCTCTTTGCAGAGGGCTTTTTCAGTTGATATAAATTGAAATTGTTTTTCTTACAATAATAGGATTTGTCAGAAGAAACTATTTTGAAGATAACTTCATCTGTGAAGGTACCAGAGTTCAGACCTTCAAACAAAGTAAGTATGATTTTAAGTTTCTAGAAAACATAATCCACACACAGCATTGCTTATCTCCCACTGCTCTGTGCTTTAATGCTGGTTCGAAATAAACATGAATGAAAATGAATTTTGGGGAAACAAGTATGGGACATAAAGGACTGCTTCAGCTTGATAGATCTAGGGTGTCTGTGCGCCAGATGCTAACTGCAGGGTGGATTTTGGGGGGGGGATTGTGCAAATGACTTTCAGCTTTTTCAGTGCACGCGTGATACTAAGTGAATAAGGTTTTTAAGTTTATACAAGGCTATATTTATGTAATAAAAGTAGAAAAATGTGACTCGTGAGCAACTTTCAAGCAATCCTTGGTTAGAGAAAATTTGTAATTTCTCTCTAGGTAGTTCTATGGAAGTATCTTTACTTTTATGTTTGTTTTTTAAGCGTTAACTTCAAAATACCTGAAGTGTTATTGTGCAGTGGCTAGCATTTGTTACCACTCAGAAGTCATAGATAACGTTTCCCAAGTAGTTTCATGTTTTCTTGTCCAGTGTAAATACTTGTCTTGTGAATGCCTGCCTCATGAAACAAAAAACTGTTTTGACATAGAACCACAAAGTGGCTAATGTATGGAAAGATCTCTGGCAGCTGTCTATTCCAATGCAAACATTATGCTTCTCGTTGAATTTTGAGTGCTTCAGTTTGTTCCTTTATCCCCATGTCCTGTCGCTGGGCACCAATTAAAAGAGTCTGGCTCTGTACTTCCTTGCTACCAGATACTTATATACTTTGATCCTGCTGAGCCTTCTCTTCTCTAGGCTGAACAGCACCAGTTCTCTCAACTTTTCCTGATATGAGAGATGCTCAACTGCCCTAATGATCTTTATGCCTCTTGGCTGGACTTGCACTAGTAAGTCCATGTCTCTCATACCTGGGAGGGGAAGACTGCAGGGAACATAGAAAATTTAGTAGACTTATTTTGTACAAAGTGCATGTATTTTATTTCTTTAAACACTACACACTTGCAGGTCGTACAGACTGATGAAACTGCAAGAAAACCTGATCATATTCCAGTCAGCAGTGAGGATGAAAGAAATGCTATTTTCCAGCTGGAGAAGTCTATACTGTCCAATGAAGCTCTGCAAAGTGAGTAGTGCATACTAGCTTTCTAGCTTAGTGACATCTTGCAATTGCACTACATTCAGGTCTTTGGATAAAGCATTTGTTTAATTCTGTAAGAAGTAGGTAGCTGATTGCTAAGCTTTCTGAAGTACTGTGCAGGTAATTGTCCTAATTGCTTGACCTGAAAATTTGCAGGTATCTCATAATTCAGTGGTATATGATTCTCTGCTATGTTACCGTGTCAGGACAGCTGTCCTAACTGTGAGCAGGTACTGGCACATTAAGCTTGAAGGAAGGGAGAGATCCTGAGTAGATTACAGCTGGATGTTTTAGTCCAGCATGAGAAGACTGAGAGTTACTTCTTGCAGGAATCAATCCAAAATTGTCCTAAATTGCAAAGGCTGATAATTTTCATCAGTATCTTTTAGATATATTAAAATGTGAATTTTTGAATCTTGTTGTGTTTGGTAATATGAAGAAGTCATTGGGCAAGAACTGCATTTGTGCATCTGAAGGCCATGAGGGCTAAAATCTCCACAGCGGAGAGATTACTTTTAGCTGTGGCCCATCCCATGGAGAGTCTGCCCTAGCCTCTGTCTACCATGCTACTGAGTTCATACCAGTATGGTTGCAGATAAACAAAGCTCATAGAGGGAATTCGAATAAGAGAAGAGCTATATGAGTAGAGTTTAATAAGAAACATCCACAGGACCACCCAAAATTCATTCATGGTGTTGAAAGAAAAACAGTATTCTGGACCTCTTGGTAATTCTTGTGTTGCTTCTAACAATAGCCATGATAGGTACTGGTATGGGAATTTCCCCTTCTAGCATGGAAAAGCAAGTACAATTATAAGTTGAGTACTAAGTTCCAGAATATGAAAAATATCTGTTGGAAGTTTTAATTGCCTGTAACTTAAGCTTAGGATGCCTTTGTTTTTCTAATAATCATTTTTGCTTTTTGCCCACGTACAGATGACTTAGAAATGAAACCCATTGCCTTTGAAAAAGATGATGATAGTAATGGACATGTAGATTTCATAACAGCAGCATCAAATTTGCGAGCCAAGATGTACAACATTGAACCAGCAGATAGATTCAAAACAAAGCGCATTGCTGGCAAGATTATTCCTGCAATTGCAACAGCTACTGCTGCAGTTTCAGGGCTGGTGAGTATGCTTCTAAAAATAGTGAATGTAGTATTTCTTTCAGTTACTGTTCCTTGCCTAAAACCACTGCAATCTGGATATTCGTTAACGCTGTGCTGACAGAACCTCATTTAAGAAGCAGGCTTAAAAATCAATATGAATACATCATTGCGATCTCTACTCTAATGGTAGTTATTAGTCTAATATGTAATAAATACTTTTATCTCAAACTTGGATTTTGTTGTGATTTAACCTGGCAGAGCAGGCAGCTGAGCATCACACACCCATTTGCACATTCCCCTGCGATAGGATGGCTGAGTGATTTAGGGGAAAAAAGGTAAAACTCTTGGGTTGTGGTAAGGGTTGAATAAGAACGGTTGTACATCACTTCCCTTTTTCTCCCCACGCTCCTAATTACCACCTGCCAACCAGTGCTCAGCCAGTCTCTCAACTCTCCCCAGTATTATTGTTCAGCATGACACCATACAGTATGAAATATCTCTTTGGCCAGTTTGGGTTAGCTGTCCTGGTTCTGTTCCCACCCATCTCCTTGTGCACCCTGGCAGGATGGTACAAGAGGCTGAAATGTCCTTGACTTAGCGTAAGCGCTGCTCAGTAACAACTCAAACTTCAGTGTAGTATCTGCACTATTTTCCTCCTTAATTTAAATAACAGCACTACATCTGCTTCTACCGTAGTCAAAACTGGGACATATTCTTCAATTTTTCTTGTGTAGCAGTACAAAAGGTCAGTCTGGTTTTAGCTGTAGTTAACCCTCATTGCTTTCCTTTCTGATCCTTTCTGATTTCCTTTCTGATTACCCAGAAAGAGGAATTGAATATCAGTGTTTTGGTTTGTTTTCTGCAATTAACTTTCTAACTTCCATCAGAGGAAATTAGAGAGTAGTGTCAAGAGTAGTAAGGATCTGTTCTATAGTAGTTAACATCCAAGCACCTCAACAGAACTACATGCTTTGTTGGGAGTGTCTAGAATTGGAAAAATTTGGAGGAGTTCCTGCATAAGGAGCAATTTCTCAACAGTTTAAGTAATTTCAGCAAAGTTGGTTTCTATGGCATATTTGTGTTGCATCCTCATATATGATTGAATATGTGGGTTGTACAAAGGCTCATCTCAGCAACACATATTGCTGTTTTGTGGTCTGTTAACTGAATTAGTGTTGTTGACCAAACCTGTGTTTGGTCTTAGGAAACACGTGATTCTTATTTACTGCAGGTTGCTCTGGAACTCATCAAAGTTGTGGGTGGCTACCCAGCTGATGCATACAAGAACTGTTTTCTGAACCTAGCCATTCCCATAATGGTTTTTACGGAAACTGCTAAAGTAAGAAGAACTGAAATCAGGTAGGAAGGATGATGGTAGAAGGGTAGTATTCTGGAAACATGCTATTTCTCACTTAAAACAAGTGCAAGATATGTACAGTTATTAAATTCACAATCAGATCAATACTGTATGTGCACATGTAGCAGAAATATGGTGGAATCAAAGTTCACATTCAAATTCTGATCAAATGTTACAGATATTCGAGGTTGAAGATTGGTCACTTAGTGCTTGCTATCAAGCTCCATTAGCCATTTACTACTAACTGTAACTGAAATTCTCAGTACTGCCAAGGATGTCCCATAATGCATCTCTTGAGAACTCCTTGTTTGGAAATGCAGCTGATACACTCTTCTGTCCTAATTTTAAAACTAGTGGTTTTAAAGGTTAGTTTTGTTTTCAGTGGAAGCTGTTGGTAGCTAGGCTCTAAAAATCTAGATGAGATAAATGTGTCACCTGCTTATTAATAAACATCCTGCATGCTCAGACTGGAACATGTGGTCAGTACAAAACCTGTTTTTCAACAGGCCTGAAAACAGTAAATTAATTACCCAGTACTGTGTTCACTTGGAGTTAGGTTTTGTCTTGTGCTTAGGCAGGTGAAAGAGCTGGAGAAGTGGCAGCAGGGAGGGAAGAGATTAAGATAAAACTGCAAATCATGGGAAAAGGTAGCAATTCTTTGATATATATTTAAAGGAAATGCCCAAGTTCTAAAGTAACAAAGAATCATTCTTTTTTTAAAACAGAAATGGGATATCATTTACCATCTGGGACAGGTGGACAATTTATGGAAAGGAGGATTTTACACTGTTGGACTTCATAAATGCTGTCAGAGTAAGATACCTATTGCACTGGGTTAATGCAAGATGAGAAGATAGAGTTTTCTTGTTTGGGTTATTGGCTTTTTTGCATTTGTCAAATTATTATTTAAACCAGAATAACTCTAGAAAAAAATTATGTTAATGGGAGGTTGAGTCTAAGTAAAATATGTCCCAACCTATTTTCAAGTTCTTTGTTAATCCACTTGTTCAATTGTATATTAATAACACATCAGTGTCCATGCATTAGCATATCTTCTGCCTGAGATCTATGGTTGTCAGTAATTAGATGTAGTATGAGCATCAGTTGAATCTGCTGGTCTGTGCAGTCATCACAGTCCTTTAATGTGTTTTGTGAATTCCAGGAGAAATACGGAATTGAGCCAACTATGGTTGTACAGGGTGTCAAAATGCTGTATGTTCCTGTGATGCCAGGTCACATTAAAAGATTAAAGTTGACGTAAGTATACCTGGAAAATGGATCTAGATATGTGAGTGCACCTACAAATCATGTTGACTGGTATAACACAAGATTGTGGGTCTGACAGCAGTGTTTTCTCCCTAAGCATTTGCTAGTCATTTATATTTGGGAATTGAAAGTGGGGAATTACTTTGGTGTCTGGGGTAGAAGGTAAATTAACTTAGGTGTTGAGGACAGGAGATTTGCAAAATGCTGCTCTAATTGATGGACGCTAGCATGAGAAACCAAAGAAGTCTGACAATTCTGGGGAGAAATAATATGCTTTGGTTTTAACAAAACAAGACAAACTGATCCTTTTTAATCAGGCTTTAGAACTCATGGTGATATTTATCAACTTAGTTCAGAAAGCAGGAGAAGACATTCAGGAAGGAATAAATGTGTTGGTTGCAGATTGAGATTTATGGTAGTCTCTTTAAGTTGGTGATAATTCCTTCAGGTTGTAGCTCACTTTAGCCCTTTTAAAACTGAAAAGTTTGCAAGGCTTTGCAGTGATGTGTCCTGATAGGAAATCAGATATGAGAGCAGGGTATTATTTTTTTATTGCTAGGCCTTAGCAAAAGGATAGCTAGATCTGACCCAACATGCCTTATATGTTGATTGAACTTTGCTAGCTCAAAATTTGTCCATCATAGCTCTGTTGGAGTGTATGCTGGTCAGTGCTCACAGACATTGCTGCAGTAAATAGTTGCACTGATCAGTTGTCTGCTAGTCATCTACTTGAGAGAAAGTAGTACACATATGAGCAAAGGGTTGACTTTGAAGGGGAGAAGAGTCCGAAGTTGATGCTATCTTCAGGGTGCCTGGCATACAGCCTACTTCAGAATAAATTGTTTATATTCCTTCTTATATGGCTGTAATTTTGATTGACTGGAGTCTATAATAAAGTCAGAGGCATGGTTTGAAGCTGCCTTTTTTCAGAATATTAAGAATTTCTGTTAACCCCCACACATTATTCAAGCTTTCTGTGTAGTTACAGCTTTTTTGGGATGCTGTTACAAACAGTCCCAAAAGCATTGTAAGATGTATGCAGCAAACTCTGGTCTTGTTTATGTGCTGTTTTTTGTTGTTGTTTTTAAGATGCCTAAAATCTTTCTTCTTGGGTGGCTTATCCCTTGACATAAATTTGAAGTCAGGTTGGGTGAGGCTTAGAGCAACTTGATCTAGTGAAATATGTCCTTGCCGTTTGAGGAGTAGTTGGCTTAGATGGTCTTTAAAGGTCCCTTTCAACAAAAATGATCCTCTGATTCTGTAATATGACAGCAGGCATTGCTAGACCATCTCATTTCAGAATTTCAGCTTCCACTGGTAGCATACGCCTCAGAAACAGGTTTTAGAGATGTAGTTATCACCTTGCTCTGTAACCTGAAATTTCCTCGTGCATATGTATGTGACGTTAATATCTCTGCTGAAAAGAGGCTGAGTTTGTGTTCTTACAAGAGAACAAGGACTTCAGGGATAGCAGCTTTCTGTCCTGCATTCTGAACTATAGCAAGAAGTGAATGCTTCTCTTGTATCCTACAAGGAATCAAAATGAATGTGTTCTTCAAGCCTGCTGCCATTTGAGCTGGCCTTGTGAACTAGTGTTCCAAGGTAGCGAGAAAGTAGTTATGAGACATCTAAAGATAGGTAATGAAAGTGAGATTGAAGTATTTATTGTGCAACTTCATAGTGCTAGCTGTATCTTTTGAGGCTTGTGTTGCAATAATAAGACTATAGAGAGCTAAGAGGGGAAGCAGCTCTGAAACATCTCATGCTTACCTTTAATGACCTCACTTTGTGGTCATTAAAGAAGATGCTTTTCCCCCCTCCTACCTCTTCACGTTCAGAATTCAAGGACTTGAAAAGTCTTAATTTCAGCAGAATCACTTTCCATGAGAACAACACATCTGATATTTGCATTGGAGTGGGTCTCCCTAATAAAGTGCTAAAAGCTGCCATTGTGGATGGACCGAGAGTTTGATCTTACTTCCCAACCAGAATTCTGCACAGAAAACTAATTTTGTCTTGTATCTCAGTAGGATGTCATTCAGAAATCATGTGGGTGAGGATCCCATCTGAAACTGCCCATCTTCTGTTGTTATTTGTACTTGGTACATTTGTACTGAGCACTTGTTAGTGAGCAATCTAGCAGCTCACTAGCAGGCTGAAAAGTTTGTCAGAAGTAGTAGAATGCCATTTGCTGTAGCTGAAAGGGAGGAACAACTTTTGTGTCGACATTAAAAGAAGGCTTGTGTTCCGTTATTGTGGTTTCTGGTAATGAAATTAGTCCTTATTTGGCTCTGAATTCACACTGCAATTCCTTCTTTTATCTTAAACTCTGTTATTCATTTCCTTGTAGGATGCAAAAGCTTGTGAAGCCATCAGCTGACAAAAAGTATGTGGACTTAACGGTATCATTTGCTCCAGAGACTGATGGAGATGAAGACTTGCCAGGGCCACCAGTGAGATATTACTTTGTTCAGGAAGACAATTGATGGTAGAGATACAGAAGTCACTCCAGGACCATGTGTTTTGAAAGGAGTGTGCTAGTTTTCAGCTATTAAAGATGGTACTATCTATTCTTTTTTTTTTGTGAAGCCTTAATTAAAACAAATGATGAAAGTCGGTGGCTTTGCGCTGAAGACAAACTGGATTTGTTTCATCTGTTCCCATTATCTTCAAATTAGTTTGCTCAAAGGAGGATTGGTCACACCACAAGATGGAATGTCCAGTACAGTCCTTACCTTAAAGACAAGATTTGTGTTCATTAGTGGGGAGCTGAAGAAAGCAAGAACAGTGGTGAACCTAATGAATTGTCCTTGTGTATAAATTGAGCACTGCACAGAGAAGAATGCAAAGACTGGAGAAACAGCTATCTTATGATACTCCTGGTGTTCTAAGAACATGTCACATCCATTTCATGTGTTACTTCATTCTCAAATGAGAATTCAGTCTTGGCATCCACATGAGAGATAATCCATTCAGAATGTTTAAACATCCACTTAAAAGCAAATGCATTTTTCTGTTTTGTTGGTGGTGCTCTCTTCTGAACTGTAAGTGATGCCGCGTGTCTTAGTGGCTACTCTGTCAGTCTCCACATGGAAACGTAGGGAGGCAGGTCTTTGAATAGGTGTAAATTGTCATAGCTTCCCTGAAGTCAAGACAGCTGGAGTTGTTCATTATCTGCACTAAGACTATTCCTCGGGGAAAACTGCAGTGTGGGGAAAGTGGAACCCTATCGGAGAGCTGAGTTAAAACTTTGGACAATAAAACTTTGTCTTCAAGAAAGAGAAAATAGTCGGTGTGGTTGAGCCTTTCTGCCCTTACCTAATTAAGAGTACTGAGGCAAGAAATGACTTCGAAAGGAGGTAAAGGCAAACAGCCCTGGATGATTGTCACAGCAAATGCTGTTTCCTTGGCTGCTCTTTCTGGTACCATTTCTTTATAGTGAATGGTTATGCTGTACACCTGTCCACAGCATGAGTCTGAGTTGCAGTGCACTGAATTAGCATCATCTCAGTCTGTTACTAGGATATCTCAGTATAAAGAATATGCTTAAATAATTAAAAACTAATTTTACATTGCAGTGAGGCAGAGGTGCATTACAGAAGCATCTGTAACAATACATTATCTTTTAAACATGAGATAATAAAGCTGATAGTTTGGGTGGGATTGAGGATGGCTTTTTTATTATTATTCCCCAGTGATGAGAGTGAAGTGGGGTTAGGATAAAAACTAGAAAACCTTGCAATGTTTTTAAGTTTTAGAGATGGAGAATGCTCATCTCTGATTCCTCCAGATGTTGCAAAAGGGTGTTGACTACTTAGCCATTTATCCTTGAGCATCTCTTATTAAGATTTAGAGGTATTGTCACATTTAACGAACGTTATTGCTTAGGAATTTTACCTGTTTTTCCTTTCACAGACAGTTATAGCCAGAAACAACGGATATTATGCTGGTCACTTGAACAACAAGATATATGGAACTGAATATCTGGAATCAACACAATTATTTGGGATTTAGTCTTACATGTGGAATATACTTTTGAAGGAATATATAGTTTTACAGTCAATAGAGTTTATAGATCTCATTTTCTAGATAAGTAATAGTGTGTTTTAAAGTAGCCTATTTCTTTAAATAAAAAAACTTAGATTTTTTTTTAAAACAGGACAAAAGATTACTACATCTGGAGTGCAAAGAAGGCACATGCAGACAATAAGTTTCCACTTTAAATAACAACTGCAATATGTTTGCCTGTGACAATATTAGAGCCTAAACTAAAATTGCTGATTATTACTAAGGATCACTTACTTAAATGGTCAGGTTAAAACAAAAGCACTGTCACCTCTCACAACTATGAGCTAGGGAAAAAAATGAATTTCTGAGTAGGTACACAGTCTGGTGCATTGTTGTGGTGCTTAATGTGCTCCTACTTTTGAGGTATGCATCAAAGCAAAATAGTATTAGTCTCACTGTTTTGCTTGAAGGCCTCCTTAAGGTCCTCAGATAAAGTTAACAGAATGACTCTTACTGATGACAGTGCATACAGCTTTGTGAGACCCTTGCTGAAAATTCCACGTGTAGGCTGGAGCAGAACTGACAGATACTGCTCTTATTGAGTGTATGTAGGATATGTGTCCATTCTGCAGATGGGTTCTTCGCAATTTAAGATAAAACTGAAAAAGCACATCTCCAGATACTTCTAGCAGACCTTTAAAATCTTCTGAATGTAAGTTAACTCAGATAACTTCTTAACAAGATATTACCTAAGGGAACTTCATACAGAAGTGTGCACATCAAGTGGCTCTTAAAAAGGTTTTTCATGTTTCGAACTGAATAGCTTTCTGAATAGCTGATAGCTGTGTTGTAAATGCATTCACTCATGTGAAGTGAGCTGATTCAGTGAGGATTTGTTTGATGCAGCCCATTTCTCAATCAAGTACTACTTTCTGCCTGCATTTCCAGCAAGTGTTCAGTGGGCTCAAACTGGGCAAGTGAGCTGTGGGCCTGGGGGATTTGTTCTTTCCAGATCTGCACTGTTGTCACTACTGGTGTAGTGCTGCCAGTGCAGAGGTGCACTACATCACCTGGATCTCAGAACTGCTTTTTGTCTTTGTAGTGAAGGCTTGTGAGTGTCTAGGATTGATGCTGTATTCTTATGCAGCAGCTGGAACAAGGGATCTCCCTGTTACAGTGAGATAGTAACTACCTTTGTGCTCAAGTACACTGAGTAATCCTTCAAAATATTATTCTTTGCAAGAGCAGTTGATTTACAAAGATTAAATTTAATATCTGCATTAAAGATCTTTCTCATTCAAATGCCTTTTTACGCTGGTTTTCCCATAATAAAGAGCACTGGTTTTCCCCGTAAAGAGCGTATTTTCGTTCTCCCTTTTCCAAATACATGTGGTGAATTTGTGAACATGCTACAGTTCTAGCAAATACAGAGGCACCTGTGACACCATGTCACAATCTCACATCCTGAAATAATACAAGGTTTGTATATAAATCTAAGTTGTATCAAATAGAAGCGAGGGTCTTGGGTAAATTGACATTCATAGTCTTTCCTTCTGTCTTTAGAAATGTTTTGTCTGTATAATAGTCATTTGAAGAAAAGAACTGTATTTCAACCAAATGCAACAGGTTTAATTCTACCTGAAAGGTCTGTCCATCCCTGTTAATTATCACATGTTCTATAATTACAGAAAATAGGCTTTGCTTCAGTACAGGACAGCAATCTGAACGTCCATCTAAAGCGTGATTTGACCAGATAGCTTTTGGAGGTTTATTTTAATAAATGTGTCGTCTGATGAAATAGCTAGAGCAGGTGTTTATCCATTGTGTGGAATTCTTATTTAGGTTCAGTGTTAAACCTGTCATGAGTTACAGCAGTGATAACCACACCAGCAAAAATGTCTTCTAAGTAAGTGAATCATCTTGCATGGCAATAGTCAGATACAGTGCGTGGCATGCTTTAGAGGCTTAAAATACTAAATTTTGGTCCTGCTGCTGACTATTTCAGGCACTTGTTTTGAAGGCTGAATCTCCAGTTTCCCAGAGGATGGATAGTGGCTCCTTTTTGTACTTCTGTATTTCATCAGGATTTTTCTTGTGTTTTGCTTTCAGAACTCTGGTCCATTTGCAGAGCCTCATTGCATGTCTGCATGATGAAAGGCTTCAGGTTCCCATGGGTTTGGATCACAAAGTAACTGATAACATCCTGAAGGCTTTTAACTGTCACCTGTTTCAAAAACAATAACAACAAAATAAACACCACCAAACAAAACATACTGCATGTGTTACAGTGAGAAGGCATTTTTGAAAACATGCTGGCAGTGTCTAGCAGTGTTTTTCAAACAACAACGCTGAATTTACATCTAGCATTTACATACTGTGAGATCTAGGACAGCTCTCCACAACCAATGGTAACAACTTGAGCTTTGAATACTCAACTCTTTCCATCAAATGATGGAAAGGTATAGATAAAGAGGTTTAGTTCTGTGTGCCCTTCTGCTCTTCAGTGATATGGCTGATGGTGTTTCAGCAGGTAGTTTAATTGCAGATGGATGTTTCTGAGGACATTGGTAAAACAGTCTCAGGGAAAGGGATGGGGAAAAAAACACTTTCATAAACCACACAATGGGGTCCAGGCACCCTTGACTACACCTCAGTTAAGATATACTTTCATCTTTCAGAAAGTTTCAAGAAGTCAGCCATTACAGGAAAGCTGTGCTTTGCCTTTCTCAGAGAGAAAGTGGCAGTTTTATTCAGTGATGCTTTCTGGATCTCTGCATTTTGAACTTCCTCTAGCTGCCACGAGAGCTCTGCTTTTTAGATTTAATATTGAAGACTGAGTTGAGAAAACGTGAAGCAATCTTGTTTTGTGGGTGGTGGTTTGATTTTATTGTTGGTAGAAGGAGGAAGAGGTGTAACATGGGTGGTTTTTTTTTCCTACTATCCTAGTTCTTAAGCTTATTCTTAATGATTAGGTTAGTTGCATTAACGAGAGGCAAAATATCTGTATACTTTATTATTTTTTTTCCAATTATAGTTAGGAGTTGACTGTAGCTTTTTTAATTTTCTGCGAAGAAGCAATTTTTACACCTGCTTAAGAATCTCCAGCAAGGAAATAGTACATTTACCTGTCTTTCCAATTCAATAATGTAACTTCTTTCTCTGGGTATCACTCTGTAGTGCTTTATGCATGGAGCACTGAAAGGAAATGAAATGTAAGTCAACAGTCTGCTAGAAATGAAATACCTTATGATGTACTGTTGTTGTCATTATGAATTCTTCTGCCCCTGCAGTTTGTGTGCTTTGCAATATCCCCAGAGCCTACTGAAGTGTGTGTGTGGCAAGGTGAGGCTTTTGCTCTCCTAGGAGAGGAACACTGGGATTTGCAAATATCATTCCTGGTGTTTCAGAAGACTTGTTCTGAAGCTCTGCAAAGCTGGAATGTGGCAATCCAGTTAAAATAAGGTGATTTTAGATCAAGTTACTGTTAGAAAATATTTGTCTCATTTTCTTTTGCTCATTTTAGAAAGAGATATGGCCTGTTCATTTTTATTCTCCGTGAAGATTTCTTAAATTGAGCAGCCGTTTCAAGGGTAGGCAGCAGGTGGGAACATTGTTCTCCTAAGGAAATAGACTTTTGGTGGCTGATCTGTAGTGCTTTTTTTTTTAATCAAGCTGACTGTGGAGGAGGAGAGGATTAATAGATTGGTCTCAGGCCCGTTCCTGCTCACCCACTATTCTCAAAGTAGTCTGAAGGAGAGGCGCATGCTTCACACGTATTTAGGTGGGTATTATAAGTTCAGCTTTCAATACAGTGCATACTACTTAAGAACGGGGTAACGCGTTATGGAAACAACCTACTTCAGCACATGTCGGACAGTGATTGCATAGTTCTTGCTGTCACTGCCAGGACGTAGGATCAAATTCCCACACAATGGGTTATTTTCTAACATCTCTATTGCTTCTTTCCGAGATACTGCATAGAAGCACCTGCATAGAAAAGGAGAGGAGAAATAGCATGGATGCAAGTTACACCAGCAAGGCCACATTATTCTCAGCTGTGCAAAGAAATGTTGTCTACCGGGTTAATGCAGTGTCAGGCTTATCCAAGGTAATTAGCCATGGCTGCCAAGGGGCATGACATCTGGAGGATTTTTGGTGATTAATGCTATTACAGGAGAGCAGTGCTTCACTCTTCTCAGAGAGAAAGTGGCACTTTGGTTCAGTGTGATGCTTTCTGGGTCCTTGCAAAGAGTGTGAAGACCTACCTTGAATTTCTCAATGGTAATCAGTATGTTCACAGAAGGGCAGATACACCGGTCCAGCATGTGGCTTTCTAAAAGGTTTATCAAGTGTAGCAATATTCTACATGCAGCCTTTTCAAAACAAAAGGCGTTGTATAAAAGCTGTAGAAGTAAAATTTCTGTTATGAAATCTCTGTAAAGGCCTTAAGGTAAATTTTGTTCATCGAATATTTTAAACCTTTGTACAATAGTTGAATTTTGAACCTGTTTATGAAAACAATACTTGGAAAGAAGAAAAGAAGGCTCTCTAGTTGGACTGAGGTTTGCGTATTTCAGTTAGAACTTACGCTGGCATAGTGGTCACTGTACTACTGTAGTCCTTGCTGGGAAGGCTTTCTTTATTCTGGGATGTGCTGGAACAGTCATTAAGCATAATCCTTCTTTTCTTTTCTTTATCTAGCACTTCATGTATTTTTCTAAGTTGTTCAGGTGATAACGACTCATCCAGTGGAACTGACAACTGAAAATGAACAGCATAGTTGAAAATTAAAGACTGGACAAATGTGAGCAACTGTTTTCTGTGTGCAAAACAGAGTGCAGAGTGCAGCTGCCATGTGGTAGTCTTTCTTACCTGCCTGGTTAAAGCAGATACGGTAATTTGGAAGGTTTGTGTATACTTATGTTTTGAGTAAGATGCTGCACATCTGTTTTTGTTAGAATAGCAGAATAGGTACACACCTGTATCCTCATTTACCAGAGATACCCACTAACAAAAGTTGAAACAATTATATTTTGCTGTTGCTACACTGTGAAACTTAACCTGTTTCGCTTAACCTCAGCTTTTTAAGCAATTCAGCTACACCAATGTAAACTCACCTGTGAACAAACTTTTCTCCTGAACGTTATTAGAGACAGTCTTGCTATTTTTGAAGTGCATTTAATATTTAAGGATGGGTTTACTTGAAATGATTATAATACAGTTATTTCACAGTAATTACTGGTGATCATTTTAAAAACATGGACATGACACCCTGGACTCTCAAGCATTGAGAAAGGGGAGAAAAGTAGTTCAGCAGTCTAAAGAGACTGAGGGGAAATAAATAAAGCCAGAGCTAGAATAATCTAAGTTCTTTATTTCCATTTTTAAACTATTTCAGCTAACAAAACTGCTGCAGGTTTTGACTGCTAGACTAGTTAAAGGTGCCCCAAAGGAAGAACAATGCTAGCTGTTCAGAATAGGGAAACACTGGTTCCATCTCTTCCTAAGTGCCAGCTGGATGCTGATAGGAAATGAAGACTTTTTGTTTTTCCTGGTAGAGTATAAGGTAGGTCTCAGTGGGTTCTCTCAGATGTGCAGTTTAGTCATTCCTTTCTTTATTTCTTCATCCCTTGTTAAGTATTTATAGATGCTGTTTTTCTCAGCACAGGCTCCTTTTCTCACAGGTGCAAGGAGGTGGACTTGTGCAGATGTCTCTCCTTGCTAATAGTGGACTGGGAGCTGTTTGGATACCATGGCAGAGGAGCTGAGGTGAAACAAGCCTGAATTTTGCTGTCTTTGAAGGGAGGGGCAGGCATGTTAGTTTGTGCAAGCACATTGGAAACAAGGCTTTAAGCCAACTTGTTGCATATATGAAGATAAAAAAAGCCCTTGTGTGCTTTCAGTATTGAGTGAGATACAAAACGGTTCCTTTACCTTTGTTACGGTGAGAATAAAACCCTTCCATTCTTTCCCATATTCACAGTTATCAGCCTAAGGGAACAGAAATTGAATATAAGAATGACTACAGCAAAAAGAAAAACAAATAGTATTTTCATGTAAAAGCTCAGATAACTTTCACGTATTTAGAAATGCTTTGCCTGCAAATAAGCCTCCTGTCAAACTAAATCACACCCTCTGCACTTCTGCTACTCCACATTCAATTATTGAGGGAGGATAGAGGTGGGGAAAATGAAAACTCATGGGCTTTTTGGAGTAAATGGAGTGGGTTGTATTGATCTAATAGGAAGGCCAAGCTAAGGAGATAGATGAGTCTTAGTTGTAAAACCTTGCAGGTAAGTCCCAGAGATCTACAGTCTCTAAGCTTTTGAATGAGGGTGAGGCACTGGTCAGATATATTATTGCCCTTTTTATATTACAGGTGACCTGAGTCTGTCAGAAGGGTACTTTCTGCTTTTTTTTTCTTGCATATTTTCTTGTTCAATTCTTTGCTCACTTTAGGTTTCCAGATGCTCCAGAGAAAACTGTCTAATGCCTGAAGGAGGATTTTCCCTGGTGTTAGGTTCGTTAGTGCTGCCTCCTTCCTTGACTGCCCTTTTGTGCTTGGCTGTGGGCTGTCTCAAGAAGAAAGCTCTACTCCCACCTAGAGCACTGAATATCAAAAGGTGACAAGGTAGAGCACCAAGGGGTTACAAATCACAGGCTTTCTTTTTTTACCTTCACTTCCAGTTTTTCATTCAACAACATCAGGATGAACTGTGCAGAGTCATTTTCATCTGGATAAATATTGGTTACTGAGGTCAAAGCTGATATATCTAGTTTATGTGAGTACTAAGGAAACAAAGAAAAGAAATGGCACAAGTTGAAAAATTCTCCAAAATGTAGCTGTTCTTCAAATAAATTTGTTTAGAAGAAAATACTGGGAGACTCTATTTTTTTGGCAGATGTTGGGTTAAGTTTCATTGAGAGACATTTCAAAGTTCTTTGTTTCTGCTTACAGAAACTTACCACGTACAACATGCTTTCTGGATTTTTTCCTTTCTTCTTAATTACACATTAAAGACAAGAGACCTCCCCAAATACTTGCTTTCTCACTTCAGCAAAACCCGTAGCCACAATCCTCCATTGGTTATACCAAGAACATTTTTCTCTGCTGCACAGAGGACTACACATCAAGATACAGTTTTTACCCTTGTGCACAACAGGAAGGAGTGTGCAATAATGTGCAATAATGGAGCAATATGGATACATTTTTAGCTCAGATATCAAAAAAATCTTCCTTTTTGCTTCGATAAAACAGATTAACAGTATTGTTTGCTTCACTCTGGCTTTAAAAAAAAAAAAATCAGCCTTCCTGTTGCTATGTTGAGTACTGGACTGTGTGGGTGAGGAAGGAAGGGGGGCAGAGAGGTGTCTAGAGTACGTGAGGACTGATTAATGAAAATAACTGAAGTACGTAATCCACTCTACTATTACAAAGACACGTTAGCTACGTGTAGCATGTAGATGTTAAATGCTACTCACCTTTGGTGCCTTCTTATCATTGTAAAAGAAGAGCGTGGTTCCTCTCAGTTCTGTCCAAAATAGTCTAAATTCCTGTTACAGAGGAGGAAGTGTCAGTTCATCAAGACAATCTTTTTCATTTCCATAAAGTGCTGAAAGAACTGCTACGAAAATTGTCATTGTGTGCTTTTAAATCAGTGTTTTAAAGATCATTAAAGAATAAGTAGTTATTTGTTTTCTATGCAGCTTATGCAAAATGAAAAAAAAGTTGACTAGTTTTTTGCAAGGTAGAAAGATGCATATGCTCTATGCTTTGTTGTCTAGTATCCTGGCATCAAACTAGAAAATTTTAATTGTAATGAATTTAAGTGTTTTTAATATTAATCAATTTAAAGATGGTAAGAAAAATATATTCAGTCAAAGTGTCTATTTGCACATAATTTTGATCTCACCAGTTTACTTGCTGGACAAGTAAAGACAAGATAGGGGACAAGATCACGGAGCTTGTGAGTAGTCTGACCTACTAACTACGCTTCCTGTATATGAAGTGATATTTTGCGTGCTTTGTCTTTGAGTTATGTTCAGTAGCATTCATAAATCAACATCGTGACCAGGTAAATATAATTGTCTCACTCTTCTTATGGGTTCCGAAATATGTTCATGCTCAAGTGAGGTGAAAGATTTCTGCATTTTTCTCAATTTTTTTGTGACCAGTACCCCAAGAAAAGTAGCTCTTAAGGGACTGGAAACACAAAAGTGTAACACAGTTCTGAATGCTGTTCTAGTGTTCAGTTTCCTTACTTGTTGCTTGTTTGTTTATCTGGGGGATGTTTGGGGATTTTCTTTGGCACAAAGTTGGAGATATTCACAAAAACTGAGAAAGAAATGACTTAGCAGATTTCACAAGTTATAGGAATTACAGTAAACAAATTTCTCCTGGAGTATTCTGCAGGAGATTCTTGCTCCCTGTCCTGCAACACCTAACTAGTCTTTCTGGTGGTTTCTGTCACACTGCTAATGTAAGGTTCTCTACAGCACTCCGCGCACTGCAGTGCACTGCGAAGTTGTGAATGTCCTCATTAAATCATCTGTCCCAAGCAAGTAAGTGAAGTCAGTGAATGCTGTGTCCTGGGGCTGGATGTCATGGCAAGCTTTTGGATTGCGCCTTATAGACTTTGTGCTCTGTGGAGTAGCAGTTGCCCAGGAACATTTCCAATTGTTTCATGCATTCAAAAAAAATGTATTCAGACTTTTATTTTTTCACTTGGATGTCTGGTTTCTCATAAATGATAATACACCTTGCCCATCTTGTGTGAGTTTCCTCAGACTAGTCTGTATTATTGCTATGCCCTGTTACTTTTTGCTGTTTCATTATGGTAGTTAACCATATTTCAGAGGGAGAGATTTTTCAGGGAACGAAGAGGTTTTACATAGAAGGATATAAATAAAGGACTGTAACGAGGAGTTTATTTAAACATGAGGGTATTTCCATGCTACACTAAGGCAAGGCATTGAATATTTTTTAGTGCTGCAGAAAAATGAACAGCTTATCAATTGTCTCCTTTTTGTTTCTTGGAGTTTCTGTTTTCTCTGCTGCTAGCTTGTTCCTGTATTTGTGAGCCACAGTGTTATTTTGCTTTCTTGATTATAGTGCATAACTAATTTTCTCTATTTTATGCATCTGCTTCCACGGAGGTGTGAGTGTAGGTATGGTCCCTAAATGTTGGAATTGTCATTATCAAGTGCTAAAAAAGGGCAACTAGCTTGATTAAGTCCATGCTCTGAGCATGGTAGCACTGATTAAAAGGATGTGGGCATTTATCAGTTTGGGTTGTAAATAATTATCCTGGCTCAACGAATCACTATTATTATGCTTTGCAGGTAGTCCACCTGTGTGGAATCATCGGTTCATTGCAACAAGAAAAAGGAGGCACAGCAGAGCTAATACATATCATGGTGGTGGGGTGCTGAAGATTTCAGGATGGATACTCTTCTCCAGAAAACATCATACATTGAAGCAATATAACCATCCAAACTGTCTTGGTATTTAAAGTACTACATTAGCTTTTTTGCTGTGATGGTAGCTATGAAATTGGTCAAAAGCAATCCATATTTCAGCAAGTATGTGATCATCATAATATTATAAGTCAGTAGATAAATTATAATGGGATCCAGGAGATACTGATGGTTACCTTGTGTAACTTGTTTTACTTTTTTTTGTTGTTTCCTCAAGTAATTTGAACAGAGATGAGATGGAAGTGCAAATTAAGCTAGGTATCACTATTTGAGCACAACTATTTGCGTCGGCCAGCACCGAGAAGCATTTCCCACCACTATCAGCAGAGGATTAGCACCTAGCAGTAATTTTTCCGAGGAAATGCCCAAACACATCAGCTTTGTGGGCTGGTGCAGCTTACCTGGCTCTGTGAGCGCCGGACTGACAGGTAACCTTGAAAGTACAAGGGCAGACCTGTGAGCTTCTGTCTCTCCTGGGAGATTCGTCTGGGTGCTGCCTGAGGGGCTTCTGCAGGCTGCTCCATGCTGCTCCTCAGCACCCTCTAGATACCAGTTCTGCTGTTTGGTTGTTGGTTTCTTCTGCCTGTTGTTTGCTTTTAAATTTTTTTTTTAAACCCCCCCCTTCCACTCCTGTGCTTATTTGCTCTGTGTCAGCCTCAGCCAGAGAGCTCATCCTGGTGAGGGGAGGGGGAAAAAGCAACACCTCAAAGAGGAAGTCTCAGTTCTTTGCATTTAGGTCAGCAGATGTTTCGCTCAGTGCGTAATCCTCAGGGGAACCAGACCAAGTGGATTGAAAGGATCTTTTCTTGGGAGCGTGTTTCTTGGTTTGCTCAAAGGTAAGCATCCAGCTGGTACTGCATAATGGCACAAGCCTGCATCGTTTCTGTCAGCAGTGTCTGCTGGAGGTGGTGGCAGACCAGCCCTGCAGGCAGGGAGACCGGTTTCTAAGTGGCTTTTCAAAGATTTCCTTGGTGAATGTGTTGTAATGTTGAAGATATCAGAGTTGGAATTTCTATAGGATATGGTATGCCAGCAGTAATACTGGTATTAAGCTTACAGTTGTGTATGGCTGCCCAGGATAAATCAACTTTGTAACTTGCATGTGGGAAAAATATTTTTTTCTTTCTGAAAGAGGTGATAAATTAAAGCCTTAAAAGAAAAAAAAAAAAAAAAAAAGGGAAAGGAGAGGGTTAGGAGTGAAATGTTGGCCTTGCTGAACTGAGGGGTGATGTTTCCATCATTTTCCCACATTTGTTTCAATTTGCTTCTGACTTTCCCTATAGTATTTAAGAAGGATAGTGATGACTGCACTTGGCATTTCCTCCTTGTTGCTGCTAAAAACAAAGCTTTTATCCAGCCAAAAGGTCATATGCTGAGTAGGTCAGGTCCCTCATTCAGTTAAAAAAAAAAAAATTACAAAAAAATCTGCTTTGAAGTTTTTAATTATCTCATCAACCTGTTCTCAACCCTAGCAGGTTTGGTATACCTCCTCACAGCTTGTGGAATGCTGAGACTGCTGTGAGGTTTCAGATGTCCCGGTACAGAGGAATAACAACCTTCTCTAGGCAGAATCTCAGCTGGCTGAAGACTCTGAATTAATTGCCAGGGCTCAAGTGGGGCAGATCAGTGTCTCAGGTTTTGGCTACATGTCAGTGAGCGCATTGCTGTACTCGTGGTTTTGTTTAAAAGGCAGAATGTGATTTAGCCACCGAATGATGCAGGACAAGTAAAGAGGGGCATCCGCACGTTTGAATGCTCGTCGACCAAGAGGAACACCTCGCGCCCCACCCCGTTCCCTCCCCTTAGGGCGCAGAAAGGCGCTGAAGAGGGCAGGAACGCCGCTCTATGGCTTCTGCGCAGGCGCAGCAACGGCCCTCAGGAGGTAGGAGCCGCGCGCGCTCGAAGCAACCGCCCTGGTTGGCGCGAGGCGGACGCCGGCCAATGGGGCGAGGCGGCGGGGCGGGGCGGCGGGCGCCGGCCAATCGAGCGAGGCGGCGGGGCCGCCGAGGTTTGAAAGCGGCAGAGTTGAGGGAGGGGCCGGGGGCGGATGGGTGCCGGGAGCGTTCCGGCGGCGGCGGCGGCCCGGGATGGCGAAGCGCTTGGTGAGAGGGCGGGAGGAGCGCGGCCCGCGCGGCGGCGGCCCCTGGGCTCGTTGGCTGAGGGGAGGGGAGGGCAGCGGGGCCGTCTCTCGGGGCTGGGGTGCACTTTTCTCCTCAGCGCGCTGTCAGGGGCGGGCGGGCCCTTCCGTCCCACCCGCGCGGTGCGGCCGTGGAGCGCAGTGCCACCCCTCAGTGGCAGCGGCCCCGCTCCTCTCGGGCTGCACGCAGCGGGGCCCGCGCTCGGCGCTGAAGCCTTCCGTGGGCGGGTTAGGGTTAGATGGAGGTGCCGGAGCTGCTCCTCCTCTTGCGGCCCTGTCAGAGGAGCGCGGGGGTTACGTTCGGTAAGACCTTTGTAGGTGAACGAGCTGTGAAGAACTCAGTTCTGTGACTGAACAGGAAAGAAGGCGGTTTTGCACTAAGCGTCTCCAAACTGACGGCATCTTGTCGGTTACCAGAGAGACGCAGCGGTTCTGCCTGCTGTGTTAACCATATGCTGAACGGTGATAGTGGGATATTTCTTACTTTATTAATATTGCTTTGTTTCCTTCTTTGGTTTTTGGTTACAATAAGTAGCATCTAAATCTGCTTGGAAATGTGGCTGGGGGTTTGTCTGATGCTTATAAGATTTGCTGGTACTGACTTCAGGTAAACCAGGAATCTTTGAGACTTGTTTACACATCAACCAGGAGGCTGTCATCGTTTGACAGCAGCATGCTTAGTAACAGCTGATTCTTATTTCTTAACAGGATCACTTAAAACAATACTACCGAGCAAGATTCTGCGGGCAAGAAGGGTAATTTCCCTTTATGATTTTAATCTTGTATACGTTTGATTGGAAAAGTTACATTGGTATCTTTTAAGTGTAATACAAAACTAATGGTGTGTCTTAGGGATGTGGTTAGCAGGAGTGGTGGTGATGGATGATTGGACTGAATGGTGGTAGTGTTGGACTGAATGAGCTTAGATGTCTTTTCCAGCCTTAATAATCTGAACTGATTTAATGATGTTTCCCAGCCTTCTTGTATTTCTTAGTGGTGGGAGAGGCAAATTGTTCCAGACTCCAAAGTGCGAAGGATTTCCTTAGTGTTTCTCTGCTGCAGTGGTGGGCTGTGGAGTATGTAAATCTTAAGATACTTCAGCTGAGCTACCTGAGTGCAGCTGCAGCCATCTGCAAGTGCTTTGACTTTCAGGAGGGAGAGAAATGGAGGCCACACAGAATTCCAGCTTGAGGTGTTTGGTCCTCACTGGTAAATGTGGAACGTGAGTTTGTGTATTTGCAGTGCTGCACAGAGCTTTTGAGACATTTCTGAAGTCATCAAGCTTTTTGTTACTGGAATCTATTGCTGGATGTGCATTTCATGAGCTTACCAGATCTACCAAATTACTTGTTTTTATAGATGTTTAATAATTATGAATAATGGAAAATAGCATGTGGTGTTTTTCTTCTTGTTTTAGTTTTGATCTCTGTGGGCCAGCTGTTGGATTGCTTCTGCTATTTTTATTTGTCCTGGGGGGATCTGAAACGGTATCCAAGCATCAAAGCTGTTTTCTAGCTTGCAGATTTGATGCCCTAAGTCAGTTCCTGCTTCCAGAGCTTGTATAGAATGTAGAATAAATGCAGGTAAATGTAGGAGGAGAAGCAAAGGGTGACTCCTTGTCTGAAGGGGTAGACTGCAGACTACACATCTCATTTCTGGGTCTGCTGTGGCTGGATCAGCATGCAGGCAGAATTATGTCAGGATCAGGTGTTTTTTTTAAAATTTACTTATTTTAAGACAGAATCTGTATTCATAGAATCATTAAGATTGGGAAAGACCTCTCAGCTCACCCAGTCCAACTGTGAGCCCATCCCCACCATGTACTTCCCAGAGCTCTTTTACTTGAAGACTACTGCAATAATTGTATGTTTTATTCTATGGGGGTTATTTCCTCATTCCCAATATGTTTCATGACAGTACTTTTTGTCTCCTGAAATCACAGTGTAAAGTATTAACTAGTAATAAGTTGCTTGCAGGAATTGGTGTATTTAGTATTCTTATTTTAAAAATGTGTTTTGTTTTGTTTTTTTCTTTCTAGAAAGAAGATCAACATACAGCCTGGTGAAAATGTTCTGAAATACATACAGGATTGTTTTGAATGTAAGCTTTTATTTGGTGTTGTGCTTAATCTGCTTGTTCGAGGGTTATTTCTTTCTTATAGTGTATGCAGTGATAAATAAATAGAAATAAAAAAATAAAGTTGATGATACTTCTCTTAGTCTTCAACAGTTCCCCCTTTGCAGCCCCTTGAAACCAGGCCTGAGCTATATGATTCCAAGCATCCCTTATCGCTTTTTCTTTGTAGGTGATGATACTGATGTCATAGTAAGCTCTCCAGATGCAACTTGTTTCTCAACTCCTCATGTCAGAAACCAGGAGAGGACTTCAACACAGAGCCCTAAGGTAAGTTGGACCTACCTTTTACATGATCTAATAGAGACAGGACAAGGGGGAATGGCTTTAAACTAAAAGAGGGGAGATTTAAGTTAGATGTTAGGAAGGAATCTTTGATTCATATAGTGGTGAGGCACTGGAACAGGCTGCTCAGAGAGGTGGTCGATCAAGGCCAGGTTGGATGGGACCTCAGGCAGCCTGATGTAGTGGTTGGCAACCCCTGCCCATGTTGGCAGGGGAAGTTGGAACTGGACAGTCTTTAAGATCCCCTTCCACCTAAGCCATTCTGATTGATTACAGTGCTATCACAGTGTAGTGCTGGGTACAGCTTCACTTGGGTACACATTTGGATCTGTAGGATTGATTTCTGTATGAGTGTTGAGTGAATAAGTTCTGTATGTGAAAAATATTAATGTATAGGCTAAAATGTTCTGTATTATTTGCTGGTAATGCTTTTCCTTAGTTTGTTGTACTGATATAGTAAATAATCTCTTACAAGAATTATTTAATGGCTTTTTTTTCAGATTTTACTAATTTTTTTTCCGACTTTCTGTCTGAGATAGTTACATTTCTTGTGCTCTCATACAGAAGCACACTGTCTTATAATTGATGCTGGGTATGGTTGTCATGGACTCCGTTGGGGTTGGTTTCAGGCACTTTACCAGATGTATGGACACAGCTCTTTACTGTCAGGTGGAAGGTAATATTGAGAGACAGTTCTCTTATGAAAGGGACTTGTTGGCTCTTGACAAGCTGTCAGTATCTGAAAAATAACTTTGTAGCTTGATGGAGTGGACAGACTTGTTGATTTATTGTCTAAAAGAATGATGGGAATCTTGTTTTTCTGCAGCCCATTCTACCTAGTTTTGATGCTTTGATTATAGTGTTTATGTGAAAATAGGATATTCTGCAAAAAAAAAATTTTTTGCCCATTGCAAAAAATGGGCAACATTTATACTGGCATTTGTTTATTTCAGTCTGATGTTAGAATACTGAATAATCTCAAGTTTTCCTTGCAAAACTTCAGCCTAAATAATTGTGGGTGAATTAGTTGGTTTAAATTAATTTGTTTTAATGAAAAGAACATAGTTTGCCTGTGGAATAACATCTGTCTATTCAGAACTGTAGATTGATGTTTATGTATGCAGTATTTTTACCTGTTTGAAATATACAGTTAGTTTTAGAAAGTCTTAGTTAACAGAAAACTGAAGTGTTCTATTGAAATAGAACCGAGCTTTAAATTTGTAAGGAAATGATATTGTCTTCTGTAGAAGTTCTTATTCCTGTCAAATATTGTGGCTTTGTGAAACATTTTTCTTCGTCTCATTCTTCACTGAATATGTCAGCCAGATGCAGGGTTAACCAATGTGGTAGGAAATAGAACCTGTCATTCTGCAGTGTCCTTACCTGCAACGCCAGCAGAGACTGTCAGGAGCAAAGGTTGGTAGTGCTATTTTGAATTAAGGCTTACTGGGTAACTTTTCTTTGGGGTTTTATGAACTTTTGAGTACAACTAAGCCTGTTTAATATGTGTGGCAGAGGAGCTATATGTGTTCTACCCAGAGCCTGGAAGAAACAGTCGCATAGCTGATTCTGTCAAAACAGACAGTCCTGTGCCTAGAGGAGAAACACAGGTGTTAACATTCAAAGATGTTGAAGTACTGTGTGAAAGTCCTGCTAAGTTATCAGATCCTGAGGATGATCACGGGATTGTGGGATCACCTCTTCTTGTGGAAGAAGCAAAAACTTCTCCTGTGCAAACGTAAGTAGAGGTGAATGTTGTTTTTGACTCTAAGGGTAAATTAGTACAATGGTTTCAGTTGATGTGTTTGTGTTCTGAACAAAAATAATTCCAGATTGGATTAAAAAAAAAAGTCTGTCTGGATTCAGAAGGGAGGCATCATTGTTTTTTATTAAATTTTTATTAAATATTCTGGTGGTAAGGGTTAAGTTCCAGAAATGCAGTACTTAAGACTTCCAGAATGAATTTGAACTCCTTTCTTCCAGGAAAGTTTCTGAGATGGATAATCTGGGCTTTTGCAGTGAATACTATTGGAAGCATTGATCTTAACATAACAAAAACTTTGTTAAAGTAGTGGTGGGCAGTCATCCTTGCCCTTGCTCTGAATATATCATTATTTTATATAAAGTAGGGTAGTTTCAGTTGCAGTCACAATCTCCTTTTCAGAAAATTTCAAGCAGGCTGAGCCTCTGCTGGAGGTCATGAGAGGGAGTGAATGACAGCAGTCTCAGTGACAAGTGATGAAGTGAGACTGGGAAGAGAATGCACCAATGATCTAGGAAATCTGACATGTTGTAAAGCACATTCTTCTAAAATTAGGAATTTGCCTTGTTGAGCTGTACTTGGATCATGAGTCATGGTCTCATCCCATGTTGCATTATTGGTTTGGATGCTTTCTACTACACTACAAAGCAGTACTGCTTACCCACATTCCATTAAACTAATAAATAAAAGTTTATTTGTAAAAACTGAGATGCTGTCAGCAGGAGAAAATGAGAGCATCTGTCCATTCACAAAATGAAATTGAGTGCACATTAAGTGTACCATCATACTTAAATGCTATTTCTCATATCTAGTTTAGATTTTGATAACCAAAATGTGAAGAGCCATATGGAGTGTGAAAATTTGAAAGGACCTCAAATTGTGAGAGAAAATCAGGATATTATACAAAGTACAGAAAGTATTGCTCTATCTCCTGTGTGGAGGGAGAAGCTGTCCATCTCTTCAGTCTTTTTAGCATCTGTAATACAGGAACACTTGAAAAGAGGTTTCTTTTGAGACTTAGCATGGAACAGTCTGCTTGCAAAATAATCCAGTCCTGGGATTCTTTTGGGAAAGGGTTTAACTAGTTAGCGTGTTTTGTGAAGGTAGGATTTAACAATGCTTTTAGTTTTTAACCTCGCATTTGCATTTGTCTGCAGGTAGAGTTGTATGGAGGCTAAGGAGGCATGCTTCAGATTGATCTTGAGATGTTTTGATAGGTAGATTGGAAGATTCAGGAAAAACTTGTATGGTTCTGAAGCATGGCAGTGATCAAAGGAGACTCTGAGAAAGAGTTAGTGTGAATCAGTGTGTTTTGATAGGAAGCTTACTACTCAGCACCTGAAAATCAATAAGACACACATTTGAGGCCAAAGCAAGAAAACAACAGGGGTGTGATCATTTCAAAAATTAAGGGCAGTGGATAATGGGCTTGTAGAATCATTTGTCTGAGAATGTCCTGTAGAATGTTTTTGTGCTTTATCAGCTGATTTTTCAAGATTGACACTTGAGTTGTTCTCCCAGATAATGTGAGTGCTTTGTCTCTCCTTTCTTTAGGCGTACGGTCTCAATCGCACCATCATCACCTCCTCCTATCAAAGATCAAAATGTAGAAATAGAAAGCGATTGTGAGTTTTTAATTGATGAATCAGATTGTCTGTCTTTTAAGTCTTGGTTTTCAATACCCCGCAAGAACAGAAAGTCAAAAAAAGATGGCTCTGCGACTCCTGTTTTGAAATCTCAGTCCTCTGAAAAGGAAAAGACAGCAGATAAGAAATGCAAGAACATGAAGGTACAGGCTGAAGTACATAGTGAACAGAAAATGAAGAAGGTCGGAGGGCAACATGACTTGAAAAGAATATCAGAATCCCATCCTGTCTCTTCTGACATTGAGGGAAAGGTCTTTAAATCTCAAATGCGAAGCAGTACTCGTGTGGGTAAGTCAGCTAACTCATCTTCAGACTTGCCCTTCCAAGTCATGTTACTGGGTATTTTTCTGGGGGCTGTTTGGAAACTGGGGATTAAGGAGATGAGAGAGATGAATGGAGTCCTAATTGATGTTTCAGGTACAAGTTATGTTTGGGTGTATTTAGGCAGCAAGTCTATATTTTTTTACTTGTGGATTATGTAATGCAAAAGTGCCAGTGCTTCTGTTTAAGGTTTACCAAACTTGAGAAAAGTATGTGGAAGCAAGTTGATATTCACCAGTTTGATAAAGAAGTACTGATGTTATTGGGGTAGCTGACTGGTAGTGTCTCTGCCAAGTCCTTGTTACTGGTGGCGGCTGGCCAGCAAGATGTCCATGCAACTCCCTTAGTACTCTGGTGTGGCCTTTATATATAAAGGCAGGAGACAATAAAGCATGGAATATCTACCCAGAACTTGAGCATTAACAGTTAAACTCCCAGTGCCCCACATGATGTTATGATGTGGAATACCAAAAACCAAAAATCACAAAACCATGACAGTACCCACAAGTTTTTGCTCTTGTATCGCTAGAAAGGATATTAAGATATGTGCTTTAAATGAAGAGGTCAGTTTTTATGAATTATTTGGAAAGAATTTTCTAGCAGGTAGCACTGAAAATTAGAAGCACATACAACGTAACATTTCTGCTCTTTTACTGCTAGGAGATTATATGAATTAGAGAAAGCTTTATTTCAAATGTAAGAGAAAAATAAGTTCTTGTGATATTTAATGTTTGTGTGATTTTTTAACTTATTTTTGTGCTTAGGTGTAAACTTATTTCTTTGGGTTTTTATGGGGAAAAAGTATTCATGTCCACGTGTTTTTTGTATTCCTAGGAAAATCTAAAACAGATCAACTTAAGGGCTCTTCCAAACATAGAAAGATGTCCTATGAATCAGAAGCTGAACAGCTGATGCTGTCTGGATTGGACTCAGAAGCATCTGATGAAGAACAAAAGATAAGAAGGGTGATGGCAAGAGAGGATTTGCCAATGCCCTCAGCTGAGCATCAGCAAGAGCAGATGCTATCTCCAAAAAAGAATCTCACTCCTTGCAAGTACCAGCAGTCTGCTTCAAAAGCTTATCAGCGTTCAGTTCACAAGAAACAAACTAAGCAGAAACTCGCAAATGATAAGGTGTTGAAGAACAAAAGGAAAAAGTTGAAAAAATCTGGAAAGAGAAATGGTAATAAAAATCCTGAGCAACAGAGATGGAAAAGTTCTGACAGTGAACCTGGTGAAGAAGGACTTGAAAGAGAACCCTTAGAATCAAATGAAATGTTTACCTCACCTCCGCATCAGGAATTACAGACTTCTGTGCTTCAGAAGTTGGCTAAGTCTGAAAAAGCTGAGAAAGTATTGCACTCTTTGGAAACAGTTACTGATGTAAATAACAAAACTCCTTTAAAAGCTGCAGAGTTACTGCAGCATCTCATAGGCAGTATGAAGAATTCTGAAAAGAAAAAATCATCAGCTACGTCTTCAGGGAAGACGCTCAAGAAGATTCATCACAGAGCCCATAAAAGAGCTTGCTCAATCACGGGGGACACTGAGCGTCAAAATACAACAGATTCTGACGGCTCTTCTGCACAGGAGGTGACAAGAAAAAAACGCAAGCAATCGGATATGAAAACAAGTAAAAAAAGAAAAAGTAACGGGCACCAGAGACTGCAGTAAGCTATTCATTCAATTCCTTAGAAAATGTAGTGTGACTTGGTATATTCAGTTAAATTTTGAGCATTGATTACAGTGTTGAAATAAGTGATTGTTTCAGGTGGTTAAAATAGCTAATAGAGAAATCAAGTGGTGTAATCACCATTCTGTTATCAATGATGGGTGCCAAGGCTAATGTCTTACACCTAAGGAAACTTGGGGTTTTTGAAGTGTGATTTGGAGATTGAGTAGCAGATCCAGTGTTTGGTGGCTTGGATGTTTGTTTTTGCATTGCTTTTTTTTAAATCTCTCTTAAATGGTTCCCTGCAGTAAGTAAAATTGTTGACTTACAGTAAGCACAGTAATTGTTTCTCTTCTAGACATTCTGCTGCAGCTGAGAAAGCTATGGGTCCTGAAAGGTAATTTCCTGTGTTGTCTGTAAAACTTGCATTTAGTCTTACTCCTTCTGTACTGAGACAGCACAGCTCTTTGGTGCAGTTACTGTGCTCTGTGGTGTTCTAGTATAGCAGCCAGTAGAAATGGATCTCACAGTAACTCACACCTGAGGCATGTAGCTATCCTGCTAACATAGTAAGCTAATCTAAAAGGTGTTGCACTTGGGTTGAGGCAATCCCAGATATGTGTACAAACTGAGGAGGACCCGGGGGTCTTGGGGAATGAAAAGCAGACAAGAAGTGTGCTCTTGCAGCCCAGGAGGTATCCTGGGCTGCCTCAAATGAGGGGAGGCCAGCAGGGTAAGGGAGGTGATTGTCCCCTTCTACTTTAGCCATATAAGGCCTTATTTGGAGTACTTTGTCCAGGCCTGGGGCCATCAGTAGAGGAGGGATGCAGAGCTGTTGAAGTGGGTCAAAAGGAGGGGCATGGAGATGATCAGAGGGCTGCAGCACCTCTCCTACAAAGAAAGATTGAGAGAGCTGGGCTTGTTTATCTTGGAGAAGAGAAGGCTACAGGGAGACCTCGCTGCTGCCTTCCAGTACCTGAAGAGAGCTTTACAAGTGGGAGGGGAACCAACTTTTTACATGATCTGATGGTGACAGGACAAGGGAGAATGGCTTTAAACTGAAAGAGTGGAAGTCTTGGTTAGATGTTAGGAAGAAATTTTTTATTTAGAGGGTGGTGAGGCACTGGAGCAGGTTGTGCAGAAAGGTTGTGGATGTTCCATCTCTGGAAGCATTCAGAGCCAGGTTGCATGGGATCATTGTGGGCAGCCTGATGTGGCTGGCAACCCTGTTCATGGCAGTGGGGGTTGGAACTGGACAGTCTTTAATGTCCTCTCCATCCTAAGCCATTCTATGATTCTAAATTGTACTTTCTGTCATAAGTAAGGAGCCACCAGTAATGTCACACCTGCTGAGTAAGGTATCCAGCATTATCTGCACTCCAAACCCTTGTTTGTGTTTGTAGATATGCAGATACCTTCTCCTTTATGCAATGTGCTCTTTAATGAAATAGAAGAGGTAAATTGTGAATGTAACAAATTTTTACTATAATTCTACTGAAAACTGTAACGCTTTAGTTGAAGTGAGCTTAAGCAGACTTCAGTTTGACAAACTGATGCAGCAAAATGTAGACATGAAGATCTAGTACTGAAATGCATCTTTTGGGGATTAGGTGGGGCACAGCTGTATTCTTCCCCTGCTGAATTTTATTGGCGTGGTAGTGGAATGCAGTCATGATTACAGAAGGAGGCAAGGTTGGGTCTGTAAAGAACATACTAGGTCTATAAAGAACAGTTTTGTTCTGAGTAATGCTTGGAGAATCTTTCTGGTGGAGGTGCACATGGATGATTATTGTTATTATCAGGCAGATCGTTTTATGACAGGATACATGCAGCTGAAATTCTAAACTTTGTTATTACTCTTTTGCTTATGGCATATAGAACATTTCTTTAAACTACTTCTATAGTGCTGCAGAGGAGAGGAGAATGTCTGTTTCTTCTGGAAAGCAGGAGAAAGGAGAAAGTGTCACCAGAATTTTATGAGGCCTGGTTAGAGAGATGTGAGCACAACTTGTCTGCCTCATAACTCAGTAGAGGAGCAACTGATGAAAAGACCTGTGATTTCTAACAGTGGTCATTTGCTTCAGTGTTGAATCAAGTGCACATAGGTGTTTGGAAGGAAAAAAACCTACACGTTCTCAAAGAAACTTGATTTTGCTGTTTCTGCTATTGCTGTAACATTTCTTTGATATGCAACACATTGAAACAGGTGTATTTTTATTCTTTTCTTTTGAAGCGGGCTTGTTCTAGAACATTCTGAGAAATATACTTCGCCAAGTAAGCATTGTGAAGAGAATAATGAATCTTCAGGTACTATTTGAAGTTGGTATTTTCATGCATTGTATGTACGAGCTACTTAGGCTGTGATTGCGCAGTAATTTCTATTGTATCCTCAGCTCTTGTTCTTCAGAATAAGAAGTGCAGGCTGAATTGGCTGTAATTGCAGTTCTGCCCAAGAACGTGGTACAATACCCATCAGCTTCTTGCTGTGTTAGCTGTGTAAGGACAAGCACTGCATGGTCTGGCATCAAGCCTTTCAGAATACAGTTGTCCTTGCACAATACTCAGAGCAAATTTTGTAGGCTCAGGTTTGTAAGGGAACTATTAGGTCACAGCTTGAACTGGTGATTGAGCACCTGGTGAAGGGGTGTGGCTGGCCTAGGGGGCACAGGCACATTGTTTGCACCTGTGCTCCCCAGATGACCAGAAGGGGTGGACCCAGGGTGGAGCTACACTGGGCTCATGCCCAGCTGCTGAAGGGAGAGCATTTCTTGCACCAAGGCTGCTTTCTCAGAAGGAGTGCTGCATAGCCAGAGAGCCCCTTCAACTCTTCTTTCTGTGTATGACTGCTGGCCTACCTGTGAATGCTTTGCCTGGCATTGCCAAGAACCTCTCAGAAGCAATTTTGCTTCTTTGTGAGCAGAACAAATCTGTACCAGTTTGATGCATTGTCATGTAGAGATGTTGTATTTAATCACTTCAGGCCACTGTGGAGCTAAGTTTCCCACTGTGTGGCCTGTTGACCTAAAAATATCTTTTCTATGTTTTCTATATTAAGTTGCTCTATGCACGTTAAATGTACTACTGTAATGCATGTGAACCCTAGAGGTAGAAAGTCTTTTCCTTCCTTTTAAAGCCAGTTACAAGTGTTGTTTAGTTCATGTAATGTTTTTTTTTTTTCCAGACCTAGTTTTGTGGCTGTTCTAGTAATAAGTTTGTTTTGAAGTTATACTGGGGGTGTGAAGCTGAATGATCTCACACTTAAGTCAGTAAAATTGTACGTGTAGTTTCAATACTTGATTTTTTTAGAGAGAGATGTCTGAAGAATATTTATTTGAATGCATAGTTTTCTTGTACCTTTCAAGCTTATGCTTTTTAATGCATACATAAATTACATAGCGATTTTACTTACATTGGGTTTCATGAATCTTTAAAGAAAAAATGTTAGAGGGAACATTAACGTTGGGAGTTGTGGATCTTGGAGATGGATTGAATAAAAGTCATGAGTAGTAAATAAATGCCTATTGTGATGGCTTTTTAAATGTATTTTCAGATAATTCTGAAGACCTGCATTGTCAAATAAAAAATCTACTGTCAGACGAGATAGGCAGGCAAAAAATAGGTAAGATTATTTTAAAATATCTTAATGTAAGTGCATAAATACAAAGACATTTCCAACTTGACGTAAATTTTTGCTGAAGGAAACACAGGGAAACACCTAGAAATCTATGATTTGCTAATCACAAATGAGTGAATTTGTTAATTCACTAAGCATCTTTAATACTTCATGCAATGTAGAGTACTCAAAACCATAATTTTAATTTGAATGAAATTTGGAAAGCAATCTGGAAAATGCATGGGACATGTTTATAGACAGGACTTGTTAATTCCTCTTTAGAGTACTATGTAGCCCTACTCTATTTTTTTTAACTTCTGAAAACTTTTTTTTGTATGTTCAACAGTCACCATTTTAATTGTCCCATTTTCAACTTTTTGAGTTAGCACATTGCTTACAGTTCAGTGAGAGGGTTTGAATTAATCTTGCACAGTGTAACTGAGAGTGCATATAAGCTGCCTTCTGTGGTATGAGTTGGTCCTGCAGGAGAGGATGGCACAGTGGGCATGTGGTGGGTTGTAATCTCACACTAATCTGTTTTTATTATTTCCTCCATTATAGTTTTTGTAGGTACACAACTATATTGTTGTACACAAAATAATACAGGCAAAGCTTGTTGTTTTTAATTTACCATTTTTATTTTTAGTATTTAAATATTCTTGACTAATTTGTTCTCAACTCTTAAGGGAACTTTTATTTTTTTCTTACAAAGTATAAAATTCTTACTGTATTCATACATTGCAGCTTAGAAATATTCATACATTGCAGCTTAGAAAAATTGAAGTTGAGATTCTATGAAGTCAGAAGATAAACGTCCGAGGGGTCTTGGAAATGCATGGGATTTTCTGTTGGCAAGAGTACTGTTCTTTTTCCAGACCTTGGAGATGGAACTTAATAATTTGGGAGAAGAGAGGTAGCTCAGGCAGCCTCTGTTACTTTTCTCTTGCCATAAGCAAGGTGAAACCTTTTCAGTTTTGCTGATAAAATCCTTTGAATTTGAGGAAGATTCTTAGTCATTGTTGAGGGGTTTGTCTTCATAATTAAAGTATGTTTGCTTCTCTGTATTCCTGAGGTCCTAATGTCTGTATATCAGTGATTGACTAAGGTATAATAGAAAGAAATCCAATGTAAGCTAGCATGGTGACTGCTTAACAAAAAACAGAGTGAAGTAATAATGTATGCGAAAGGAGGCTACTGGCAATACCTCGTTCCCTTTTTTTGTCATGAAAGCAAAGTGGTATAATTATCAGCTGGGAAGTGCTGACCCCTTGAGATGGAATAACAGCAGATTGCTTAATGCTTCCTAAATATTATTTCTAATAAATTTCTAAGTAATTTTCATACTTACTGTGAACTATTTCATCCTTTAAATTAGTGCTGCCTTCCAACACGCCTAATGTTCGTCGGACAAAAAGGATACGACTTAAACCTCTGGAATATTGGCGAGGAGAGCGAGTAACCTATACATTGAAGCCTTCAGGTACAAGTTTCCAAAATACCCATCTCCTTGTCTCTGACAGAGCTGTAAACGGAAATCTATGGTTTGATCCTGTGCTATCAAAGCCCTGTGATGCTACTATTTGTGAACTTTAAAGAAGTCACTTACTTATGGTCTTCAGCTGATTAGTCTTTCTCCCAGCACTCCTTTTTAAGCTGGAAGTAATTTAAGCAGAACATGTTAAATAAATTTGCATTAACAATTTAGAGAATTTCAAAAAATGATTTATTTGCACTAGTGTGTTTGTTATGTCAGACATTTTGTGATAGCAGGAGCTGCTTATTGGAACATTTTTGGGAGCAATTTTCATTGTGTGGGCATGTGGGCACTGCTTTCTAGAGCAGATACTATAACATTTTATCTAATCTCAGTGTTAAATACCTTGATGATGGAATACATCTTGTACTCAGACTAATTTGGTCTTTTCCTAGTTAATCAGACTGTTTGGAAATAGTATTTCCTTTTGTGCCTGAAGTCAACACTTTGTCTTAAAACTTAACTCTTATGTTCTGGCTTTCTGAAATGTTCCTTGAACGTATTATGATCATACCCTTTTATTTAAAATCTCAAAAGCATGTTGCGCTCTCAGGTACTTGATGTTCTGCAGCTTTTTGATTTCATTCTGGCTTTCTAAAGCTATGTAAAAAGTTGAGCATCAAGAAAATATATACCAAACTGAAATGATTGTAGATTGTGCAAATCTTCGTTTTTGTAAAATAATTAAAATAATTAGTACGTGTTAGTGAGTTTCACTCAACTTTCTTTTCTTTCAGGAAGGCTTTTAATTAGTGGAATAGCAGGTGCAGAAACAGAACCTCACACGAAGAATAAGCTGAAGAGTCATCATAAGCAGAAAAGAACTAGAACAAGTATAAATGCAGACTTTATTCCTCTTCTTTTGACACTTCAGAAACCTTTCTGTAATGAATTTTCTTTTGCTCCAAGTTTTTTCTCCTGTAACAGCTCCAGATTCTCTAACTGAAAATCCTTTTGTAATGGAATGTGTTAGTGATCTGATGCAAAAAAAAAAATGCATTCCTGTTACTGTAGTGCACCAATGTTATATCAACCTGTCTGAAACTTCACTGGGTTGGGAAGGAAGAGAGAAATGACTGATCCTGAGGTGTTGTGGTGCCCTTAAAGCTGAGATGAAAGAAAATAAGCTGTACTTCTGCCCTTAATCAACTTACTGGTTTATGATGCTCATGTGTTCCATTTTATAATGCATAAATAAGGTATAAAAACTTCTGGTTGTTTTGCTGCTACCAACTGTAATATCACATTTGAATGTGAGTTAAATTCAAACACATTGTGATCTAGGTGAATAGAGATTTACAAACAATCCGTGAAATAGATAAAAGGCAATAAATCGATGCTTAAACATGCAGGAATGGGAAGCTTTGCTAGACCATTTGCAGTAATAGATGATCAGTGCACAGGTAGTGCTCAGAAGGGAGGCAGGATCAGAGACCAGAAACCTAATTAATTTTTTCTGTGCACGCTCTCTCTCTCTCTGGTAGAGATTTTGATGCAAAAGAGCCTTTCTGTATGGGGACTCCCTGGAGCTTGTTTGTTACTGCTGCATTTCCATGTGAAGTTATAGAGGAAATAAATGCTAACAAGAATGGGGAGGGAGAACACTGTGGTCATCCTGACACAGTTCCAAAACAAAACATGGATGAACAGATCACTGGAGAAAGAATAAGGGAAATAACAGAGAATATTGATGTGAATTTCTGCTGCGTTTTTTTGCTGCACTTGTTTCTTTACCACATAAAGAAAGTTGTAGGAATAGAGGAGGTTCAGAAAAAGCTTTCTGAAGGCATGGAAGAATTTATGTACCAGAAGCAGCTACATAAGTGAAGGCTCCTTGGCCTTGGAAAGCCTGCAGAGGTGTGAGATAAACCTATAAAATCACAAGTGGCATGGAGAAGGGAAATAAACATTTTTTCTTTTATCACAAGAGCTAGAAAGTGTAAAAAGAAGATGGTGCGAGCTGAGTTTTTCACAGAAAATAAGTTCTTTTTGCTGCATCCTTTGTACTCCTTAACACAGAATACTGTGGAGAGAAATATTTTTCTACATTCAATGCAAGAACAGGATAAATTCACAAAAGACTTAACTGTTAATAGCTCTTCAATAAAACCAACTACGTGCTAGAGGTGGAGGATATTCTGTGGAAGCTATTGCTCCATTACACTATTCTGGGAGGTAGAAGGTGTGCCTGCTTTTGGCCACTTTTGATCTGAGTACAGCTTTTAAGTTTATTTGCAAGTTCATGGAAGCTTGAGCTGGTAGTGACTATTCATACTGTATGTTACAAAAATATTGGCTGCTTTATGTTCCTTTGAACTGCCTCTAGAAGTGATGCATTATCTGTTTACCAGATGTTATTCCTGAGTTACTTAAAATTCGAGGGTGTTAACAAAAGAGTAATGTGTACAAGACCCATTAGCTGAATTGAATTTCTAGAATATATTCCTGAATTTTAATGATACAATAAAAATGCTGTGGTTAGGGCTATGGAGTTGCAGCTATCGCTGTCTCTTTTTATAGAAATGTTATTTTGAACAAAACTTTTTCAGTCTCTTAGCCTTGATTGTTTCTGCATAGTGCTCGAGCAGCCACAAGTGCCTATGAAGTGCTACAGCTTGCCTTTGACATCCTTTTTCTGACTACATTTAGAGGGATTTCCTGTGCGCTATGGAATTAAACTTGCCTACTTACAAGAGTTCTCCAAGAGACCTTTGGGATATTTGTTTCATCTTAAAAATTCTCCGGAGTCTCTTTTCCCTTTGAAAACTATATGATTGTCATAAACTCTTAGGCTATTGTCTTCTCTGGAAAAATGCATTATATGATAGAAATTATTCCCTGATTTACAACTTAAGATGAGATTCCTGTAAATAGTGTCTCTTGAGACAAGGAAAAGCGAACATGTACTTGTTCTTTTTGAGCACTTTCTCTCTTTAAGTCTCTTGATGCCCATCAGCAGTTGTAAAAGGAAAAGACTTGTTTTCTAAGTTAGCATGTATTTTATATCCTTTGTTAATATTCTCTGTTTCCAGAAGAGTTTTTCTCCTAAAATGCAGCTACTTTTGAATATCGTTAATAGCACAAGCAATATCATTGGCATTACTCTGATAATTTCTTTCTGATTTAGACTCCCTTTACCAATTAAAATAATTCTGATGAAAATTGTATCTTCAAAGAACTTTTATGTATTTTTCCTTTTATTTGGAGAAAGTGGGCTTTAATCAAAAGCAAATTTAATAACTTGTCTGAAATCCAAAATTGTGATTAAATTAGTATTTCAGGTGTGGAGTGATAATTCTCCTGTACTTTTTAATTTTGTTTCCTTAGAAAGTGAAGTAGCAAAATGTTTGGATATCCCCCTGGCTGATGCCTCTAAGCCAACCAGCATAGTGGACCCAGTAACAAATCGCGAAGTTCTTCTAGGTAAGATAAAGGGATATAACCAAGGACCTTTCTATATTATGTAGTAAGTTCTTAAGTATGGACTGCAGTAGGAGGAAGACTGCTCATTCATTTTGGGGCATAAAAAGGTGAGCTGTTGAAATAGTCATTGCTTTTCCAGATAACATTTTGAGAGACAGAAAAAGAGGAATTCAAATGTTCTGATTTTTTTTTTCCAGCTGATGATTAAGTGTAACTGGTGGGGTTGTTGCACTGAAACAATACATAGGATATGAAGTTTAAAAAGGGGCAGAACTAAGATGATGTCTGTGTTAATATTAACATTTAATCTTACGACTTTCCTTGCAGAGTGTGTTAACTCTGGAAGCAGTCATTCATGTTTCTTCGAAGATGAATCGATAAAAGTATATAAAAGTTTGAATACATCTGATTTTGCTGCTGGTAAATTGATCTTGAAACCTCTTAAAGAAAAGGGACACCAGTTTGTCCACATGGATACAATAGTAAGTACACTTTTTCCATACTTTAGTGGTTTATATGTAAACAGAAAATCACAGGATCATTGAATGACTTGGAAGGGACCTCAGAGATCACCTTGTTCCAACCTCCTCCTACTGTGGGCAGGATTGTCAACCACTAAATCAGGCACTAGATTGTGGGGTGCCCAGGATCCCATCCAAACCTGACCTTGAGCATGTACAGGGGAGGAGTGTTCACAGCCTCTCTGGGCATCCTGTGCTAGGGCTTCACCATTCTGACATTTATTCTAAATCCTCCCCCTTTTTAGTTAAAAACCATTCCCCCTTGTCCTATCGCTATCTACCTCTGCAAAAAGTTGATTTCCATCTTGCTTATAAGCTCCCTTTTAAATATTGGATGGCCACTATCAAGTCTCCATGAAGCCTTCTCTTCTCTGGGCTGAACAAGCCTAGTCCCATCAGCCTGTCTTTGTAAGAGATGTGCTCCAGCCCTCTGATTATCTTTGTGACCAAAATATTAGAATAGTTAGAACTATATATATATATATATATTCCTATATATATAGGAAATATAAACAAATTGTAATAGTTGTGAAATTAAACAGTTACAACTAAAGGAAATTACTAGAGGTAATTTTACATGCACATTACTCTTCTTTCTTTCACATTTATCATGCATGTCCATGTGTGCTTACTGAATGGATTGCAAGCAAGATAGAAGCATTAAATAAAAGTTGTCCCCCTGCCATCTTTCAAGTTGTGCATCTTAATTTTCACTGGGGAGGAGGAAAGGAGTTGCAGCTTAGCGTATTGTTCTACTTCATTAGAAATTATGAACAAAACATTTTTTTCTTGGATAACTTTCTTAAATTTTTGCAAAGGAAATGTTGCTGATCTTAGAATCTTTTGGCTTTCTATTAAGGCTTTCTATGTTATCCGTGGCCAGATTATTATCACCTTGCATAAGACATCATATTACCTGACTTCAGGGGATTATTTCTATGTTCCAGCAGGTAAGTGCATGTCTTTAAAAATCAATTTGTTGGGAACGGATTAGACTAAATTACCATGTTAGGAAGGAATACTGAGGAGAATGGTTGGGAGAGTTAAGTTTGAGTAGAGAATGGGGAAGTACCTATTGGGAAGAAGGGAATGTGACCCTACAGTGGGCACGGTTGATGAACTAATTTAGGTGTTGTGATACAAACACTGCTTGTTTACCTAAGTTGGCTTCAGGGCAACAGACAGCTTTAAAACTGGTAAAATATACAAAATAAAAATATAATTGTTGAAGTCAGGACAGGATTTCAAAAATTACTGTTGGCTTCTAAAGAAAACCTTTTCTGTTTTTATTTATAGGAAATGGATATAACGTACGTAATCTTCTGAATGAGGAAAGTGTTCTTCATTTCACACAACTCAAAAATGACAGGTGAAGAACTTTCTTCCAAGAAGTTGCTTGAAATATTTTTAAGCTCTTGTATTTTTTGAAATTTTTTTCTTGGCATACAAAGTGTGTTTAAGTGCACCCAGCTTAACTTTACAAACTAAGGGAGAGCTGATGAAATCAACGTAGAGCTACAAAACCAACTCAGACATTTACTCTCAAACTTCAGTGATGCAGCGAAGGGCCTCGCTTTATGACGGGCAGTCACTTTTCTCATCCAAAGACAGTAAGATATACTTGAAAACTGGTGGGAAAAACATATTTTTCCAAAGTATACTTTTATACCTAATCTCTCAAAAATGCTTAGCACTTAATTTTGACATTGTCAGATAACTCAGCTAACATCTGTTAGATTTATTGTCTGCCTGATATAAATCTCAGAATAATCCCTCTTTGCACGTAGAGCCATACTGTTTGTACTTCAGTAATTGTTGTCTAGGAGATGGACTGATGGAATGCTTGCATGCTAGGGTCCAGCATTCTTCTAATATGTTCATGGCAGCAGTTTCTTCCTTGTCTAGCAGGGTTATGTTTAGTACCTAAAATTTGTATTAGTTCTATTTTTTATATTAAAGCCCTGGATGTTGTGGATAGCTTTATTTGTGTAACTTTGATAGGTCATTGCCAAATGTTATTTTAATATCTTCTTTTGTTTTGATTAACAAATAATAATGATGACCTTTGGGAAAACTGTAATTATACTGCTTACTCCAGAAGTCAGGTCTAGACAGCAGATGGTATACATAACATTTGTCTCTGAAGTTCTTCAAGGTTCCTTCTGGCTGAGCATAAGAATAAGCTGCAGCTACTCTGGTGAAGTGTTTTCTAAGTGTGGTCAGTGCAATTCTAGAAGAGGAAGAGAGAAAATTGATTGGAAACTGTTCAGGGGCTGAATACTTGAGGATTGAGGACTGACCTAGTAAGCGGCCATGACCATGATCTTGATATTAAATCTAGAGTACCAATTAAAGCAGGAAAGATGAACTGGCTTTAGTGCTTACTATGAAAAAACAAACAAAAACCTTACAGGTGAGAAGTAAACTGTGTGTCTAAAAAGGCTAAGACACTGAGGCTACAATTTCTGTGTGAGAGATGTTTTAGATGGGTGAATTTTCTGCATACGCTTTTTTCATTCTCTTTCAAGCATTCTTTCCAGTACTGTATAGAAGGGCTGACTTTGTACATACTTAAAAGTTAGATAGCATCTTTGTAGGTCTCGCTGAATTCCTGAGTAAATGAAACAGGAGTATGGTGATTACCATTTAGTTCATCTTCTTGCTAAAAACTATTTGCAGTCAAGGTTAAGTTTGCAGGGAAGCAACTTATTTTTTGCTCAGCCTCAAATTTTATAAGTGATTTACAATAAGGTGTTTTTTTTTCCTTTTAAAGTCAGTTGTAGCTGATGATAACTTGATTTTGGCAGCTCTTCTAACTTATGGACTTGGCTGGCCTCCTCATGGTTAGTGAGATTAAAATGTCTCTTCTGCTTTGGAGCCATGCCAACTACCAAATGGTCACACGCTGTCTCCACTGCTTGAGGGAATCCTATCCGTAAAGCTCTCTGTCTTTATGGCCTTAAACTCTTTAGGTGGGCCCACGGAGATCTGGAAGTTTTCCACTTGGAAAACAGTAGAGGCTAGCACTAGACCTAAAGAACCTCTGCTCCTATCTGAAGCGTGTCTCCCAGCAGTCAGGGTGTAAGTAGAAAAATGGAAAGCAGAAACTTTGTGTTGAAGGCCACCAGGGAGTTCAGAAAGAAGAGAATGCAGAACAAAATTTCCAGAGCATCTGCCTGCTAAGGTTGGATAGCAGAAGGATGTCTTGTGAAGGTGTTGGTGAATGTGTATGGATTGTGGAGGTGGTGGCCTTAAAGGAAAATGTGGGTGTGTATTGTCACAGAACTCAATGTAGCTTGCCACTTTGCAGGAGTGTGTTTTAGTTTTGTAGGTTCTGATGGAGGTGAAGCATTGCCTTGCTGTTGTCTTTTCTCAACTTGGCAGCAAGGTTTTGAGTGGATTTTCTTTGGTTCTTGAGTACGTGATGAGAAATCCATCCTGAATATTTTAAGCAGAAGTGGGTGCAGATGGGTTCTTGCTACAGACTGGAAAGTGGCAGATGTTCAAGTGCAAGTTCAGCATCAGAATGCCACAAGTGCCTGTTTGTTCTTAACTGTGACTGAGAGTGTCAATGGAGTACTGCAGATTTGGAAAAGTAAGTAACTTTTTAGACTAGGTGGTTTGATTGCTTCCTAGCTAGTTGATTTCTTGTGTGAAATGTTCAACATGGTATTTAGAAAACATTTCCGCTGTTGAGCAGCATTGCAAAATGTTTTTTGTTTGAGTAGTAAAATCAGTTATGTCAAGGATGTTGCTTGCAGTTTGCACAGTTTTGAAAAAGTACTTGCTCAAATCAGTTATTTGTTTCATCGGTCCTTTTTCTTCACAGTGTTAGTTTAAATCCCATCTGAAGAAATAGTGACATGTATTTTGCTGCAACAGTTGACTAAGAAGTACCTCTAGGTCTGCAGTGAAAATAGAGCATGATTTCGCAAAGTAGTTTAAGTGGCTTCAATGTTCTATCATTATAGAAAAAAATATCTTATTTTGGAAAGGGAAGAGAAAATGGAAATTCTCTTTTTTACAAAGTACAACAAGTTTACAAAGTTCTTAATCTTGCCTTTTTTATCTATAGAAACAATTCCACTATTTGCCATTAGATGGTGCTTCAAGCACAGCTGTTTGTCCTTGACAGGTGTCCATACTCAGTAGGGTTTGGCTTTTGTGAATAGGGGAGGAAGAAGAGTGTGTTACAGATATAGGTAAAGTCAGTTGAATTCTGTTGTCAGTTTCCATTAACATTAGAATTTGGCACTGAACCTTGCAAAGTTCATTCTGTTAGCATGCAAGTTGAACTAGTTGCAGACACACACCATTGTTTTTAAAAACAGTAGCACACAGCAGGAGCTGAGTTGTGCTAGATTGTTTCCCCATTGTGTGGACTGCATTTTTTTGTTTTAACTTGACACTTGCTGTCTTGTAGAGCCTGGAAATGCAGGAGAATCTACAGCTTGAGTTGCAAGTTCTGTTTACATTCCAGGGCTCCTGTGGGTGCTGAGTTGTGCAGTGTGGCAAATGAGAACTGGTCATTGGAAGGAAAAACTTGATGTTTCACCTCTGCTTGTTCTTGCTGTGGCTCCTGCTTCCTACATTGCTGTGTATGTCAGACTACCGGTAACCTTTGGCAGTTCATGTTTTTCCTTTATTGAAAGAGATATTGCAAAGAAATTAGCATGAAAAAACCCTCTGAAATCTGAGAACGTAGCATTTTTCTTTCTGCCAATAAGTGATTCTTTTAATTGGTGTATTTTCTACTTTGTTTAGTAATCCAGTTTCCACAGACTACTGTGATGGTTTCAAACAGATACGTGGCGAAGTCTGGTCTGGGTAAAATGCTAAGGAAATAGCCCATGCAGAGCATGTTGTGGGCTGTAGCTTAAATATATATTTTTAAGGTCTCTCTAATGCTTTTTTTCCATGTTGCAGCTTTTAAAACAGTGCTTAAATTATTTCCTAGGCTTTGCTGGTTTATATATTCAGCTCAGATAGCACAACTTCTTATTTATAGTAGAATACAGAAAATATCTCTAACAGTAGTAGGGATCCGAGCCAGGTTTGTAATTGCTTTGTTATGCTCAAATTGTTAGCTGACATTATGTGCTGTGAACTCAAGTTGGGATGCTCTGCTGCTACTTGGGTACATAGACTGTTTTTTGAGGAAATCTGGTTTAAAATGTTAACTCATTACTTTCTGTCAGCAGTAGTTGAGAGAGCTGAAACTTAGTGTTAGATGGTAAATGTATCCTGTGGTGAGTGTTTTGATAGCAACTAGAAACACATGTTAAGGGAGCTTAACTGGCAATGACTCTCCACAATGGAAAAGTTAGATTTTTCAAGGCTTTGGCTTCCTTTGAGAAAAAAGGACTTGGTAATTATTAGGTTCTTTTGAACAATCTAATGTTTTCAGGGTTTCATTCTGTTATAAAACTGTTTGTCTTAAAGAACAAAGCTTTACTTTGTAATTTAAAAGAGGATGCAGAACAGTTGCAAAACCATCAGATGTGTGTGCATCCATCTTATATTACTTGGTAAACACAAAATAGGAGAATCTGAGCTGAGTAATTACAAAAAAATAAACAGCACTGCATATACAATTCCTTCTATTTTTTCAAGTACGCACCTGAATTAGTTCTCTGTAATTAAATTAACGTCTGAGGAATACAACCTAAACTAAAGAGTAATTTCCTCATTTTTGTAATAGCTAAAAATACATTTCATCATGAATGCATTTCTCATGATACATGATGTATATTGTAATACAGCATTTAAGCAGTGGTTGACTCCAGAGAATACATCCATCTGCAGTGTGTGGAACATGGCTCTCTCAGGGCGTTGACGGCTGCAAACGAACACCTTTATATCCTATTGCTTTATGTGGGTGCTCACAGGCTGAGCCAGAAGAGCTCTCAGTGTTGCATTTCTCCAGCCATAGAGGAAAACATTCCTTTAGAATTCACAACCAAACCGATTTCTATGGTCCAGTTTGAAGATCAAAACAAATAGTTGGCACCAGTCAAAACAATTGGCTGCTGAGCATTGCGGAATGAATATGTTATAGAAGTTGCTCAGTGTTCTTGAGCCTGCCGACAAAGCCTATGTTCTTTCTTTTTTCCTTCATTTAAGCTGCTGTACCTAAGCAAAGACACACAAAAGACTGTAAAACTCCATTTGCTTTGCATTTCTGTAGTCTCTTCTTGTTTAGGGCACAAGACAAGCAATAAATGAAATGAGCTGAAGGAAGCCAAGTGTATATTTTCTCAGCCTGTTGAATTGAGATGTAAATCTAAGTGTTCACAGAAAAAGATAAGTAAGATTTTACGCTTCTCTTTGCAGCTTGATAGGTAAGGACTTCTAAATTTGGAAACTGAAGAATTGCAGTGCTCTTGATAGCTGTGTGGGAAGTTTATAAAATGAGTAGGTGCAGTGGGTTGACCTTGGCCAGCAGCCAGCCATGCTCTCTCACTCTCTCTCAGCAGGGCAGGAGGAGAAAGAAAGATGAAAAAGCTCCTGACTTGACATAAGGACAGGGGGATTACTCACCAATTACCATCATAGCCCAGACATACTTAACTTGGGAAGGTTAATTTACTGCAAGTCAAAAATAAGAGTAGGACACTGAAAATTAAAACTAAAAACACCTTTTCCCTTCTCCCCAGAAAGGTGAACTTTGCTCACAATTCCTTCTTCACTCTTACTTGAGTAGAACAGTAGGGTCCATAATACTTAGTCTCTCCTGTTCCATCCTCTTTGCACCCCCCCCCCTTGCTCCAGTGGGGAGCAGTACCACAGGGTGCAGTCCTTCAGGAATGGACTGCTCCAGCAGAGGTCCCCAAAGACCAAGTTCCTGATGGATCACCTGCTCCATCTTGGGCTCCTCTTCAAGGCCTGCACCTGCAGGAACTCTCCATGGGCTGTGGCCTCTTCCAGGATTTGCCTGCTGCTGCTGCACTGATTGCAGATCTGTTTGTCTCACAGCTTTCTCATTCCTTTCTCAGAGGCTGCTCCTGTAGCACGCTTTCTTTTGTTCCCCCAAACACTTTCAATTGCCAAAACTTCAAATAAATAATAAACTCATTACAGTAGGATAGCTGATGCACATTGCCTTTTCCTGCATCACTAGCTGAAGTAAGAATGGATCGAGATATCAGAGATAAGGTATAACAATGTGGGTGTTTTTTTGGAATCAACATGGTGTAAAGAGGGAGAGGAGTGGTATGAGAGATGTGAACATAATGAAGAGCTACACTGCTTCTCAAGTAAGTGTTCTAGTGTCCAAAGTTGTTGCAGACTGGCTTGCCTAGGGTTGCACTAAGGGTTTTCCATGAAGTTCAGTAGCAGAACATGACTTTTCTGAAGGGGAGGGAAACTTTTCTGGTGTTTGTGCCATCAGAATGCAGTTGTCTGTGCTGGCAGCTTACACTCTTGGCTTGGGATTCAGTCAGTGCTGTGATCACCTGACTAGAATTGGAAGATTCAACTAGTGAACGTGAAATAGAATCCTCTGGACAAGAGACGTATTAAATGTTAGCCTTTCTTTATCACCACTTTTGTGTTGTATTACAGCAGGGGTAATTACAAGGAAGGAAAGCTAATTATGAAAAAGTTTTTCCACAATCTGAACTTGAAATTTTAATGCTGACAAAGCAGGGGCTCCCATAGGGTACAGCAGGCTATAAGCTGAAGAAACTAAGCACTTCTCTTGTATTTCAGTAAGCGCCAAGTCAGCTCTGAGGCTAATTAATCAAAACAAATTTACAATTAAGTCCAGGAAGGAAGACTAATTAAGTAGCCGGTTAAGAAGAAGTGCTGAAGGAGGGATCAACCTTAAGGGGAAAGTATGAGACTCCCAGTATTGGCCCATGAAGGACAATTAAGTGATAATTGCAGAGGCCTTTCTGCATCCAGCAAATGCTCTCTGATTTTATTATGTCTGATTTTCTTCATATTAGAAGCACACGTTAGCCTCTTAAGCAACTCAGCTTTACTGTGCACTCTTAGGGTAACTTAAAATGCAGAAGTTGGTGCAGGAATTCAAACACAGCTGCCTGACTTGAGCAGAATTCTAGCTGGCAAAAAAAGCCTCAGTATGTTTTGAAGAAAAAGCAGCACTCAACGTTTGATTTTTTTTTTTTTGCCTCTTTGTTCAATAGTGTACCATCTTAGCATCCTATTTAACCTTTCCAAACAAATTACTTTGAGTGGATTATCTCATCAGAATTTAGAACAGCTTCATTTTGTTTGGTTGCTAAGAGCACTTAAGTTCACAGAAGTCATTACCTTGTCATGAAATGGCTTCTGTTGCTTACATCCAACACCCACGCTGCCGCATTGCATGACATACTTGTGTTTCCCACTGGGGGGAAAAAAAGAGAAGGAAGAGGGGCTTATTGCTTATAGTAATACTGTTCTTACTGAAAATAATTTAGCTATTCTTTTGAAGGGTTTTTTAAGCTTGCATTTGTTTTGCTGCAAAGCCCAACTCTCTGGCAAGAAGCTAAGGGCTGCAAATGAGGGCCCAATCTTCCACCTGTCCTTGGCAATTTCCATACAACTATGTGTGCAGACGAAGTACAAATACATTTTTTAATTTATTGAATGTATGCATGGTCTAAGAACTTGCTTAAGTGTCCAGATTTTTCTCTTGACTTTTCTTGAACTCAAATTATTCCTGAAACTGTAATATTAAAAAATATTACGTATATTATGAAAGTGTTGATCGCAACTTCCTTTTCTTTGTGGAAATCTATACATACATGCTGCCATGTGATGTGCTATATCCTGCTATGCAATATCCTGCTATGCAAGCTGGCAGTTGTTACCTTGCCTTATCTGTCCAAGGTATGTCTTTGTGTCTCCTTTTGCTCCTTGTAGTGGCTGTGTAAGGAGGTTTTCATTTGCCACCGTTTCAATTCTCTCACATCCTGTATCAAGTTAGAATATTCTCTTCTTGCATCTTTTGTTTTGCAGCCTAAAGTAACTTGGGGGAGGGGGAGTATTCCAGTGCCCTCTTCAAAGGCCTCTTTTTTTTTTTTGTTAGTGCTGTTTGCAGTGACTATTATTTTTCTAATTCAGTTCCAGGTATTTGAATTATTTCAGAGGTGATCCTCTGGCTCCTCTCCTTCAAGTTTTGTTCAAGGCCTGGCAACACTCCCAGTTCTCCTGCTGAGTGAAGTGATGCAGTGCTTCCTTTGGCCTCTGTCCTCTTAAAGACTTGATAGTTTTAATCCCAAGAAGGTTGGCTTAGGACATCACTGGAAAGGTGTTTATCATTGTCATCTGCCTTTTTTCAGACTGCAGAAGCAGAACTGACACCTCTCCAGGCACACATGGTTGTCCTTGAGCCACATCCCTCAAGCATGAGGCTGGCTCTGCACTGCTAAAAGAATCTTTTTTAATGCCATTTCACCTGGCCAAACATAACACAGAGCATCAACATGTGCTTCCTGCACCTCTTGTAGCACTAATTCAGCATGCTGGTGATATCCTTTGCCTTGGCACAATTTTTCTGTGGCTCTGCCATCACTTAGGCACCACACCATGTCCTGATTTTATATTGGCAGCCTAGACCAGGCATTCACCTGCTCTTACATCTTCATTCCTGTTGCCTGTGGGAATGCTTTTGGCACAGAGGTCTAGCATGAAAGTATGTGCCCACTGCTGCGGATTTGCATGTGCACAAATATCATAGAATCATAGAATTGTTTGAGTTGGAAGGGACCCTTAAAGGTCATCTAGTCCAACTCCCCTGCAATGAACAGGGGTGCCTATAGCTACACCCAGTGCTTAGAGCCCTGTCCAGCCTGACCTTGAATGTCTTCAGAGATGGGGCATCCGCCATCTCTGGGCAACCTGTCCCACTGTTTCACTACCCTTATTGTGAAAAAATTCTTAAATCCAGTCTAACTATTCCCTCTTATAGTTTGAAGCAATTTGCCCTTGTCTTGTCACAGCAGAACCTGCTAAAGAATCTGTCCCCTTCTTTTTTTATAGCCCCACTTTAGGTATTGAAAGGCTGCTATCAGGTCACCTCAAAGCCTTCTCCAGGCTGAACAGGCACAGCTCTCTCAGCCTGTCTTCGTAGGAGAGGTGTTCCATCTCTTGGATCATTTTTGTGGTCCTCCTCTGGAAGTGCTTCAACAGGTCCATGTATTGAGGACTCCACATCTGGATACAGCACTCCAGGTGAGGTCTCACCAGTGCAGAGGAGAGGGGCAGGATCACCTCCTTTGACCTGCTGGCCATGCTTCTTTTGGTGCAGGCCTGGGTACATTTGGCTCTCTGGGCTGTGAGGGCACACTAGTGGCTTGTGTTCAGCTTCCAGTGCACCAGTACCACCACCAGGTTTCTTTTCAGTAGGGCTGTGCTCTATCCTTACAATCCCCAGTTTGTACTGATAGTGGGGGGTTTCATGCTCAGGTGCAAGACTTGCACTTGGATTTGTTGAACTTCTTAAGGTTCACCTGAATCCACTGTTCAAGCCTGTCTAGGTCTCTCTGGATGACATCCTGTCCCTTTGGGCATGTCAACCACACTACATGGGTTGGTTTCATCCGCAGATATTGAGGGTGCGCTCAACTCCACTGTCAGTGTCATTGGTGAAGATATACAAATATTGACCCCTGGGGAACACCACTCATCACTGATCTTCATCCAGGCATTGAGCCACTGACCTTCACTCTCTATACAATCTTGCAACAAGTTCCTCGTTCATTGAACAGAGAAGAATGTTATGAGAGACCGTGTCAAAGGCCTTACCGAAGTCCAAATAGATGACATCAGTGGCTCCTGTCCACTGATGCAGTTAAGCCGTCATAAAAAGCAACAAGGTTGGTTAGGCAGAACCTGCCCTTGGGTGAAACCATGCTGGTCCTCCCACATCACTTCCCTCTTCTTCATGTGCCTTAGCATAGCTTCCAGGAGGATCTGCATCATGATCTTCCCTAGCACAGAAGTGCGGCTGACAGGTTGGTAATTCCCTGGTCATCCTTTCCACTGTTCTTAAAAACGTGTGCTATATAATCTTTTTTCCAGTCACCAGGGACCTTCATCTGACTGCCATGACTTTTCAGATATCACTGAGACTGGCTTGGCATCTATATCAACCAGTTCCCTCAGAACTCTGGGGTGCATCTCATCAGGATCCATAGACTTATGGATGTTCAGGTTCCTCAGGTGGTTGTGAACCTGATCACCACTTACAGCAGGAGGAGGGGCATTGCTGCCTCAGTTTCTGCTTTCTGAACTATCTGCTTGAGGGCTGCGTGTCCCCTTCTTGAGAGCAACCGCTAGTGAAGACTGAGGCAAAAATATTGGTACCTCAGCCTTCTCCTTTTCTGTTGTTACTAGCCTAATTATGTTGCTCATTAAGGGGTGATATGCTGTCTTGGTCTTTCCTTTTCTGGTTGATGTACCTATTGAAGACTTTCTTACCCTTCTTTCCACCCCTTGCCTAGGCCGGTTCTAGTTGGGCCTTGACTTTCCTGAGCCCATCCCTACACAGCCTAGCAGATTCCCTATATCTTCCCGGTACCTGTCACTGCTTCTACTGCCTGTGCATTTTCTTATTGCTCTGCAGTTTGACTAGCAGGTCCTGATTCAGACATGCTGGCCTCTTGCTTTTCTTTCCTGGCTTCCTCCACTCGGGGATGAAGAGCTAGTGTGCCCAAAGGAAAACTTTCTTAAAGCTCTGCTGTGCTTCCTTGTCCTTGAGGACCGATTCCTAAGGGGTTTTGTTGACTGACTCCCTGAAGAGCTGAAATTTGGCTTTCCTAAAATTAAGCTTCCTGATTTTACTCTTTGTCTGTGTGATATTCCTCAAGAACATGAACTCCACAATTGTATGGTCAGTACAGCTCAGCAGCCTCCTGTTCTTGTGTCATCAATCAGTTCACTCATACTAATGTGCAAAAGGTCCAGCACTGTTTTATCCCCTGGTAGAGCTACTACATATCTCATGAAGTTATCCTCAGTACAGTCCAGGAGCCTCCTGGATCACCTTTAGCTCGCCGTGCTACTTTTCCAGCAGATAGCTGGGTGCTTGAAGTCCCCCAACAAGCTGAGAGCCGGTGAATGTGAACTCTCCTGTAGCTGGAGGAAGGTTTAATTAACAGGCTCTGCTTGATCAGGTGGCCTGTAGTAGATCCCAATCTCAAGGCTCCCTTTGTTGCCACAGTCTCTAACTCTGACTCGTAGGCTTTTGACTTGCCATTCTTCAGGGTCAAGTTCTTCATGTTTTATTCTTTCCTTGATGCAGAGGCTGATGCCACCTCCTCCTCTTCCTTGCCTGTCCCTTCTGAAAAAGCTTGTAACCATTAACAGCCACGTTCTGGTCATGGGAATCATGCCACCGGATTTCTGTGATGGCAACTTGCATCATGGTTTTCCAGTAGCACAGTGGCTTCCAACTCCATGTGTTTCCCAATCTGTGTATGTTGGTGTAGAGGGCACTTCAGCTGGGCAGCTGTACTTGTATCCTTCTTGGAGGATAACTCCTTAATTCCTTTGTAGTGTTTACCTTTAGTCTCCCTGTTCCCTTCATCATCAAACCACCTTGTCCTTTTAATTTAGCTATGGTATCCCGTGTTGTGAGCAGGCATGCTATCATCTCCCACCCCCTTCATACCTAGTTTAAAGCTCTGTCAGTGAGGTCTGACAGCTTCTGGGCCAGAATTCTTTTCCCCCTTTTATCCAAGCAGACCTTCTCAGCAGCCATCAGGCTGATACAGAGTAAGCTGCCCCATGATTGAAAAAGCCAAAATTCCTGTGATGGCATCTGCTTCTGAACCGGGTATTTATCACAAGGGTTTTCCTGCTCCTCTCAGTATCCCTCACTGCCACGTGAAGGGATAGATGAAAACACCACCTGTACTTCTGCACTGTCCCTTAACTGCTCCAGACCCATGAAGTCCTTTTTTGATAGCCCTCAGGCTTCTTTCAGTGATTTCATTTCTGCCAGCCTGAACTATCAGTAAAGGATAATGATCAGAGAGGCAAACCAGACTAGAGAGTCTCTTAGTAATGTCCTTGACCTGGACCCCAGGGAGGCAGTGCACTTCACTACAGGTGGTATCTGGCTGACATGGGGTCATATGCCCTTTCACATCTTGTTGCTGCTTGACTTTTCTGACCAAGAATTCTTCTGTTGTGATTTCTCTGGTGTCTGAACCTGGACTGAGTAGGCTGTGAGCTGTGTGTGGCCTTTCAGGATCGCTGGCTGTATGCCCTTACTCACATTGCCAGTGTGTTTTTCTCAATCCCTCTGGCAGCAGAGTGCAAGCCACAGTTGGCTTTCACTTGAAGGAGCATCCAGTACACCTGGAATCAACTACCCCCAGAGGAGGAAATAGCCCTGCCATTTACCATGGGCTGATCCAGGCTACCTGGGAAAAGGGGGAAGCTCCTATACACCTGCAATACATTGATGATATCATCATGTGGGACAGTGAAGCAGAGGAAGTTTTTGAGGAAGGGAAGAAAAGAATCCAAATCCTTCTGGAAGCCAGCTTTGCCATAAAACAAAGGAAAGTCAAGGGAACCACATGGAAATGTGATCCAGTTCTTAGGAATAAAATGGCAGAACAGACATCATCAGATCCTTGTGGATATGATCAACAAAATAACTGCTCTGTCCACAGCAACTAGCAAAAAATTTCCATGCTTCCTTCGATGTTGTGGGCTTTTGGAGAATGTGTATTCTAGATTACAGTCTGATTGTAAACTCTCTATATCAAGTGACCTTTGGCTTTGAAAAGCAAGTCTTGTGGTGACATGGCACCCCAGTTAGAATTGAGTCAGATAATGGGACTTATTTCTGAAACAACCTTGTAGACACCTGGGCCAAGGAGCATGGTATTGAGTGAGTATATTGTGTCCCTTATCATGCACCAGCCTCTGGAAAATGATAGAATGTTAAGATTACACTGAGAGCAGTGGATGCTTGGATGTTCAAACTTTGGGGCACACAATTAGCAAAAATCCACCTGCTAAGTCAACACTCAGGGGTCTGCCAGTCAAAGCTAATACGTACTGTAGAAGTAGATAATGTCCCCATAGTGCACGTGAAAAACATCCTGGTCATGGAAAAACTGTTCCAGCCATGTGTAGCTTTGACAGCTCCAAACTTCGTACAGAGGAACATGTTTTTGTTAGAGACTGTGTTTAATTGAATTAGACTGATGTGCTTTTTTTAAAGTCATAATTGATTTGACACTAATATTCTTATTGATTTGCCACTGGAATATGTGGATGCTCTAAAATCTTTGCTGCTGTGAATAGAATAGAAAGTTGTTACTGACTAGTAAGTAACGCTATGGCACAGAGGTGTTTCACTGTTGTTTTTTAACTGAAGATTGTGTTAATTTGGATGAGCTTATTTCTATTCTTTTTGTTTTTTAGACCAATTGCAGGGAGCATGTTGTCGGAGCCCTCTTCCCCATAGATTCACCTTCAGACTGAAGATCGTCTAATGGGAGAGAGTTCTAAAGAACACTGTTAACTACCATCCAGGTAGAAATATATCCCAGTACTGGGAGCGTGTACTTTCATTGGTCTTAAGAGATTTTCCTCCTCTGTAAATTGTAAATATATGATTTGTTACAAATTAGTTTTTCTTTCTTGTCAATAAATGTTAAGTAATACAAACCCATTTTGATTTCTTTGCCTTTCTAAATCATTTAAAAGTGAATTTTCTGGTAGTTGATGAAAGATTGAAATTGCAAGTAATTGCGTGAAAATGAAGAGCTTGACTTGTAAATATATGTATAATGCATAACACTGAGTGTTACAAGGACATCACCAGTGAATCTGTTAACTGTTCCAGTGGAGTTGCTCAAACTTCTTTTAGAAGTTTGAAAGTTAAATATGCTAATACAGATTGTCTTTGAAAAACAGTGTTACTGACTGTGTGACTTTGGTTCCAGTGTTACTGCCATAGGTATACAGGAACTCCAGCTTATAATGTTGTAGGATCTTTTAGTTTAGAGGTAAATCATGAACAGAGCTGAACTGCTGCGTTGTCATAATCTTTTAGTGCTCTTGAAATCTGATGTTTGACAATTTGTCCATTAGTTTTTTATTTACCAGGAGTGTCAGATTTTAGTATTTTTTTTCTTTTTTTTTTTAATCTCCTGGGAATTTCTATCTGCATAGATCTACTATTAATTCTACAGTAACTCACACATTTTCTCAAAAATCTTAATGTCAGTAGCAAAAGTAGGTCTCTCTAGGAAAAGATTTAAAATCCAGATTGGGCTCAAGTATACAGTGCATAATATTGGCAGTTAGTGTGGGGTTTTGTGTTTGTTTGTTTATAATGCACTTTTGCCACAGCTCAACTCACTGTTTTTATTGTAAACTAAGTGTTGTAGGGTTGTCTGACATTTAAAACTTCGGGGTTTGGAACAGTATTAAAACCATTCTGGCATTATAGAAAAAAATTTTGAGGATGGGAGAGTGAATAAATGTTCTCCTGAGCAACAGTGACCTATGCTAAAAATGGTAGCATACTGAAGTATTTAAATGCTACAGAAAAAAAAAAAAAAAAAAAGAGCAAGAGGGATTTTCCACTCTTGGAATGTTCTGTTAACTCCCATCAACCATGCCCTTACAACACTGGTTAGCATTTTGCCCAGAAGGGCCTCATTGAAGGCCAGACTTTGTACCTGCAGTTCTTGAAGCCCTGTCTCAATTCCAGATAATATTTACAATTAAAGTGATGGAGAATCAGGCTTTAGATTAAGACCCCCAGCCTACATAAAACTCATTCTGTATTTTGCCGCTTTTGCCTGTCTGGAAAGCGTGTGCATGTAGCCACTAGTGTGGGATGTGGGAAGGGGATGCTGTATTTGCACAAAGAGCCTAAAACTGATTCAAGTGCTGCTTTGTTCTTTCGAGCTGCTGATTAGGTTGCTTTGTTGAGTCCCTTGAGCAGGAAATGAATCTCAGGACTCTTCCCTTCCCTCAGATATTCAGTCAGGGTCATGCTCTCCTGTGCTGTGTGGTCTAACACGAGGAATCGTTACTGCTTTTCTTTTTCCCAGTGTTGTAAGTAGGGGCGGAGATGCCTCCATCTGAAACAATCCATAACATTGGGCTTTTCTAATTGGGTCAAATCAATGCATCGGACAGAAACAAAGCAGTAACCACGTATAACATTTTGCAAAGCAGGAAGTAATGCACCTTTTTCTTTGACTTGCCTTAAACTTGATGAATCAATCAGAACGTGTCCTTCCTATACCTGTTAGACTCAGTCATAACTACCTAGAAGTTCTAGTGAAATCTGTAAATTGACTCAGCTTTAATTTTTAGGTAGCAACAAGTCTTTGTCTTGTATCTTTGTACTGATTATCTTTTTGGGGGAAGGAAGGATTGTGGGGTGTCTTTTCAGTTTTTCCAGTGACCATAAATGAGACCCATGTCAGTAGAAGGTCCAAAATGTTTCATAAGTTTTAAGATACAATAAACAGGTAAAGTAGACAATTTGTAGGGTATGAGAGAAGGTGACAGGGTATATTTCTTCTGCATGTAGTAAAATTCAACTTTTTATCTTAGTGCATGGAAACCAAAGTACAAGCTACTTGGAATGCATTTATGGACATAAAGGGAAATCGTTCTTCAATCAGTAACGCATCTTCTTGAGCAACAGTGTACAGATACTAAGGTAACAGTTTAGCTGATGCTAAATATTAAGACTAATTTGTGCCTCAAAGGAGCAACCAACTGTCTCGATTGTTTACACTAAACCCTTTTCATCTACAAGGTTGCAGCACATGAGGCAGGTAAATACTAGATGTGAGAATATTAGGAATTCAGGAATATCCAGAATTTAGCGCTCCCCTGTCACAACAGAAGTGACCTGAGACTGCAGAAGAGCTCAGGGTCACTGTGGCGGTACCATTGTCCAAAATTATCCCAATCTGCTGGCACACAGAGGAAGGAGACAGGTTATCCAGTGGTCTAGAGTAGTTATGCTGTAGCTCAGTTACAAGGACAGTATATAACTCATTGGTGTCAAACGTGCCACGAGTTATAGAACTGTTGCTCTGTTATTAATGATTCTGAACATTTGTGCCTTGAGATGTGGTGGATATAAAAGCAAATGTTTATATCCAGAGCTCAAGAGTTGCCTCAGAAGTTCTGCATTGTCTGGTGGTGATAGAAGAGGTTATTATAAGTTACACTTATTGCATACTTTTGGCAGCTCAGGGTTGGTTTTGTCATGTTAGTCTTTTGGTATTTTCAGTACCTGGAGGGGTACAAAGATCCTTTTCTCCTGTGGGAAGCAAATTGGTTATGCTGGTATGTGGTCTGCTGGTGTAGAACTAACTGCTTTCTCATGTTATTCAGCTGTTACTAAAATAAGACTCGCTCCTCTGCAGATAAGCAGTTTAAACTCATCTGTTAAGGCTTGTGCAATTTTTTTCTCTTTTCTGTTCCAAGCTGGATATTATCCACACACATATGCTTCAAGATATACATCAGACCAGGGCCAAATGATTTGCAGCCTAAGAAATTAACTGCAGATTGAGTTGCTTTGTAGATTGAGGTACACTGTGCAAAGAAACCCAAAGGACAAGGTATGGAAAGCTGTCTACTTGCCTCTCTGGACACCAGGGAAAACTTTCCTATGTTGCTTTACTTTGCTTCTGGTGCTACCTCATCCTGGTGAAGCTCCATCACCCACTGGTCCTGCTGCCAGCGTACCTGTTTTGTGGTGCCCTCAGATCCCACTCTGTGTAGCAGGTGGAGAACAGCTCTTTCATTTTAGCTCAGATTAAATGCATTTCTTCTGACTTCTTTCCCCCTCATAAAAGAAGCAAACAATTTATAGAGAGTTCATACAGCTCTGAGGATTCAGAGGCTTGAAGTCCTATGTTTGATTATTTTAAACTTGCAACATAAAATTTAGGCTGCTTTAGGTTGCTCTCTACTAAACCTGGGGAGAAAAGGCACTTGAGTCCTCAGTGCAGAGCCAAGGGAACTTGAGCAAAATGGAGCCTGGTACTGCTTTGAGTTTCCCTGCTGCTGGTTACATTTCAGTCTCTCCCTCACATTCATACAAGGTGAGTGTTGGAACTGGCAAAAATATTAACAGGATAGTGGTTGGTATCCGTTCCCTTCTCTCCTTGAAGGTAAATGGGGAATGCAAATGATTTGACCAAAATAAACAAGTCAGATATTTCTTTGGATTTGTTCAGTAGCCAGTGACAGATCCTGTTCTGGAAGCACATCTCACTGTACTGCCCTGGGCTCCGGAAGACAGGCACCAGAGGGGAACACCACACCAAGCTGTTGGCAGCGTGCACACAGGTTTGTACTCTGCCAAAGGAGGCCAGCATGTACGAGCAACCTGCCTTCCTTTCCCATGCAGGAGGTATCTGTTCATTTTTTGTTTGCACAGTTCTGCTGGGGGCAGTGTTGGCCTTATAGCTGGTTCTGGTTTTGGAAGCTCCTTGCTCCGTCCAACAGATTATTTGCTCTTTTACATTATTCAGATCTTTGTACTGAGCCTTCTGCTTTCCACTGACTTGCTTGTTCAGAGGTTTGTTCCTGTGATCGTGCTTAGTGCTTTCTTTTGATTATTATTTGTATTTTGAATGGATTGAGGAGACTTGTCTTCTTGTTTATATCCATAGAAACTGGAGCAAAGGGATTTTAGTCACTAAATTTACACCTAGGCAGCGTTGCTTATCACAGTTGCTGTCTTTCATACAGGCATATATTGTGAGCCTGTGTTTACCAATGATAGTGACTAAACTCCTCATTTTAGACTACTTTATAGCCAAGCTGCTGTGCTCATAGTGCTAAAAGGGTTATGTTTCAGTGGAGCACATTCAATGGCTCCAGAACAAATACTGCAAAAGGTAGTGCCTCTGCAAGTGAGATTGTATTTGAATGTATTATGGCAGACAGTTAAAAGGTACACCTAAATGGGAACGGTCACATATATAGAAAAGAGCTAACATTTAACTCAGCATCCTTCCTGAACGTTAGCAATATCAATCTTGTGTATGTGGCTAAGTCGTCCCTTCTTGTTGCCTGCACTGCTTCCTTAATCAAGCATAAATATGAACTCTGTGTGGAGAGTGGTATTTTTTTCCCCTGTGCTCTGTAAATGAAGTTCTGTGATCTCAGGACATAGCTTCTGTTTTCCACTAGAGGCCAATAAAGTGTAAGACAAGACAGCTGCAAGGCTTTAAGCAGAAAATTCCATCATTTTTTTCCCTTCCAGACCTGTTGCTCAGCTGTTGTATTTATCTTAATAATTTCTTCTTTCAAAAATGATTTGCCGTCTAATAAAGAGGAATTCAATTGCTAATTCCTCCTTTCAGTTTTTTGTTCCCAAAACCTTCAAGGCATTGAGTTGTCCTCTTGACTGGTGTTTTCATTCACGTTTTCAGTTCATAGTTAACCCTGGAACAGCCTCCACAGAATAAGTGGGTCATGAAAAAGGCCCTGGAAACAGAATGGCAATGTCAGTGCTTTGGTCTTTTAAGAGTTGCAGGAAATGTTATGACTTTAGCTACTCCATTTTTCTGGGGATCATCCCACACAAGCTGCATCCAAACCAGCAGCATCCATTGCAGCTGAAGGGCAGGGGCCCATCTGTGCTTTGTCATCAGTCAGTCTGGGTGCTGCAGCCTCCTGGCTCCTTGGGTCTTCTCTCAGTCCCTGGTAACAGAAGCACTCTGCTGTTAGGAGGTTCAGGACAGCCAGAAGTCCTCAAACACAAAGAAAGTTGTGCCAGCTCTGATGCAGAAAAGAAGCAGTTTGGGACAGCTCTTGTTGGCCTGGGAACTATCCCATCTTTCCTAAATGGAATAGCTGCCTAACATCAGAAACATTTACAGCATGACAAAAGCACTTATTTGCCCAAAGAAGCCAAGGTTGAAAGGCCTCAGATAGCCTAATTTAGTGGGTGACAACCCTGCTGTAGCAGGGGTTTGGAACTAGGTAATCCTTATTGTTCCTTCCAATCTAAGATGCTGAAATGCTCTGCCCAAGGAGGTGGTGGAATCACTGTCCCTGGACGTGTTCAAGAAAC